TGGCTCTAGATACTCTTTCCCTGCAGTCGCTTCTACAAGTCACTATTGAACCGGCTATAAATATCTCAAACAATGATAATAAATAGATACTCGCTCAAGTCAGCTTGGCACGCTCAAGGGACTAAGCGGCTCCTACCCAACCCTCTGATCCCACCTCTCCCCCCTAAGAGTTGTCGGTTAAAAATAGTAGTTTTACCTAAAGTACGTACAAGATAGAGGCTCCAGTGAAGGCGTACCTGACTGTACGTCAACGATCAGCTTGTATTTCTGCCAGAACTTACTTACAACTAATCTACGTAAACGAGGTACACACAGATACAAGCCTCGATGCATTTAACCCACTCTCAAGGCATGTTCCACTAATCAAGCTGTCGAATCTATGGTTTCCCTTGCTGGATTATCTGTATTATTTTACATAAATGCAGACGCACGGTAGCCATCATAGTCAGCTGAAGCGAACCTGATCCTGAGATTATCAAGTACAGGTGACCCCCATAAAAGGTCGGCGCATCACTTGATATACTCTCCACTCCAGATTGCGGCTGACGGCTATGAATTCGTTTTTCCCTTACTTTCGACCTGGGCAGAGGGACGCCGCTTATGCTGCCTTCGCCCAACTCTCAGAGTCTGAACAGGCAGTCCGAGAAGAGAGCCAGTTAAACCTTTGCCGAGACACGCTAGAGGAGACCCTTTTAATTCTACACCCTGAATGTCACTTAGCATTGAAGCTGCAAGATGCTCTGGATGAGATTCGGCGTCGGTCTCTGGCTATGCTATCTAGGGACAATAGCGAGCAGCGCAGTAGCGACTTGGATCCACACCAATCACCACGTTCAATCAGCGATGATTGTGAATACAAACACCTCGACAAAATATCGTGCACTCCAGATCGTTCTTGCGATGCACCGATGTCAAACATTGAGATGACTGTTGTTGAGGATAACAACAACGCCGTAGCAGCACCAGTATTCAGAGCTGTAACGCCCGTGAATCGACCCGCGATCTTGAATGACAACATTCAGAAACCCCTACATGCAGGAAAGAAGCACTCGCTAGAGGTCAACATGCCCGCCGCAAAGCGACGAAAAGTGAGGGGCAATCAGCTCTCAGATTAGATGTATCGGATATTTCAAAGTAGGAGAGGAGATGAATGCTACAGCAAGCTAGTCAGTTAACATCACAACATCACATATCTTTCTGGTACCAGATCTATATAGAGATACAAATGCCTTGAGTTTTTCATGATGATATCTTCGTGACTAATGTGGTTAGCTCTTTAAGAACCATTGGCACGGTATTGAGTTGCCGCTACCTAGTTTTGACTATCTATTTGTTCGGTTGAAACTTAACCCAGTATGCCAGATCAATGCATCATCGCCATGCCAACCGTTAGGCCGGGATGAGTTCTCCGGTAGCGTACATGACATTCTTTGCCGTCGAGTTAAGCTGTAACATACTACCTAAGCCACCTGGACAGTGTGGTTGATTACTTATGGTGAGATCCAAGTCGCATTTCTAGTCGATTCCATACTTGCAGACCAAGTCATAAATGTTATATAATTCGTAGTTCTGTGCGACCCAGCTTGTAGGCTTGCTAATACAGGATGAGACGTAATTCATACTATTCGCGGCTGACAGAGGCAGTTTACCGTCTTTGAGTAGATGTTGACATTTTGATGTATCTACAATCTCATAAGACATCTGAATTCCCCCACCCAAATGGGAGTCCTCCACAGCAGATGTACCGAATACCAGGTAGTTCCAAGCATCGTAAGAGATATCGATGCGAAGGAGATGAAGGAACCGCCCATTATTTGCGACTTTGACGCATATACCGTCGCACCCGACCTCTAAGGGCCAGTAGGCGATCCGATTCGTATCGACTTTGCAACCCAAGACTCCAATGGAGCTAGAATATTGGTCATGGGGAGTAATGGATACGACGTTGTGAGTATTGGGAAGTGTGGTGTGAGCCTCTGAGATCCAAAATGCAGCAGTGCAGACCAAGAGAGGTAGCCAAAGTCGGGATACCGGCATCACGTCCAGAGTCAACGATATCATGTTTGATGCCATGGATGGGCATTGACGGGCCCCTGATCAATAAATGAACAGCGATATGGACCCGATAGATTGCTGCGCTTTGTTGTCAGATGCCACAAATAACAAGGGTGTTGGCGAGATGCATACAAGTTTCTTCTTACCTGGCCTCCCCGGGTGGGCTCACTGACTGTCGCCGTTGGACTAAGTATATTTAGGTACCCACGAGTCCTTTTCGAGTTGCTTGACGTATATAAGTATAACTGATGTAATTTCGTAGAATGTTTTGCGTCATATTTTCTAGATATAACCACAAAGCGGAGTCCACAACCAAGTAAGGCGCACAAAAGTGGGATGTGTCTGTGCAGTATGCTATAGAGAGGTGCAGGCTGGATCTCAGTCACCAAGAATATATTATAGGTCTCAGAAGGATTGAATAGATCTCATTGCACGAATTCGGCCAGTTTAGGATTTAAAGTATCTTCCTGGTAGTATACATATCAACGCACTATTTTGTTTTTAATTTTATCTTCGTTATATACGCTCAAGGGCAAATCAAGGGGTGAGTACATATATATATATGCGGCATCATATGTTGCTGTCAAGTCAAAGTCGAATCAAATAAACAATCTCATTACTATGCGTTCTGTCCCAATTCTTGTCTGCCTACTAGGAATCTCGCTTGCCACTGCACTCCGTATTATGCCACGCTCGCAAAAACCAGATGCAACACCAGAAGGTTTTCTTAAAGCAGGCCCCGGTGGCATTGATGCGATCGAAATTACTCCAAAGAATCTACTTGCTGGGACGTCAGGCAATCCCAAAGCTCCTGTTTTGAAACATCGTGCTCCTGACTCTGCTTCCTTGATGGTAAAACTGATTAATAACCTGGATAGGGCGACTGTGAGAGCTTACATATCCGGTCTGGATGCTACTGGTAAGGTTTTCTTTCTCTCCCCCAACGGTAAGCTTGTCTACCCCAAGTCAAAAGAGCCTCATGTATCAAGCGAGATTACGGAAGACATTACCTTATCCTTAGGCTCCAAGAATCAGACTCTCGACGTATCACTCCCTCCATTTATTCGCTCAGGTCGCGTCTACTTTGCAGACAGCGACCTCCGTTTCTTTGTTGTCAACAATGGAGGAGGCGATAGCGTGGTCCAACCTTCGGTTACCAATCTACAAGATCCCAATGCAGACGTGAACTGGGGATTCGTAGAATTGACCTATATGAATGGTTTATGATATGCTAACATCAGTTATGTTGATTTTGTCGGTATAGTGCTTGGCATAATGCTCACTGAAAAGGATGGTAGTACCCAGACCACTGCGGGGCTGGTAGCTGATGCTGTTACCAAGATTTGTAATGACTTAATGAAACTGAGAGAAACTGACCATCGTGATTGGGCATCACTCTGTATTGCGAACGCGGAGGGGAAGACTGTGCGTGTCCTCTCCCCGGGAAATCGGCACGAGGTCGAAGCTCAACTGTTCAACGACTATTGGGATACCTATGTAAACGAGGTATGGAAGAAGTACGCAACACAAGACCTCGTCATCGACACCCAGTCAAATGCCAGCCAGGTCAAGTGTAGAGTTTCGGACAATCAGCTCGTCTGCGAAGGAAGCGATCGTGGCTTCGCCAAACCTACCAGTAAAGATATCTGGGGCTGTAACAGCGGCCCGTTTGCTATCTCCGAAGGTGATACATCAATCCATGCAGCTATAGTCCCCCGAATCTGTGCCGCATTTGTTCGATCAACGCTTCTGCTCGATGGAGGTGACATCCAGCCGAGCTTAGGTCAGGGTTCCTACTATACAGTCAATCCTACTAATCACTACAGCCGCATTGTTCATTCTTATGAGGTTGATGGTAGAGGTTACGCCTTTCCTTATGATGACGTTAACCCTGATGGTAATGAGGATGCGTCTGGGGTTGTGAGTTCGAATAACGTCCAGTCTTTAGCCATCTATGTTGGCGCGCCACCTTCACTTGGCTAAGCTCACTAAGTAATAAGTCAGATACCTTTGTATCTATTCGCTGTACTGATATAATTCGTCTAACTATAAAGGTCAGGCAGCTTCGCATAGGTCTTGTACCCCCCACCAAAGATGTAGGAACTGGAACCATACACAAACCGGCACCCAGGTGACAGCGGCGAATGGCTTCAGTCACAGCGCCGATTGTAAGGATAAATGGAAATTACTTGATACATAGTTGGTTTTAGTTTCGATGTGAAATCGCGACCAGCGGCAAGCAAAGGCGTAGAAGTAGAAAGGAACTTGGTTGAAGCATTTAAAGAGACATGGGATTATTGGTGGAGTGACATGCAGATAGCTATAGAGATCGATCATTCTTCTTCGCTCATCGGCCGGCATATGGGTCCAGTCTGCAGTAAGAGAGAGGTGGACACCAGTGGGAGAGACGAAAAAGGTGGTGGGCATTATGACAAAACGAAGCGCGGAGCAAATCATCAGGAATCACGGTTTCAAGCTAGCGAAAAATCACCACGATTGTGCTATGTCACCTGTAACGTGAATGACGCTCTTGAAAACGAACAAGAAGGTGCGGTTTACATTTTTTTCATTTTGCAATCGTAGTGGGGGTATGTAAGTGTATTTGAATTTCTATTAGTAAAAAGATTGAGATACCTTTTTACTTAGTTCATAACTCAAGTCAAGTAACGATGGCTGACCTGATCGGACAAACTGAATAGGCGCATGATAATTGGCTGCATTATTTTCCATTTATCGCGGTACAGTGAGCCTCCGAAGTCCCTTTTCCTGTAGATGGCTTTCTAGAAGCAGAGGAAGTCAGTCAGTGGCTTGCTATACAACGGTATTGTATATATCCAGAAGCGAGGTGATTTGATCCTCCATTTCCTGGCAGGGCGGTGAATACGACAGTCGATCCAAGCTTTCTTAAGCGGTGTCAAACGCCTCTCTACTCTGCATTGATACCCTCACATTATCGTATTGAGGCGTATCCACCGGATGGCACCTTTGCTTTGGGCTGACCATGGATCAGCCCAGAAATGGCTAGCTGATTCGATGCCTGACGTGTTATCCTCTATCTGTATGGATGGGTAGTGATCAATCGGATATTCTATACAGAATGCCTCGAGTGGCCTACTTCTTCTTCCATCACAAAAAGGATGGCATTTGGATCGGGTTTGCTGTAAGCCAACCAAAGTCATGTGTTAAGTAGGGCAAGGGTGAGTATAGTGAAAGACCGCAAGGGTCGGTGAAACATGGTGGTGTAAATGCTGACTGTGGTGCAAATGCTGACTGTGGTGCGAGCATGCTGTGCGGTGGACCAGCAAAGTCGAGACAATCTTTCATCAACGTTTCTTCCCAAGCTGATATGCCCGTGCAGTCCGTGAAAGGCATCAAGTCCATACTGCTGTCGAAGCTCCACGGCAACGTATCGCAAGATTGTACGTCAGGCGTGCCAATCCTGGTGCTCTTGCTAGGCTCGATCGCCGTAACTGATGAGGAGCTTGCTTCTGGTAGCGTCAAAGCTGTCGAAATCACTTCTTTTACCGGCAAAACGGGCTCTTGGCTCTTATTTCTGGATTCAGTGGCCGCATTTGTATCCTTATACGGCTGTGGCTCTGCCGGATCGAAGACATATTCAGCGCCCTTCTCGCTTTCGATGATGGAAAGGGATACCCTACAGCCTGTGAGAATAGACAGCTCATACGCCTTCTTGAAAAGTCCTTCTTTCCTCTTCTTAAAGGTCGTTCTTCTGGCGCTTTCATTAGGTATCTTCTTGATTTCGATTCTTCTACGACCCATATTGGCTCAATCAAAGCTATCTAAACTTTCAACGTTGGTGCGAATGACTCCTAAATAGAAAATGGCCATGACACAAACTAGGGAGGATCGGAGGAGGGTCAATGTTGTTATTCCATCAAAGGGGCGTAGAGTGAGCGAAACACACTATGGAATGAAGTAAAGGTAGTCCATTATTCGGCCGGAATGTGACAACTGATGCGTCATCACTACCCCCGACGTTATCGTTGCCAAGTCTGGGACCTGGATTGTTACCAACGACAACAACATCAGCAACGCTGTGACCGATTATTTTTAGATACCTTGAGCCTTGGCGCTCGTTGGTCGTGGTAAGTGACTCGTCGACATGCATGAGATGCTATTATTAGTTTCTATAACTAGTTTTGTTGCGAATCATACAGAGTGTAGTTCTCTTCATCTCGAGCGAACATAAAGTATAATTGATTGTCTCGTTCCAGTGTGAACTAATGAACTTGTGTCTATGCAATTAAACTTAGAGAGCATTATCATATGTCACAAGTGCTATTGCTATGGATTCATTGCCTCCAAAAGTGTATTGGATGCTGATAGATTATCTGTCTGTCAGTGATCTACACAGCCTGGTGAGCTGCAGCAAGTCAACTCACAAAAAGACCAAACCAATGCTTTATCGTGTACTACGCCTTCATTTCGACAATGGAAACTTAAAGCCACAGACGCTGTTACTATTAAGGACTCTAATGCATAGTCCGGAGCTCATGAAGTTCGTGAGGTCCGTGGAATTTTTGAATACGGGATCTGGTATCTGGACACAGGGGCATTCTCAACTTCTAAGTCTTATACTAGTGAGGATGAACTTACGACCCGAGCTAGTCACAGCTTTCTCTACCACCTCTTCCTGGGTTCCACTTAATACATACTTCGGTGGCCTCAATTCCATAACCTATGCAGGCACCGTATCGGCCACTCAGCTTGAATGGCTTCGTTGGCATCTGTCCAATTGCAAACAGATATCCCATCTCCATATACGACTTTCTAAGCGCGGATCTAATTACCACTTACCCCTGTTGAGGACTACCGGCCTAGATTTTTTGAGTGAACTCTGTCTTGAAAACTGTGCATTAGAACATTTTGTTCCAGAAGAATCCTGGAGGCTAAGGTGGCTTGATCTTAGATACTGCTCAGGTACCGAGATGTTCATGCATAGACTATTATCAGGTCACCAGCTGCAGCTTTTGAAAGTGCTTCGCCTTTCTGGGCGATTATCACGAAGAACATTTCTGTCTTTGCTCGTTTCATTGGAGGAGAATCATCGCCTAGAAGAGTTATCTCTTCGCCTAGAAAGCCTACCCCAACTAGTAGGACAAGAAGGCTACGGCAGGTCGCTAGCTCCTTCGAAGCTAGGAGACTCTTGTCAAAGATTACGGTCCAGAATTCTAGGCCACCTCGAAACACACGGGCCCAGGTTGCGATCAGCCACAATAGATATTCGACAGGATATAGATTTCTGTATGCCCTCTATGCTATTCACAGTTCAAGACATCGTGATGATAATCAAATCTTGTCCCTCTGTAGAGTTCTTAGGCTTACCCATCGACTTTCATGATTTATTCTCGAACCAAGCCGGGTCTATAAATTACCCAGTCAAACTCCAAGCACTGCATCTGAGGGGAGAGTACGGCGCTTTCAGTGAGATGGCTAAGAACACGACTACACTGGTTAACCTGTTCCACGCACCTCCAAGCTTCCAAATATTTGTAGGTTATGGTAAAATGCTTAAAGCTATTTATACACCCTCCTCAGGGTATCCGTTGTACTCAAGAGTTACCAAAATTCAAAAATCAAATTATTGTTTGGATTTATGAGCAAACAGGGTTCTGTAGGTTCCGCCATTACTAGCCACGAGGTTTTGGAGCGCAACGACGCCGTAGCGGTTATTTCCAGAGGCTTACGAAGATACAGGCTGTCATATCATGCTGAAAAGGACATGTGACAAACCAGGCAACAGCTAACGACATCTGTGTGAACTCGTCGTCCCGCTTAGTACCCCTTTTCTATGTGTGTTCACATTACATTTGCATGAATCCTCAAAACTTAAAAGGACTTTCCGCTTGGTCTTTCAGTAACTACTAAATATAAACGAGTAACAAATGATCAATTGATAAAGTGCACGGTGTCAGAGGCGCCAATATAATCAAGAACTGAAGACAATAGGTCAAAAATATAAACTCGAAGCAAACAAATATTCGTATCTGAAGCATAGAAAGATTGAAAATGTTGTATGGCCCAAAGAAGCCACCTCTCGAGCAACAAGAGAGCATCTAACGTCACACGATCTTTGTATGACGCTTATTCGAGAGCGTAGTACTGTGTAAAGTCAATGTCAGGCTGAGCTCTCACCAGTACAATCCGTTTGATTCCCCCTCTCGTTCTGCGGCATTTGCGCATCAGTATCTAAAAAATAACACGTTAATATCAATAAAACGCTGCCTTTATTGCATAAGCCGGTGTCGCGGGGGCCCAAGTTCAGCCAATCGGCACATCTACCAATTTCACTCTAGGGTGGGTCAAAAAGATTGTAAACTTGTAGTTCAAAGTCCCATATAAATTCATTGAGACACGTAATCTGAAAAGAACCCATATTGAGTTCAGCCGTAACAGAAATTCAAAAGGCCCACTTAACGCGTCACGCTACGCGTCTTTATGGTATCAACATTCCTTCCATGCGATGACCATCTCGTGCTCAAGCGACTCGGGATAGTTACTGTGAAAGGCATGTCACAGTAGAGGCCGGGCACATTATGAACGACATGGTCAGAAAAAGAGGACGGAAAGCTGAGACGACTTGTTGATTTGTATGGCCGTGAGTGGACGAATATCGCCGTAAGATTAAGCCTACACTCTTCGGAAGAATGTCACAGGCGGTTCCATCAATAACTGAAACCAACCATCCATCACATCCCAGTCAATTCGTTTGTGGCTCTTGACAAAGCGTTAAGGGTCAAGACAATGGCCATTACTAGACTAGAATTAGCCAGAAAATTAGAAGTTGCAGTAATAGGCACATCAAGAATTGGCCGTACTCTCGTCCTGGCGTCTGATATCCCAGCCTAAGAATTCTTGACGATGACAACGATGACATCACGGAACAATGCAATGCATCTGGAAACCAGTCCAAATCAACACCTCCTGGTTACAGTATGTCACCAAGACCTTGCCCGGAAACGTGAGGAAAGGCTCATCGAGCTTTGGGTGCCTGGAAGATAAAGGAATCGCTGAAAAGAGATCCGCGAATGAGCATGGTGGCTATACTCAATCCATCACTGACAAGTAAGCGATGATGCTGGCCTGGTCAGAGCAGCGTAGCACAAATTGACAGCTTGTTCTGCTTTTTACGGTACAATCGTATTTGATGCTCGACGACTCTATGCCCAGAGGTGGTGTTTCATACAATATTGTATGTCCAATAGCACTTCTATTCTACGACCACCGTTTCCAACGAGGGTAGCTTTCCGAAACTTTCTATTTTAGGTACACTGGATTGGCATGTAAAAGAAAAAGTGAAAAGAAATAGTCTCACGGGTACAGCCCCTCACACTGTGCCGATGGAGACCAAATTATGCAACCCGGTTTTCAGTCCCCCAGGTGCAACGAAACGGGCGCTGACAATCATCCTATTTCTAATGATCATGCTTTTGCATCGTCTATTGGAAGGACGTTGAGGCACCAAGTACTACTCCATATTTGTGAAGCCCGGGGAATACACCTAGCTGACGAACATGGTCAAGATAACAGAGATTCAACGATCTGTAGAAGGACGATAAAAATTGGCTGTTTGACCTTGTATCAGTCATTATTGACTAGAAACGGCCACCGTACAGCATCCACTACAAGGCGCGCGGTCTTGCATTTGATTTCACGGTGCATCCCTGTCGCATATTTTTCTTTACCCAATAAAATTAGCTATCAGCTATGTTTAGTTCAAAGAGAGAGGTAGATTGTGTCCCTTTTTCTCGCATGGAAATTCAGCTTGTACTGTTCGCCCGCGTAAACATAAAAGAGATGTCTCATGGCAAACATCCAGTTGTCGTGCCCCAGAACATCCCCACTGCAAATGGCCACATCCAAGAGACCAATGAGGACCTTTCCAGCGTCGCGAAACTTGTGCGAATTTCAATTGCCAAGTTACATCCGCAGACATCGTAGTTCAAACGATGAACACAATTTAAAAGCGACCGCACTCCATAATAATTCGATTCCCCGTAGTGAAAAGCTTCTGAAGGCGCTGGAGATGTTTTGGCCGCCAAGAGTGTCTAATGTGTCACCGAAGCCTCGCCTGTGAATTACAGCTATAAGCTCACTTCGACGGCGGAGTAGATGATGGAAATCATCACGGAGATCCAGAATCAATTCAACTGTTACCACCCAAAAGGATACTTGCTGCAAAGTTGAGAAGTTATGGGTGTACTGTTACACTAGGCGTCATGATAGCCAAAGCTCGATTTAGCCAGAAACCTACTTTCATATGACATGACTTCTACTGCCGTGCTGTCTACTGGTTACTTGCATCGGCTAACTTCTGCAGAATAATTGGCTGCCGGCGGATGGACAGCGATCACAATACCCGACGTCGGATGAAATATGGAAGAGTAGAGCTGGGGAAGAAAGAAAAAAGAAAGCAGCCACTGATGGAGAGTCCATGCATTGAGACTTTAACAATAAATCCTAGCCCCATTGTGTATGTCTTTAAACAAATATCCAAAACCAACGTCTCTTGGGCCTCACTCCAAAACACTTCGGCCCCGCCAATAAGGCCTTTCTCTTCCTGTTAGTTGATTATTGTCACATGGAGTACGATTGGAATCTGAAAGAATCTATCATACGCAACCGACTAGCGGTGTAGATCGAAGACTGAGAAGATGTCATGTGAAGCACGCAACCGTAAAATCATGTTGTATCTATTACGTAGGGTTTGTTATACCGGGGGGGGTTAGTGAAGGTGCACTCATATGCACGGCTTGAGTCCTGACCATCAGTTAGCCCTGGCTTTTTCTTGAAGAAACTTGATGAATTGGTTGTAATATTTCTTGTGTACCTCTACTCTTCATATCTAGGTTCTATTCTTTTCTAGCTGAGGCTTTTACTGCCGAAGCCTATCGAAGAACATCCCTTGCCAAAGACTCAAAGCCTGCGACAGCTATGTGTATAATGCTATTAAAACATTTATCTCAGATAAGCTAATACTATTACTTATTAACTTAGGCAATTATGCCCAATCAGAGGGCTGCCATTTATTTATATGCACCAGGGACAGTACTGTAAGATTCTTATGTAAACTGACGCTATGTGTGTATCAAGGCAACCGCCTTTCTATCTTTAACAATAACAGTCACTCACTCGATCGAAGAATACTAATAATATCCTGGAAGGCTATAACCTGTCACTTAACGATTTAGATTAAAGGTCAAAAGGCGGTCGGTTGGACCTTTTTAATTAGGTCTCGCATGTAGCTTACAAAAGGACCTTAGTATGGAATAGAGATCCGTAGAGCTTTTATTCACCATCTTCTCGTTAGAAAAGATAGAAATTATGAAATTTGAAAACTATTTAGGACTTATCCTTTACAGTTCTTATAAGTCAAGCATAAAGCATTACCTCTTGCCACTAGAGCATATATGCTTCATTTAAATTGAAGTCTTTCTGGAATTATAGCTATAGAACTATTTCTTTATCTTTTCAATTTTGTTTTTAAAAAAAAAGAATTAAAAAAAAGGAAAGAAAAAGTAATAAGCTTCCACTAGTAGTAAATAGGATTAAGTCTAAGGTGTTTGCTCTATACCTAGCCTCCTGCAGTAACCTAAGTTACAAGTTTAGTCCCAAAGCAATGACCTTAAATTTTCTCCAACAACTAATAGAAGTTAGACAAGGAATACAACAAATGTGCTGAAAGGTCTTAGCAGAAATGGAAATGCCAGCAACAAACTTACAATACTGTTTTCCTCGCGACGGATTCTTCTCAAGGTATTGACTAATGACGGATCTCATACATGTCTTTGTATCGTGATCTATGGTCAGTTTTCCTGTCAATAAGGGTGGCAAATCAAGGTCATGGACTGGATTCTGGTCGCCGATGACAATGACAATAACAACAACGTATCCTGCTTTCCAAGAGCTTAGCTCATTTCTAAGATGGCCAAAAAACGGAGATAGAATGTATGATCTCGTGGTAAACCAAATTAACCGACTTTTGAAACATGGGCTATTCTTGGGCTCTAGAAGTCGTTGCCGCCATTTGAAGCAAGAGTAACCCTCGAATATGCCACTCTCTGTTGCGATGATGTCAAGGTCTTTTGCCAGATACGTGTAGGGAGATAATGGTGCACGGAGAAGCCCATCGCATGTGACTCTTACTTCTTCTCTGGTAGTCCTACTCCCAGGTCTTTCTTCAATGGCAGAAGGCGGCAAGAGTATTGTAGCTTCGTACTGCGAGCTATCTTGTCCCGTAACCCATGCAACTCTGTAGAACGTCCCGCGACTCTTTATGTAAAAGTCATGCTTACTATCAGGTACTCGAACTTTCAACTCTACGTATCGCCTCGCATTACCTTTGGGGGTGGCATTTTCAATACTACCTGGACGCCAGAGACCATGAATTCCAGTCGCCCCAAGGCCTATAATGCTCAGTCCAAGCAATAAAGACGCAGTAGACTGCAAGAGATGGATCATGCCACTTAGGATGCTTATGATCCCAACAATGCCGTGGAATGTTCTCCGGACCCTTGTTTGCATGCGAATGGCGAGGTACAGGCTGACACACAATGCCACACTGGTCTGCAAGGAAACAGTCAATGCCTTAGATTCATTTCATCGGGCCCACACGACTTGCCATAAACCCCATGATCCAACCTATCAGTGTATTCCAAGACGCTAGGCGATTTGGTTTAGCAGTAACCCGTTCTGCGAAGCATAGAACTACTTACTGAGACCTGACGTGAGGAAAAGTGAAAGGCCGACGTGGATTACAGTTTCAAGCAAGGCGATCCATGCAAACAAGCCGTGTGCCCAGAGCACTTGCTGTCTGCTGTGACGCAACACTTTGACCAGAATAATTTCGTGAGATCCAAACAAAAATAGAGGAAACAGGTTTGTGAGTGCTAATTTTCCGGAGCAGAGAACGACTCCACGGATTGGTTCGTCAGCTCTGGAGGCATGCCCAAGTGCAATGAGATTTTGAATTGCGATCAGAATTGATATGAGCGCTCTCGTGATGCGTGGGGGAGCGAAACCACTTTGATCAGAGTCGTCAGCTTCCAGCAAAGCCGTATATGACTTCTTGACGTTGTACTCGATCATCTGACATAAGCTATCCGCCTTTTTCTCCTCCGCTCTTCGTATATTGATCTTGTCGACGAGTGCCAGACGCAACTTCGGCACCCGGGAGCAGAGAATCCAAACGCAAAAACTCACCAGATAGAAACAAGATACTAAGAATTCCATGCAGAGAACTGTTCTCCTTCGGCCACGGGTTATGGTTATAAGAATGTCAATAAACTCCAGACGCTTTAGTGCAGGGTTCTTTTGCTATGTTACAAGTTGAGTAATGCTAAAGATAGAGCAACGTGCACGTTTAGAGGCTGTTGCATTTTGTCCTTCTCTCAACTAAAGGCTCTATTTTTAGTGACGTGCTGTACGCTTTGGGTTTCAGTATTGATATCGGTGAACCTGTACGCTCTGTGTAGGTGTAGAGCTGAGTTTCAAAGCGATTGTTATTAGGCGCTCTGGAACCTGGTGGCCATGTCCCAGTGAACCAATAAGTTCGTCACGTTCCGCATCTGCATCGATATTCGCAATACTGGCTGTAGCTTGTCTGTAAATTCGAAGTCGGTACCTTTGACCCTTCAGAAGCCAGAAATACCCGATTCATCCCATCTTTTCAATGTTCGCCGTCCAGAGAATCACAGAGATAATGCGTGTTTTTGCTCTTGCCACTGGTTTCGCGGCCATTGTCCAGGCTCCCGCTGTCCGTGCCCAGTACACCCTGAGTAATAGATACGATTCATCCAACTTCTTCAGCACTTTTGACTTCTTTAACGAAGAGGATCCCACTCACGGATTCGTCGAGTACGTTGACGCAACCACTGCAAAGTCTCAAGGCCTTGTGGCGTATGTCGACAATGCTATATACATGGGCGTCGATTACAAAACCCAAAATCCTCAGAACGGTCGCAAATCTGTCCGCGTGCACTCTCAACAGACTTTCACTCACGGTCTGTTCATTGCCGACATTGCTCATATGCCGGGAAGTATTGCGGGGGTATGGCCCGCGTTCTGGATGTTTGGACCTGACTGGCCTACATCGGGCGAGATCGATATAGTGGAGGGCGTAAACACCCAAATCCATAATAGTATCTATCTGCATACTGGGCCGGGCTGTGTCTTCACCAACGAGGGTAGCGACGAGAGCGATAATTTACTGGTTCAGGACTGTAGTGCACCGGGAGGCTGTGGTCAGATTACGGCAGAGAGTCAGAGCTATGGCGACGGCTTCAATAGTATTAATGGCGGTGTTTATGCGACTGAGTGGACATCTGAGTATATCGCTGTTTGGTTTTTCCAGCGTGATCGTATTCCCGGCGATATCCGATCCGGAGTTCCTGATCCTTTGTCTTGGGGTCCGGCTACGGCTAGGTTCAACGGTAGTGACGGCTGCCACATTGATGATCACTTCAAAGGCCACCGTATCGTCTTTGACATTACGTTTTGTGGCGATTGGGCTGGCTCTCCTGAGGTGTGGTATTCAAATCCTCAGACAGCGGCTCTAGGCGAGTGCAAAAACTACATCGCTTCCAATCCATCCCACCTACGGGAAGCCTACTGGCTCATCAAGAGCATCGAAGTGTACCAACAAGGTAGCCAATAAGCTATATCCAGTTTTCTTCCTTTCTTCCCTCCTTTCTTTAGTTTCTATCCCCTTTATTTGCCCCTTTATTTTCTCCTTCTCGCCATCTATGTAAATACCGCCAATATTGGCTATATTTGGGGTTTTTATGTATCGTCCAAGATTTCTCCAGGCGCTGACGTAGTACCTGTTAACTTAATCAAAGCCCAGTTGAGGATTCGGCCAGAGGATAGGGTATATTTGACAGCCAAGTTAGCAACGTATCTAAGGAGGTGTAACTATGATGTAAAGTGCAACACGCCAAGACTGTGAAATGGTCCGAGGTTTGCATACTTTGCGCCACGCAGACGCATCATCAATTAGCGCGACCTATAAGAGACTTTCGCGAGTCAATTGTTGACATTTTGATAAGTTTGTCAGCTACAAAATTAGAAAATGAAATGTGAATTCCCCGCTTTTCAACCAGTCTCACTTGTGACCAAGTCCTTGTTCATGTGCAATTAAGTACAGTACAGGGATACTATGATATGTGTTTGATGCAATTATGGACTTGCGTGACCACACATTATGTGGCTTCAGCCAAGGCTTGGAGGCATCTCACTTGTCATGAATGGTTGGCTGAATAACAGCAAGACAGGTTCCGATGCCATATGCTAACTATGTGTCTTTAACCCGATCCAATGGCTATCAGACGACGTCTGACAGAGAGCCGTCTCCCGGATGCATCCCGACTGCCAATTAAAATAGGGACTGAATGTCTGTACTAGACGTCGAGATTATCTTGCTTACCCTGCTCGCATCACACGTGAGGCGTGCCGATAAATGGTAAAATGAATGAACGAGTCGGGGCGCAGCAATATAGTGATCTATCCGTGCTTGTGTAGTCACATGCGAAACTTCCTAGTCGATAAAGATAGCGAGGGCCATGAAGCCTTGTTGCTCCAGCTCGACAGAACGAGAATTTGTGCCAGACTTGGGACGGTACAGGATCTCCATTCTTGAAATTAATCCGTATCCTCATTATGCTGCGCTCAGTTTATCATAAAAGCCGTAGATTTCTTCATGATATGCTTGTTCCAGAGCTTAGAGTTATTGACATGTGCTCGAATATAACTCGAGCAATATGAAGTCACCCTGGCGCAATCTTCTAATTCTAACAGCTGCTGTAGCATCGGGCTGCAGCGTCGGTCTCCTGTTGCATGTTGTACTCAATGAAAGAATAAAAACTCGCGGCATAGAAACGCTTCAAATCAAGGTACCCACTATCCCATCAACTGTCATAAACCTCCAACGCGGTCACGACAGGGGGGTCGACCCAATTAAAATGGCGCAAATAAAAGGTACATCTCCCCCCACCTAAATTAGCCTATGGTAGAAGTCCCAACAATCCTTCGAGTTACAAATCGCTACATCGCACTTGTCGCATCCCTTCCATGATTGCCGCGGCCGCCTTGGCCTCCTTCTGTTGCCGCTCACACCTGCTAAGGGCTTTTTTTTTGGCTTTTTGACCTAACCTCCCCAACCCGAAGGCCCTGACAAGGAATGCAGTCTGATTTTTTCCCTCTTGAGACGTAATTGTGCTGTTGAACAGGCGTAAATTCGTCCCCCGCTCGAAACCTTTGCCGCGACTGACTGTCATGGTGGAAAGCCTTGAAGATATCATTATAAAGCCGCTCACGCCACTCAACCTGACTCGTATATCTCTTCCAACTTGGCTGCCCGTGAAGCTGAAGAATATAGCTATTCACAAGGATAACCTCTAAGAGGAAGTGCCAAGTTAGGGCCTGCCAAGCACCCCGGCGGACAGGGTGATCATAGCTGTGATATGACCTCAATTGGTCGCCTCGATCTACATGATTCATCTCATTATTGTACTCAGCGGCAACTGTAGGAATGCTAATTAGCTTGACGGTCTCATCACCAAAGAAACGCTGTATCGGCCGTGCCCGGATGTGGTCTGTTGACGGCTTCTTCCTCTTACACTCAATTCTCTCGTTCCCCTTAAAAACGGTCGACATAAACAACACGAGAGCATTATCCTTCCACGCGATTTGGTTGACCTAGGACGAAGAGAGAACTTAGTAAGGGAATCATATATAATTCTATCTTAGTTACTTACCTGATTATCAGCTGTTGGTATGACCCGGATCTCATTAAACTCATAGCCTGATTTCCCTAACTTATCCTTGTTTTTTGAGACTGCGAGGTCTTTATAGATACCGCAGTTAGCACGGGCTGTGCCTGTAGCCCCGTGGCCGTGCTGACGAAGGGAGAGAAAGAGGTCGGACGACGAGAAGAGGTTATCCATAAAGACGTGGTATACGGCCGGCGGCAGCATATTGATAAGGGAAATAACCACGCTCTGAGTCGAGTTCAGAGGGATGACCTTATCCCTATTAGTCATAACCTCTATCACCTCCTTAACCTCCTCAACCTCCCGCGGCCTCGCCGGCCTGCCTCTGCCTCCTCTGCCTCTGCCTCTTCCCACTCCAGTCCTCCTCTTCTTAGTAGGTTCAACACCTACAGGGCCGTATTTTAGACCGGGCTGGTGCCAAATCCACCGTAAAAAGAAGCCCTTTTGGGCTACAACCCAAACCTTGAACCCCGTGTTGATCGGCTTGTTCTGTACCGTGGTTTTCTGGTGAGATCTCCCCTCATATTGGATCATGCCCTCATCCACAGCGAGATGAGAGCCCGGCTCTAAGAGCTGCGTTGATACGTATTGTATAAGATCAGACCACGGTTGTGCGCATTGGAATACCTCAGGGAAGCGTTCATCAGGTACGAATTCGGTGTGGTCAAAGGGTCGGAGGTGGCGATGAAGAAGCTGAAACTTATTGTAGGTCATAAACTTGATGATAGAGTAGGTAGGACGCTGGTCCCCAAGCAAAGAGGTTTTCCAATAGTCCTCGATCCTAGTTTCCTTGTGGAGACCAATATAAATCAGGATTCCAAGCCAGATGTATACATCGGAGACCTTGAGCCTCGTCCACTTTTGCAGCCTTGAGCCATCTTTCAGTTCGTGGTTTTGGCTGTCAATGACGCCGCTCCCATGCAAGCTGGCGACCCAGTTGTTGGTGTATTCAACCCAGCTTTCGACTAGGGAAACAGGCACAAAGAGCTGGAAGAGCTGTAGTGGCTCCTGGGGCAGTGGGTTGACCTTAAGGTCGCGAGGCGGCACGTTGAAAGGTTGAAAGTTGAAGCCGCGGTCTTCAGCTGGGGGAAACTCAGGCCGGCATGTACTATCAGCCGCTTGCTCGCGTCTGCTGTTTTCTTCTGTTATGAAACTATTATCATCATAGATATTGACTGCCGGTATCTTAGGAGGTATCTTTCGGGAGGGCATTGCAATGAGCAAAATGAATTATGTGCGATTTTAGCTGTGAAGGTCAGAGGGGTTTTTGGGTTCCCCACAGGTACCGTCACGATGACAGGGGTGATGTGGGGCGAGGTACGGAATGGAGGTTTATGACAGTTGATGGGATAGTGTCTCGCTTCGACTTGGGTGATGTTACAAACCGAGTACCGGAAGCTGCGTCCAAGATTGAAGAAGGAGCAAGTCGAGTAGTGGAAGACGTATCTTCGAAAGCTACTGCTATCTCAAAGGCTCTGGAGAACATACCAACCCAAGTGACTCTTGGTATGGACCAAGTATGCTGGCATGCCTCCAAGACCAAATGCACGCCTATCTGGAAAGGCCCAGACGAATGGTTTCCCGGTCCATTAGCACAGTTTTTCAAGCTCGACAATCATCCAGTGTATCTTGCTCTCATAAAATACAACATAAGAGTAGGCACTGCTGTGTCGTTAGCCGTCTACCTTTTTGCCATATCGGTCTTCATCGGTTGGCTAGTCGCGAGTTTATGGCCGAGGAATAGGAACAGCAGCGCAAGTCTAAAGAAGATGAAGGAAATGGAGAAAATTTTGTTTCGCCACATGGGAAAGATTATCAGTGTCATCGGCTTTTGCATCGTCGCTCCGCTCATACTGAATATTCTAGTCCTGTATATCATCGACACGGTCCTAGGAAAATTCACTATCACGGGGCTAACAAGAATACCTGGAGACCTCTCTATGTTGTTTACCATTTCATTGTTTCTTGCTGTCACATCTTTAGTTTGTTTAGTTTGTTTCCATCATGTGGTGACGAAGATTGCCCTACCTCCGCCTCCGCCGCGCCCCTAAGGTTCAGCAGCTCGAATTGACTTGACTTTTGCTGCGAGGCATCAGGCAGCTAGAAGGCGTACCTAGGAAGCCCCAGGCAATTGCATGACAGGCCAAGAATCAAGTAATCCTCACCAAGACCCACCTCCACTACCGTCCCCCAGCAACCATGTCGCTGCTACCTATTCTTGACTATATCACTTCCTCTGCAGTAGATCCTACACTTGACACCGTTTTTAAAGACGAGGTCAATTTAGGATAGAGTACAACGAGTGAACCAAGGTCACGCAAGTTTGTCTTGATATGCCAACCTCGGTGCACTATTCCTTATCTACATAAGCTCTATCATTGTCCAGTCTGGCTCTAGCGCTGCACAACAGACCTTCAGCAGATCTTCAATGGTACTCATTGCCAACGGCCGCCCGGCACAGAGTCTAGATTCCAAAAGTGCATCGTAGAGGGCCTTCGTATCTACCTTTTGGATCGAACGTGGTCCGTTGGCGCCTATAACTGCACCATATATAATCTGGTTTTGCTTAGCCGAGTAGCTTGAGTCACAGAGTTCGCGCTGCAGATGGGCTTCTTCCCCTCCCACTGCCTCAAGTAAAATTCGTATCAATGCAATGCAATGTAAGGCTAGATCGATATCGTCTTGATCCAATGACGCGAGCCTCTGGTACTCCATCTCGTCAACTTCGGACAAAGTGGCTACAATTTCTGTATCGCTCAGACCTAGAAGAGCTTTCGCTATAGAGTCATCGTATCTCTCAAGTAAAGTCAAGCCTAGGAGCTGAAGGCAGAGACAAAACTGTCTCTGGACATCTCTAGCTGATTCCTGTGATGCGTTAGTCGATATTCATCTTTACATGCACATAATTATCCATCGAACCGCAAGGACTCTGCCTAACGTCATCCACTCGAATAGCAAGTGCACAGCCTGGTAGTTGATTGCCGTGTATGCGGATGCAGGGACTTGACTCCGGGCAGACGAACCGCTGGGTTTCATAGTGTAGCTCTGTCCTCTTAAAATTCCCAAATAAGAGTATCAAATGCTCCATAGTGTCATCTCGAGGAGCCCGTTGTTTATTAAAATTGTAGAGCCTAAGCCTTGTCAGCCCCCGCCAAAGAGTGAGTCAACAAGTCGATATCTGCCGAAGGACTGTAGACTGCATGCAACGCGCTTCAAGATCATAAAGAAAGGGCGTGTGAAATACGAGAACAAGGTTTTCTTTTTGTGGAGGGCGGGGTTGTGAAAGGAGCGAAACGACGAATCAGAGTAGGGCATCCCCTCTACGTTGGCCCCGCATTTTGTGTAATCCGTTACGTGACACAAATCGCATGGTTGTGGTATCCGACAAACAATTGGCTATATTTAGTAACAACTTGATGATTGATTTTTGGATTGTAGTTACCATGTAGGTCGACACACCATGCTCTCATTCACTTTCTATTGCGAAATAGAGTAATTCTTATCAGGCGTGTGACAGTGACTTTGGCGTACAAATTGGCGTACAAAGTTGTCAGATATAAAAACCACTCATGCATTGCTCTAAGTGGGGATCCTCATTTTTGTGGCATGTGGTGTAGTTGGTAAAAATCTAACAATTAAGAGTCTCATTGCCTCAACCAATTTTTTTTAATACCTTGAAGAACCCTCTTTCTCATACATAATGTCCCTATCCAAGCCCCAAAAGGAAGGTCTTACGGCTACCCTCTCTAAGCCTGAGGACTTCCTCAACTGGGAGCATGAATTCCTCCTTCAGGCCCATCGTCTTGGTCTTCAGCAGCACCTCAAAAGCAAGACATTCCTCGGAGACGAACCAGCTATCCCGGATATAAGAAAACGCAGATATACGAAGACCGCTACAGCCCAACGAACAATCCGGTCTCATACTGCTGAATCTCAAGACGGCGCCCCAGACGACATTCAGGAAACGGCAAATGGAACATGGTCTATCTCTGACCTAACAGACCAAGGCCAGAAGATCTTCCAGCAGGATTTAACCTTTTATCAGCTACAAGAGAAGGTTTTCGAAAAAACAGAAAACCGCTCTTGGAACCCTTCAAGACTGGGTTATCCGTACGGTCTCTCCTAGCCTGATTCAAACCTGCTGTCAGTCAAATGAATCAATATACGAATGGCACAGGAACCTTCGTGCCAGGTGTGGAAGGACCGAGGAAGATGAAACGAAGGATGCCAGAAATAGGTATCTTACATTACTAAGAACTGCCCCAAAGACGGTCAGCCAAGCAGCATTCAAGTGGCTAGATCAATGGGAAGAGGCAATGGCGAAAGGGCGACAACGAGAGGTCCCTGAAACGCTCCACAACAGTGCGTGGGCCTGGGACTTCTTCAGTGTCACCACACACATCTTGCCCAGCTGGACTGCCTCATACAAAATCTCTTCAAAGACCCTATTGCAAAACAGGGCCCTCTCATACCGAGATGTAGGGAACGCCTTCCGAAATGAGCTCCAAGATGCAGAAGCCACGAAGGGCCGAGTGGCCCGCGGTGCGTTTTCTGCGAGCTATGCTGGGGAGGATCCCCAGGATGATGAAGGGGACGCCCACATCATTGAAGGTCAGTATCCATCTTCGAAGAAGGGAGAAAGAAAACGCCAGAGGTCTCCTGAGAAGAGACAGGAATGCCCGGCGTGTGGGTTATCCCACGAACTTGCGAAATGCTTCTATGTCTTTCCAAATCAGGCATGGAAGGGATTCAAGCCCCGAGAGAGGATCCAAAAGAAGGTGAAAGAAGCTCTCAAGGAAGACTCAGACCTGGAGGCCCAGGTAAAAGCCCTCACACGGAAGAAGGCCAGGACCTCAAAAGACAGAAACTTGATGCAGCCAACAAAGGAAGAAAACTCAGACCAATGACTGTACGGCCGACCAATCGCCGAAATCAAGGCCGCCTTTGCAGCCCAAAGGGATAACTATCCCTTACGGAACTCCGTGATCCTCGACCCCGGAGCTACTATCTCAATCACAAACAGTGCCAACAGACTAGCGAGATTCCAGCCGGCTATTCCAGGCGACTTCATCTGGGCTGGAGACCGAAGATTACCCATCTTAGGCTACGGAACCATGATCATCAGGCTCACAGGAACCCGAGTCCTAATGCTTGAAGATGTAGCTTATTGCCCTCGGCTCCTTACGACCCTAGTCTCCCTACGTCAACTACGAAAGAAAGGCTTCTATTGGGATAATAGGTGTAACCCAACGACCCTCCGACGACTCGACCGAACGATTGCATGCACAATCCATGACCTATACGGCCAGTATGTCATCGAATACCAGTCAGAATGCTTCCCAAAAGCAGCCTTTGTGGCCCACAGATTCAGCTCTTACACAAAGAAGGCCCCTTTGACGGGAGAAGCTATCCGCTGGCACAGTCGCCTAGGGCACCCGGGACCACAAGCTCTGGAACATCTTATCTCTGCCTCTCAGGGGGTGCGAATACGAGGACCAACCACTGTTGAATGCGACGCCTGTGGCATATCGAAGATCAAGAGACAAATCAGACGAGCCCCAAGACAATCCGATCAGAAGGCCGGCGAGCGTATCGCCATTGACTTCCATGACTACCAAGAAGGCATAGGCGGCTATACCTCACAGATGTTGTTAACCTGCCGAGCTACGGGTTACATCTGGGATTACTACCTCACAGCCCGGACGACAGAAGCTATTATCACCGCTTTCAAATCCTTCCTAAGTCATCTGGAAGTCCAACACGGCCTCAAGGTCAAAGTCATCGAATGTGATAACGAGATCACGGAGATCAAGCCGAAAATCGGAGACTTCCTGAGGAATAGAGCTATCATCATCGAGCCCTCGGCCCCATACACACAAGCCCAGAATGGAGGTGCCGAACGCTCAGGGGGTGTAGTCAAGGACAAGGAAAGGGCTATGCGAACAGGCGCAAAGCTTCCTCACCAGCTGTGGCCAGAAATTGGAAGGACAGCAGTTTATCTGTACAACCGAACGCCGAACTACGCATCAGGCTGGAAAACGCCATATGATCAACTGCATACAGCATCAGCCAAAGCAGCAGGGATTCCACAGCCGAAGAAACAGCCGGATCAAACACACCTACGGGCATTTGGCTGCAAGGCCTATGCAATGACCTCAGATGCCCAGCAGAAGGTCAATCGCAAGATGCGGCTTAAGCCCAAAGGTTGGATCGGCTTCCTAGTGGGATATAGGTCCTCGAACATCTATAGGATCTGGATCCCCACAATCAACCGGATAGTCAACACTCGAGACGTCATATTTAATGAAGACGAAGGCTGCAACGGAGACTGGGAAAGCTTTAAAGATGAACTACTCGAAGCTGACCTAGAAGAAATTGCCAAGTTCGTACAAGGATCCTCCCTGCCGGAACAAGACGACAACGAACAAGCAGAACAGGTTGAAGACTGTATTGAAGTGGCCCTTCCAACAACCACCCTAGCAGATGAAAGCAGCCCTATTACAGAAGAAACAGAAGACTTCATCGTGGCAACTGCCCTAGAAAACAGCCTCAAACAGTCAGAAGACTCTGATATCCTTCCAACACCTCCAGTCACACCACTGTCAGCTCTACTAGCGCACAGTTCCAGGGCCTTATCAGACGAAGGAAACAAAACAGTCTCATGGCAAGCGGCCTTCCTAGCCGGAACAAAGTCCCCTCTCCAGACCTCAATCGAAAGGAAGCTCCGACAAGGGGTGAAAATGCATCGAAACTCCCTACCGCCGCCCCCGACGAAACATCAAGACCTAAAGCATCACCCTTTTGGAATGCTCTTTCAAGAGGCTGAAGAAAGCCACCTTCAGAGTCACAAGGAAATGAGGTCCTGGACTGAGATTCGAAAGAAAGACGCTCGAGCCGTTGGCCAACAAGTCCTTGGCTGTATGTGGGTATACGTTTACAAGTTCGATAAACACGGCCGATTTCAGAAATGCAAGGCACGGCTAGTGGTCAGAGGAGACCAACAAGCTAAGGGAAGGTTGCAAGAGACATATGCAGCTACCCTAGCCGGAAGGTCTTTCCGGACCCTGATAGCCATTGCGGCCAGATTTGACCTAGAGATGGTCCAATACGATGTGGTCAACGCCTTCGTAAACGCCCCAATTGACCAGGATATTTTCATGCACATGGCCCCGGGGTATAAGAAAACAGCAACTATCCTGAAGCTCAACAAGGCCCTGTACGGACTACGAGCCTCTCCCTTGCTATGGCAGAAAGAACTCTCGAAGACCCTCCTAGAGATAGGCTACACACAGATTCCTCACGAACCTTGTTGTTTCAAGAAGGAAGGAGTCCTCTTCTTCTTTTACGTTGACGATGTTATCATCGCTTACAGGAAGGCCCGGAAAGACAAGGCCGATGAATTGACTAGACAGCTTGGATCAAAATACAAGCTAACAGGAGGAGACCCCGTGCAATGGTTCCTAGGAATGGAAGTCATACGGGACCGACCTGCAAGGAAGATTTGGCTGTCTCAAACAGCCTACATTGACAAAATCGCAAATCTAGCTAACAAGGGAACATCTACAGTACCAATGACTCAAACAGAGCTACGACCTCAAACAGGGCTAGCAGCCCCGGCAGAAATTCAACGATATCAACGCAAAGTCGGCTCGATCCTCTATATCGCCGTTAACACCCGGCCTGACATAGCCTTCGCCACCTCCAGGCTGGCCCGATTTCTTGTCAACCCTGGCCAAGAACACCAAGACGCCGCCGACCGCGTTATCCACTACCTCTCACACACAAGGCACCGAGCCCTACGATTCGGAGGACCCGGAGGTCTTACAGTTGCTAGTGACGCTTCTTTTGCCGATAACACCCTTGATCGGAAAAGCTCCCAAGCGTACACTATCCGACTATTCGACGGGTTGATCGGCTGGAGAGCTAGCAAGCAGAATACAGTCACCACATCCACAACAGAGGCAGAGCTCCTAGCCCTGGCACAGGCTGCTAAAGAATCCCTCTATGTGAGTCGGCTGTTGAAAGAGCTTACAGTTCAGATGGATGATCCGACTATCCGTATCGACTGCGACAACACTCAAACTATCAACCTTGTGGCCGCCGAAATCGCTACTTTGAAGACTAAGTTGCGGCACGTGGATATTCACAACCACTGGCTGAGACAGGAGGTCCAAGGAGGGAGAATTCAAGTCAAATACACCAAATCGACGGATATGATCGCAGACGGATTAACAAAGGCCCTGCCGGCAGGCAAATGGAACCGCTTCCTCTATCAACTTGGCCTGGAAGATATTCAGAAAAAAAAACAGCAGTATAGCCGGAAGCAAGAAGGAATAGAAGCGAGGCTCCAGAAGATAGAAGACTGCCTAGGAAATGCAGGCTCAACTGGGACCTATTGAGCCTGAGGGGGTGTGTTGAATGTTGGAGGGTTCACCCTCAACTTCAGGATTAAGGTTCAGGATTAAAGTTTGAAGTCCTAAACTTAAATCGTAGGACTTTCATCTAGGACTTTCTAGGACTCAAGTCCTAGAAGGAACCAGTCGAAGATATAAGGTCTCAATAGTCCTTCGATTGCGACAGAATCAAGAAATATACACGATTCACCTTAATATCTGACAATTAAGAGTCTCAGTGCCTCTCGGGCGAGTCACCTCTTGACGTTCTGGGTTCGATTCCCAGCACCCGCACCCTTAAGTAAATTCTCAATAGGTAGAGAGGTTGTGTCATACTTCTAACAAGGGGGTCACTCACACTTCAGGTTCTAGGTTCGAGTCCTAGCTTATTGGGCAGCTGGAGTGACCAAAGTCATTCCAGCTGAGGGGGTGTGTCAGATATAAAAACCACTCATGCATTGCTCTAAGTGGGGATCCTCATTTTTGTGGCATGTGGTGTAGTTGGTAAAAATCTAACAAAAGTACATCTTCAGATTTCTAGTTTAATGCCCCATGTAGGCAGCCATACAATCAGCATGTCAGCATTATCAGCCGGGTACAGAAATATTCTCAGCACTGCAAGTACCTATGACTCAGAGCGCACCCACCAGCCTCTTTTATCTCCTAACAGTCTCCTAATCCTGCCTGCTTCCATCCAACATTTCACGCTTTACGGGACCCTTAGATATTGGATAGAAATTATCGATGTATTTAATAGTGTAAAGACCTACATCACCTCGTTGAAGTTGAAATTTTGAGCCGAGGTTGGATGCGTTTTCCATTGACTTTTGGCGTCATGCTTTCACTTCTGTCCGCATCTTTATCTTTCCGGGATAGGACTAACCTAAATACTTGAAAATAAATACAAATAGGACAACGCTTTTTGTTCTCTTCATCAGAAGAGCTCAAATATCCCTCCGGATTAGATCTGAGATTGGATGGGTTCAAGAACCTAACCTACAAGGTTAATAATTCGACCTTTGGCGCTTACCCTAGACTCAGTGAATGTCTACTGCCCAGGTTGAACCAATCAGAGACATTGTTAGCTTCATCGGTTGGTGAATTATCTTTTGTGGATACCTATGACACTACTTGTAGACAAAGTGCATTCTTAACGTTCTCGATATTCGCCTTCCGTGACATTGCTGACATTCTGTACGTTTCCAGGTTTTAGCAGTTTTGGGCTTCTATAGCATGCTGCGATGTCCTGATGTCAGGAAGAAGGTATAATCGGGCAAGAGGGTAGCTGAAGGCAACGAGTGTGAAAGTTAGGTTATAAGACATTATTCGGAGTAGGCTTATGAATACCAAATTCGTATGTATACGAGCACCTTCGCCTTGCTTATATAATCTGGTCTTCTGTTTCTGCGCGCATCCTCTTGTCTTTATCCCTCTGAGTGACACAAGCCTTCGCCGCATTAATTACCTTCTAGACCCCATGGACAAGAGCTCTTGCGGCTCAAATCTCAGTGGCGTCACGATTGGTACAAAGGCAAGGCCGTGACATTTAGCGGAGGCTTGTCACGCTCCAAGTGGAAGCCACGTAATGAGACGGCGAAGCTATTTTTCTGATGACTTGGTCCAATAAAAGGGGCAAGAAAGAGACCAGAGTATTTAATAATCATCTACTATCATATCACTATTATATTGAAGTAGTGAAATAGATTTCGGCTAAAAGAGAAGGTGCTAATATGGAGTCAGTGGCCTGTTTTGCAAACTCAAATCAAATCATGGTCAGGAGCGGCGCTCGATACTCAAGCCAGCAGCTTAGTGGATAATCCTGGATCGACTGTTTTTAGCCGCCCAACTGGGCAACTTTCTTACCATAACATGGTTCAGAGACTTATTTAACACTCCCGTGGCGACATACGAGGTGTCGAAATGAAGCACAGTATGTATGTCTACTCCCCTATAGTCAAAATATCTTGGATAATTCCGGTTTTCATTGCGGTATCATCGCCCTGTCTAGCTTCTTCATCACCAGGCTCTTCATCAGGAGTGAAGCCATGTGAAACAAGCGCCAGTAACAGCTTGGATCGCGGACTCTCCACTGGCATAGGCCATTACATGACGCCACGCACTCCGGCGAGCATAGATTCAGCAACTATGATAAATCAGGTTCAAGAAGCAGAAGCAACCATTGCTTCATTCTCTACATCGGGCACAATAATATCAGACTCTATATCCACCTATGTAGATGAGCTATGGATCAGTGTAATAAGCCATGCTGTAGCGATTGGAACATTGGTACCAACTGCCGAGGCTTCATCGACCGATACATCCAACGGAGAGGTGATAGAGAGCATGGTGCCTACTAATAGCGGTAAAAGCTCATACGCAACCACATCGACTGCTAGAGTAGAGGTTCGAGGATCTAGTAGTTTGGGAACGGGCGGGGTGGACACCCTTACAACTCATAGGATGAGGGTGAATTCAATAATGGAAGAACTTTTCACACGAACAGAAAAGCCAGAGGCTTTTTCGACAACCAAGTCCACTGAATCCAGAGTGATTATTACTTCAACTGTCACCAGTGAGCAGAAAGAAACAGTTACAAGAGCTTTGTCTGGTCAGACGTCTCCGACAAGCTTGATATGCGGAAACCCGACTGACTTGCCAGGCCGCAGCGATGCTGATCCTCAATTTGTAAGAACCTCTTCATTTGACTGGTGTTTTTTGCCAGCAGTTCAAGGGTTCATGCAAGCCGGTGATGAGTGTGTGATAGATGTAAAACGCAGCTCGGATGATGTCCTCTATGAGTACTCTATTTGCTGGGCAGTGGATTGTGTGGGCGAGCCACAAGCCAAGCGGAAACCACTTGGGGAAGACGGGCCGAAATGTGAGGATATCCTCTACGAAGACTGCTGGCAGGCGTGCCGTAATAATGAGGGGATGGGGGGACAAGTTCAAGCTGGCTGCCTTGTCTACAAGGTACGGACAGGTGTTGGAAAAAGCCAGGGATATTCACAAGACGGAAGTCGGCTTTAATCAAACGAACAAGATTGATAGTTGGGCACTTTGATCGCATCTTTACACGGTCGGAGACATGTAGCCGTCCAATCAAGTGTTGCAAGGACCTGTGACGCAGAGACGTGAAGGTGGAGAGCGTGAGGGCGTGACGATACTGGAAAAGGGATTATCACACATGCTTGTTTACCTTTCTAGGAGGAAAGAGCGCGAACTCTATTACTTTTGTACCAGTTCGATAAGGAGCCCGTTTTGTGAAATGTGAGTCTCGACAAAACCATCAATACGCCCCAAGTGCTCGAAATCAACTAAGTAGAGAGTCACCCAACCCTATTGACAGAAATATGTTATTTTACTCTACTCTATTGAAGGCATTAAAAATAGAGTGATGGCTGAGGTGTGGAAAAGCAAGGGCAGTAACCAACTACGCTCTACAAGTCGATGTTATTTAGTGAACCAAACTAATTTCTCTGTCAATCAAAAGGATATTCAAAGGCGCCTTTGATAGCTAACGCAAGCTATGAGATGCTATATGTCACGATACATAAGCTCCTTATCCGCTCGTAATTCATGGACCGCTTTGGAGCCTTCAAGAAATATCGAAAGTCTTTGGCTACCGCCCTCAACGAAAGAAGATCCCATATAGATATGCCCGAGCCAAGATCTCTTTGTTTACTGTGCCAAAGGCCTCGATCCAGCAAGAGTCGCCTACATAATAGCGATTTCCTAGACAGACTGATTTGTTCCAGGTCCAGGACTAGGTGTGCCAGAATTAAGCTTTCACTTCACGACGAATTAAGTAAGCCACTCGTTGTGGATCACGACAGTGCTATGCATTACGGAAGCGAGCCCTACGGAACGAGAGAATTGTCAACGAACATGTTGACTGACTATACAAAGGGCAACATAGCAGAACTTGCGGGGGATTCTGTAGCGCGCGGCCGCTCCTCTTGGGTGGATACAACGGAGGATCGGGCTCCCATCGTGAACTTGGATTCGAAACCACGCAGAAGACATCATGAACATGCCTTAGCTTAACGGTTTTCAACTTGCAACCTACATTTGTGTCCAAGACATAATAACACGAAAATACAAAGCCTTTCTTGGCTGTCGGGAAATCAGTCCGTATGCGTGAAAAATACACGCTAGAGCTAAATTAGATGAGTAACCACGAGTAGTTTGTACAGGCAACATGAAAATAAGTAGACCAAGCGGCGTCGATCAACCAATCATACAAATTATGCGCCATAAGCTACAGGATGAACGATAGTGAAATTCAGTCCCGCTTTTCTGCGTGATGCCATTCATTTGATCAAAAACATGGAATCTCTATTGCTGACCCGAGAATAGCGCCCCCTTCCTCTCCACTTCGGGCACGCTTAAAGCAGGTGTTGAGTGCTACAAAAAGCTTCATCGATAACGGTATAGCGTGAGTGCAGACTGGATGAGTTCACAAGACGTTCACCAACCTTCTCGAGCTAAGGCGCGCAGTTTGTGCTAGCCATTGACTAGCATCAACTCTAAATAACAATTCTATTAGGAACAACCTTTTCTTGGAAGGAGCTTAGCACGCAAATCAAGTACCCGTGACATTTACCATCCACTACTAGACGTCATCGTGGCAATGACTGTGGTTCATAGTAGGCCTGATGTTCACTAGCTTGATCATGTCAGAAGGACATAACGAAAGTAGACTATCAGTAGGAGGCTTGATGAGTAGTAGAAATCCGAGTAGTAATGGCTCCACCATCCTATATCTCGGACAGGACGTGCCTTCTTGTCATCTATCTACAGTGTCCCAAATCGCCCAAAATTCATGCTAGGACATAATGATTCAAAAAGCAAGAAAAATGATTTTAGGAAAAAGTCGCGATGACCGTCGACCGAATTCGTGTCCAGAGATTCGGGTTGCAGCCGTTGTGAGCCCATTGAGTCATAGGCATATGGAGGCCAGGGAAGAGTTATGCTATATTCGACCCGACTATCTTCAACCCGGGCATGCATCACTTTCAGACAGTGATCTTAAACACAATAGCATGATCCCTCTCCCGCTGTCCATTTCAAAGCTGCGACGTGGGAAACAGATCACAGAGCTGACGAATGGCCAACTCACTGCAGGCCGTCGAAGCAAAATACTAAGCGGCATCACCCACGAGATACGCGACAATGACTCTCCCCAAACTCTGGATACATCGCATGTAACCCTATCGCCACAACCTCCAGATGAGGAAAACATTGAGAGGAGAAAGGATGCTGAGTACTTCGCCGAGAAGATTGCACAGTTCTATGGCTTCGATGTTGTTTACGTCGCTAGCATAGACTCTACTTTACTAGAGCAAGCCCGACCTAACACTTTTGCAACGGTACTTGTGGCTTATACTGTCCCAGGAGTGAGTTTGCCGCGGCTGGTACCAACAGCGCTGTACCGGATGCCTGTTGAGGAGGATGGGTGGATTCACGATTTCGAAGCGTTACCATCCGACTTCCAAAGCGGATATAGGCGCCTTTTCGATGGAAAATCGGTTAAATATGTTTTCATGTGTTTTGCCAGGCCCAGAGCTCGATATACCGCATCAACTGAGTAAATTCGTTAGAGCCTGTGGATCCCATTAGCGTCAGCCTAGCCCAAATAGGAAGGTCATTACATGCGGCTCTTCCCCGCACATATCAGACGATCAGGCCGAAAATACTCAGACCTGGCATCTAATTAATCGCACACCACAATTTACATCGCAATTGAAGCTATCACCACATTTATTATATATCAAAATGTCCCCTGGAGCGAGATCTATCACTCCCCAAAGTTCTGGGGCCGGCCGACCGCCTAAACCCAAGAAACGTGGGCAGAAGGCAAAGCCAATCCAGGATCGGGTATATAAGGTTGCAAAGCCGGTTTTTCGGAAGGAAGAGAGGCATTCGAAGGAAAGGCGGCTCGAGGTAGTGGTGTTCCTATATCATCATCGGGTTTTCGATCCTGACCACCCAAAATCGATCAATGGATATAGAAGACCGTTACAAAGCGAGGCTGCTGCTTACTTTCAAGTTAAGCAGACCACGATAAGCTCTTGGTGGAGAGAAGATATGCAGAACATAGAGAAAGAAAAACGAAGCTATTCCGTCCGGTGGCCTGATCTCGAGAAGCAATTGTTTGAAGAGTTTATCCAGCTGCGATTTCAACAGCGCGCTGTATCAACAGCATGGTTCCGAAAACGGGCAAAAGACATATTCAGATCATCAGTATCGTCAGAGGAACAAGCTGTATTATTTACATTTTCTAATGGCTGGTGGGCAGGCTTCAGGAAGCGATACAATATCGTCAAGCGTAGGGTTACAAAACGGGCTACTCAACAACCTGAAGCTTATCGCGAGATTTGTGGATCTTTCTGTAAGTTCATTAAGCGCGTACAACACGATCAACAATTATCGCCATTAAAACAGCAGTTATCGCCCAAAATGGATATTGAAAACATCCTTAATACGCCCCGAAGACGCTTTAAACAACGGTATACTTTAAATGTTGATGAGACGCCTATAACGTTCGAAATTGACTCCGGAGATACCTGGGCTTTACAGGGCTCCAAAACTATCTCGGTGAAGACTATCAGAAGTGGGTGGGAAAAGCGGCAGGCAACAGCGATTTTATATATCTTCGGTGACGGCGTTTGCCGGCTTGAACCTACGATCATATTTAAAGGTTCCCCAGGCGACAATTCCAGGATATTTCAAGATGAGGGTAATCAGTACGCTCCAGGGATCAAGGTGATATACAATGATCATGCATATAATAACGAAGACCTGATGGAAAGCTGGTTAAAAGATGATATCCCGACCGTCAAATCAGCAACTGAGGACTTCCTTTTGGTGATGGATGCCGCCACTTTCCATCTTACGGATCGGGTCAAGGAGGAAGTCAGGAGACAGCTTGTGACTCCAGCTCTTATCCCGGCCGGCTGTACGAGCCTATTACAGCCGTTAGATACGACAATAAACAGGGTATTTAAACAATTCTATCGTGAGGAAATGGATATATACGAGCTAGAAGAAGAACGGAAAGGAAAAACTCAGTGGACCGTCAGCGAAAGAAGGATCATGACAACGTGGATTGTCTACAGAGCTTGGGAGAGGATAAAAAAAGAACAAGACATGATCAGAGACTCGTTCCTTCGATCAGGAATAACTACAAGACCAGACGGAAGTCAAGATCATCTTATTTCCATCAAAGGAATTGAAAATATCGACTTTTCAGGCTGGGAGAATGCTGGGGATATATCTATTAAGTCGGAAGAGCTTGTGGACCGGCTGTGTGACGAAGAGGAGCTTTCCTTCGGTCCTGACGAGGAATACGACCAAGATACCCTCATATTGGCACTGAGACGACTGAAAGTCGCCCAATTACGGCAATTGGCATCTTCAAACGGGCTGTCAACGAAGGGGAAGAAGTCTGACCTTATTGAACTGCTCAGAAGTCATTTAACTACTGTAGAAACAACTGAGGACTCAATTACAGTCCAAATTGACAGTCCTAGAGTTATATTTAGGGCAGAAGATAGTCATACTTGGTCCTGACCGTCAAATTGATCGTCAACCCAGAAAAAAGCCTCCCCTTCCTGCCACTCGCGATAACGGCCGAGTCTTTGGTCGAATTTCTTCCACCTTTTCCCTCTACGTTCAGGCTTACAAAAACACCATTTTCCCTTCTTTAGGACATCATCAACTAATTGACGACTTCTTATTCTAACCCAGCCGTAGTGAGTATCATTTTTCGTCAGGGAAATCCCTTCTTCTTGACCAGGCGAAGAGGGGAGTCGATAAACGAGGCGGTAGGTCTGTCCGATCGCGAAGCATTCGTCGTCATCGAAATCTTCGGTTACGTCTGTATATTGCGTCAAAGTTGTCAAAAAATGTCGTTCTTTCGCACACACATACAGACGATATCAATAAATGCATTCCCTAAATTAGAAGTCATAGCGACCGTAAGAAGTCGAGATATCAGCGAGGTACCAAGGAAATCCAAAGGAGGGGAAGGACAGTGGAGGTTGGGTTCGCAAATTGGTGGTAACCACATATAGTTAGAAACTGCGGGCCCATGCATTAGCTTGACCCCACAGGCTCTAACGAATTTACTCAGTTGATGCGGGTAGTGACCGCGAGTCTATAACGCTATTTGAGGATGCTGAGTGGCTAGCACAAGCAGTCATATCACGGCCATTTTGGATATGACGTAATGATTCCTATCAGTCTTTTGAGCATTGTTGAAGAGCCTGGGCCAGTTGAGGTTTATATTTAATATTTATTCAGCCTTATAGATCCTTTTTGTTCCTGATTACCTATGCGATTGGTTCATGCATGGTAGGCTGCTTTATGTCATGCCTCGGTAGCCGAATTACGTGTTAGGCTGACGAATGTTATGCACTTATCAGACAAGTATAATGCTACAGGGTAGCTACATATTTATCAAGGCCGAAGCTAAATAAATCAAGGGCTACTAGATCATGTCCTGGCAGTCAAATCAAGAGCCGGGTTTTTAGTCATCCCAGCTCTAGCGTGATTGAATTATGAAAGGCCTTACCGCGCCGGCTTGATGCCTCATTTGCATCCCGAAGATTCCGGACCTCAATATTCTCATGGATTATTTCCAATTGCAATAGATGCCAAGGCTCCTAATATTGACTCTAGAGAGCTACTATAATGGCTCCTAATTCATCTACTAACGTCTTTAGACTAAGATTAAGTCTCAAGGACTATCTTGGGGGTCTTTGAAGCCCATGGTGTTGATGGTTTGGTGGCCTCGCTAGGTGGTGTTGGAGCCCGTAACTGCACATCAAGGTTTAAGACTACATTTTCCGGGTTGCAAGGGGCATGACCAGCTCCTCTAGAACCTCCTCGTATGTTGATTTCTGTAAAGGTGACCTTAAATGTCGTATATAAGGCTAGAAAGATCTCAGCATTGGAAATATGGGTTATAGACCATCTGATCAGATGTTCTATTTCTCGACCATCAGCCTGTTAAAGTGGCCCAAAGCACACAACATCCCAAGTTCGAAGTAGGTTATATGCGTGAGTGGGCATACAGAGGGTGATAATCTTGTTCTCCTTGTAATATCTCTCGAAATCAGCAGAGTAGTGGCCTTAGTGACCATCAGATGAACGGTTAAATATAAGAGGGAAAAGGGCGGCGCCCGCTTATTAAACACGTTGTACTATATTACGTTTAATGTTTCTTTCCATTATTTCTTTATTATATCCCTTAATTATACTACTCTTAGGAGACATCAAAATTCACACCTACTGCCCGTTTCCTAACCGATTAGAAGCTGAAATATAAGCCTTAAGATAAGGCAGCCACGTACAGGAGCAATCTCAAGTAGTGCAAGTACATTGAAAGGCTGGGCATTCACTAATGTAGTTTATTCGTTCACAGAGTCTGTGGGCTTCCGCTTTAATGCGAGGTGTTATGTTAGTAATGTTTTGTGGTATAAGAGTGATGTGAAAAGAAGAAAATGGAAGAGACCAATGCTGCAGTAAAGTCGTCTAACCCGTGTGGGTCTATGGCCCAGCTCTGTCGGAACGGGACAGCGTAATCTGGCGTTTTAGGGAGAATATTGTGGACATAGTGTGTAGCAGTATCTGAGTTCTATAACTAGAGATTCCATCCATCATCTTTTATATTTTATTGCATCGCTTGTTCCTAATTTTGATCATGATACAGATAAACTCTGTCAACAGTGAAGTGTTGGTCTCTTGGCCTGGCTTTATTACAGAGCTAGCACTGTTGGTTTTTGCCATCGCTGTGCATCGCCGTTATTTCTCCAACTTGTCAGACATTCCAGGGCCTTTCTGGGCATCTGTCACTCGGCTCTGGCACGTATGGATTATCCTTGAAGGTAAACAAAATGTGAGGCTCAAGGCCCTTCACAGAAAACATGGGCAATTCGTTCGCATTGCCCCTAACGAGGTCAGCGTTTGTCACCCAGATGGGTCCACACTACTGCTTCGTGCCAATTTACATAAGGTCAGTTCTGATCGTGCGATATAGTCTTGGTGCAAAATCCCTAACGATCTACATAGGGTGACTGGTATAGCGTCACGGCAGTACCCGATTATCGATTTCAAAACCCCATGTCAACTACAAATCCCAAGATCAAGAAAGCTCTTTCGAAGCACTTCACAGCAGGCTATGCTTTGTCCCAAGTCCTCAAACGAGAACCAGATGTCGATGAGAATATTGAGCATTTACTTCGCTGGGTAGAAAAGTACGCCGAAGACCGGATGCCGATGGATCTGGACAGATTTATAACATATACGACGTTTGATAACATAGGCTCCGCCTTGTTCTCTGAGCCGTTTGGATTCATTAGGGCTGTATGTCACGTTCCTTTGCTTGCTTAATCTCTTTCGCCTTGCCTTAAGAAGTTCGAAACATTGTTCACATGCCATAGTGATGCTAACTTCTACAGGGTCGCGACATCGACGGCACATTAAGGAACAACGTGGCATTGAGTAGATTTGCAGCGGTAGCGGGCTTTTTCATAGGCCCTTTGCGTATCCTTATCAATCCTCTTAACAGTTGGTTGCTGCTTCTACCTATGGGGCACCTCTACAGAACAACGTCAGTCGCCATCAAGAAGCGTCTGAACAACCCCGAAGCACATAATGACATGGTCGCACATTGGTTGGGCGCTCACCAGAAGTCTGGCGGACTCAGCCTTCGGAAAATCGAAGCACAGGCCAACGTCAACGTGGGAGCAGGGGCAGAACCTGTTTCATGTGTGTACCACCTATAGTCAAACAGTACCGTTTCTCAGCCTTGCCATTTACTGATTCAAGCCAACAGCTGCAATACAGAGTCTTTTGTATCACCTAATTCAGCATCCCGAAGACTGGCTTAGGGTTCGTAACGAGATTCACGCCGCGAAAGCTGAAGGCTCGTGCCATGGTCGCGTCGTTTCGTTTCATGATGCCGACAATTTAACATACTTACGGGCCTGCATCAAGGAGGCATTGCGTGTGTTCAGCCCCACGACCATGGGACTGCCTCGCGTAGTAGCAAAAGGAGGAATCAACATCGCAGGTCGACATTTTAAGCACGGCACAATCCTAAGCGTATCTTCAAAGTGAGTGCATGGAACAATGCGTTCCTCCTCTGGATATGCTGACTACTCCTAGTGTGGTGCACTCATCAAAAGATATTTGGGGAGATGATGCCGATCAATGGAATCCAGAACGTTGGCTGTCGGGAGACACGAAGAAGTTGGACAGGAACTGGATAGTGGTAAGCCCTTGAAATGTCTGGTTTTGAGAAATGGCTAAATGAGACAGTTTTCCGCTGGATATATGACATGCCCTGGCCGTCATTTTGCCTGGATGCAAATCTGCAAAATGGCGGCTACGCTGTTGCGTAACTATAATATTACAGTCCCGTGCAAAAGTTCCGACACATCCGAGGTCCGGACCCCGCTTTCAATTAAACATCAACATCAACACCACAACTTCATCGCGTTATTTCTATAGGAAAAGATGCCTCGAATACGGCAAAAAACACATCATTCTCCTTGCAAAAGAACGAGGTTTGTGACGATGTACGAATCAGGTGTTCGCGTGCAGGATATCGCAGACAGTGAGGGGCTAAGTCGGCACGCGATCTATGGAGTCATTCGACGGTACCGTCACCAACAATCAGCAAAAGATTTACCTCGCTCTGGAAGGCCATCACGACTATCAGATATAGATAAAAATCATATCAAAATACTCATTGGAAGAAACGCTTTTATCTCATACCAAGAAATAATTGATTGCACCTGTTTGAACTGCAAAAGAAGCACAATTCGTCGCTGGCTTATCAATCAGAAGATACAACACAAGCTTGCACTTCGACGCCCGTTTCTCAGCGAAGAAAGTGCTCAATTGAGAAAAGCTTTCTGTGAAAAATATCGTCATGAAGATGAGTCTTTTTGGTATAGCTGGTGGTTTTCTGATGAGGTCTCTATCGACCGTACAGACGGTGACTATACCAAGTGGTCATTTTACTCTGCTGTAAGTCTAGCCCCTTCTATTTCAGAAGCTTCTTTTGACAACACCACAGGGTGAGAGACTCCATCAAGATAAGGTGCAGCCCTGTAGACGGCCTGCCAGACATTCTCAGATGTTCTTTGGTGCAATTCACTATGATAAGCCGTCTAGGATCGTCCCTCTTGCCGGCGATCCTGAGTCTGAGAGGGGAGGCGTAACAGGAAGGATTATTCTATCCTGTTTACAGTCTTATCTTCCCGGACTGGTCGAGGAAGGAGAGACTTTTCAGCACGACAACGCCCGTACATATAAATGCCGGAAAGTTCAGAATTGGCTGCTGCCCTGGGCAAGAAGAACAGGAGTCTTTCTTGCTGACTGGCCGCCATACAGCCCTGATCTCAACCCCATTGAAAATCTATGGAAAGTCCTGAAGAAGAGGATATGCGATAGATATCCTGAAATTGCTGCTTATCCAAAGTCTGCAGCAGCTTTGGCCCGGCTGATTGAAGCTGCAGAGGAGCTTTGGTCGGAGGTCGAAGATGAAGTGGTCAAAAACGTGATAAAATCGATGCCCGACCGGTTGAACGCCTGTTACAACGCAAATGGCTATTATACCAAGTATTAAACTATATTTCTGGAATCTCCTTTTAAGTCTCTACAGATTGATATATATATTATCTAAATTGAAGAATTATTGCCCATGCAATTGCAATCCGAAATGGCAGTATGAGATCGAGGTAGTTGGGGTGGATCCGGAATGTGTCGGAACTTTTGCACGCCCACTGTAGCCAAGTCGACCCCAAGAACCAGTGGCGATACCAAGCGAATTTCACGGCTCTGACTTACTCGTGGCCCGTCTGGGTTGAGAAACGGGAGCACGAAGTGGGGGTGCATCCTGACATTTAGACTCTCCCTGCACATAGAGATCAGTTCTAGGCAGTATTCTTAACATTTCCATAACGTAGGATAGGCGAGCTAGATAAGGGAATAAAGAAATACAATACAACATGAGTTTATTTTAGCTAGCCTGGTATTACAGTACTAAGCACCTGCACCTTCTAGTCCAAAAAAAAAAAACATGCTCTTTGTAAAGTCTAGGGTGGGTACATGGCAATTTCTGGCTGAGCGAATGAAGTACTTAGAAATACCGATGCTGCCTGGAGTTCTGGGTCGCGAATCTTGGAAGTGGGGACAGACCCACAGTACGAATCATAAGTACTGTCGCTTGCATCAATCAGGTAAGTACATCGAGATGAACGCTTTATGTTTAGGGAAGAGTGAAAATAGTGTGGAAATTTCCTTAAGCTAGATATGTGCGGCTTTGTTTATCTCCTAAGAGCTCAAGGGGCTCCAACCAGGTCACTATGAGGGGTCGTAGCCAATTAAAATTCACTGAATAGAAGGTACCTCGTATGCCACCTAAATTATGCGGTGGTAGAAGTACCAACAGGTCTCATTATTACAAATCGGTACATCACATATCTTACACCCGTACCTAGTCTGCCGGCTGTGATGCCTTCCTCTTGCATTACCGCTGATTTCAGCGAAAGCATGCCTATTTGGGCCTTTTGACCTTATCTGCCCTTGCCGAAAACCCTGACAAGCTAGGCACCTTGAATAACGGCCACGATAGACATGGTTGATGTTCCTGTCTATGTGTTTTTGCCGTGTTTCTTGATCATTGATGTCCTCTTCAGCCCCTGACCGATAGGGCTTTCTTGCTTGACTTTCTTGATGATATGTGTTGAATAGGGCGTTTGAAATACACTTCCGCCAATCCTCCTGTGACTTATATCTCTCCCAATTTGGCTGGGGACCATGTAGTTGAAGGATATAGCTATTAGTAAGTGCAACATCAAGAAGGAAGGTCCAGGTCAGAGCCTGCCAAGCCCCCCGGCGAAGGGGGTGATCATAGCTTGTGTATGACCTCAATTGGTCACCTCGGTCTATATGGTTCATTTCATCGTTATAAGCGGCAGCTGCGGTCGGTATTGGAACGACTTTAGCGGTCTCGTCACCAAAAAACTGCTGTATTGGCCGGGCCCGTGGGTGCTCTACGGACGGCTTCTTCCTCTTCTTCTCAGTACGCTCATCGCCTCGGAAGACAGTCGTAATAAAGAGCACAAGGCTGTTATCCTTCCAAGCTATTTGATTGACCTAGGAAGGAGAGGAGAAAACAGATTAATAAAGGAAATATATAGAAAAGTGTCATAGCTTCTCACCTTGTTATCCCTCGTCGGGATAGCCCTGACTTCATTGAAGGCATAGTCACAACGACCTAATTTATCAAGTGCCTTATCCCTCTTTAGGTCCTTATGTATGCCACAGTTAGGGCGGGCTGTGCCTGTGGCCCCGTAGCCGTGATCACGAAGCTTGCGGAAAAGAGGTGGTGTTGAGAAGAGGTTATCCACAAAGACGTGATATGTCTGCTTTGGCAGCATATCACATAGGGAAATAACGACGCCCTGCGTATTACCTAGTTGTGTGAGAGCAGCTGCCTCTTTGCTAGCTGCCTCTCTCTCTTGTGTGCTAGGGCGACCTCTCTTTCGCCTTGGCCCCCTGCTTAGGGCATGATAATTTGAGCCTTTAAAATGCCAAAGCCACCGAATAAAGAAGCCTTCTTGGGCGATGACCCAGATCTTAAAGCCTAGCGGGGTTGGCTTTCCTTTTACAACGGTTGTTGCTGTTGATCTGCCTGTATAGCGGACCATACACTCATCTACAGCGAGATGAGAGCCTGGTTGAAAGAGTGCAGCTGACACTCTCTGTATGTGGTTAGACCACTCTTCAGCAGCTTGGAATACCTTCGGCAGGGAGGCATTCTTATCGATCTTAGTGTGGTCAAAGGGACGAAGGTAGCGATGGATTAACTGAAACCTCTAATAGGGCATGAACTTAATAACTGAGTGTAGAGGGGCTTGTTCTCCTAGCCGGGGGGCCTTCTAATGGCTTCTAAGCTTCCTTTCCTTATGAATTCCTATATAAATCAGCATACCAAGCCATATATAGATCTGTGCAGTGGAGACCCCTTCCCATGCTAGGAGCTGTAACCGTTCGTAAAGTGGGTTATTCCAGCTATCAACCACGCTATTTTCAAGTAGGTAATAAACCCAGCTATTAGTGTATTCAATCCATCGCCAAAGCAATGATTTAGGCACAAAAAGCTGGAAAAGATCAAGTGGTGTATTGGGTAAATAACTAATGTGATAATTGCGAGGTTGCACGATGAAAGGGCTGAAATTGAAGCCGCGAGATTTATCGGCCGGAAAATCATTAGCTCCGACCGGCTCCTTGCAGCCCATGCGGAGCCCTTTGTGTTGCTTATGGAAGCTCTTGTCATCATAGGAATCAACCTCTTGTATTTGATCGGGATCTGAAGATATATTCATTGTTTGAATTGCCATAGGTTGTATAGTAATTTAGCTGTGAAAGGTTGGAAATTGAAGCTTTTGGTACCCCGCTCGTACTGCTGTGATGACAGGGATAAGGTGGGGCGGGGTACGGATTGGAGCCCCTTGAGCTCTTAGGAGATAAACGAGAGTTATTTTTGGAGAGGAAGGTGCATTGCTCAATACTGTACATGTGTTGATTAATGCCATACAGCATTCTTCTCGTTGTACGGTGTCCTTGTCAACTCGAGCTTGATCCACAGCGTTGCCACCCTTTCAACACCTCATTCTTGATTTCCGGGAAAGCGGCTGCAAATCGCGCACGGGCCGCTCGCATGAATGACCTCCAATTCGCTTTGCACTCATCACACAGACGGACGCCCCCAAACCGCCGAATGTCTGAGCTGCTAGAAACTGCATTGGAGCAATACGAACAATGCTTTCTAGCGCTACTTTCCAAAAGGCCACAGAACCCAGGAAGCAGTAGCTTGTCGAACTTGGTGATGGTATCCATGTAGTGTCCATCTTTGTCGGGTTTCACAATATCGCTGTCGACCTTATGCCAGAGCTTGAAGTTGGCGCGCGTCAATTCCACCACCTGATCCGTCTCAGGCCTTCCGATCATCAGACCGTCTTCGACAAATCGATACCTTCTTGTCATCATATGGATGGGGCCTCCGAACGGTCTGATGAAATTAAGGACGCAACGTTTTGCAGGATCATGCGCCCATTTAACATCTAGCGCCCAGAGAATTTCTCGGTAATCTCTGTAATTCTCAACTCGCATCTCGCTACCAACGTACCCGAAAGTACTGTTGGTCTCGCCCTCGGCGCGATGTTTATAGAAAGCAACGGCGTCATAAAGCGTATCGCTCAGCTCCGCAACAAGTTGCAACTGTTCCTCGCGAAAAGGGATCTCACTAAAGTCGTTACATGCCAGAGCGCTGGCAATCGTATACCGCGCTAGGGCGTCACAATCGCGGAGCCGGAACCACCACTGTGGAGACTTTGCAAGAGCGTTCAGATAGCGACCGAACAGCTCAGAGTCCCGCTGCTTCCTGGATTTCTCTGCTGACATGAGCAAAAAAGTCCTGAACTCGCGTGACATATCCTCTCGCATCGAAGTTCCTCCGAAGAGAGTACTGAGAAGCTCATCTAAGTCATAACCGATAATGTTTTTACTGTTGATCTCCGGAATTAAGTCGCCGCGAAATTCGGCCACGATAGCAATGATGATAGTCCGGTTGAACGCCAAGTATCTCTCCCAGCTAGTCCAGTTGGGTATAACGCATCTGGAATACCCCCAGGCGCAAGCAAGAGTCTCAGCGATAGTTTCGCTGGAGAGGTTAAATGGTTGTAACCCGTCTCTCAACTCTTGTGGAAAGTACCACTTCTCGTTAGAAACATTGACAGCCGTCTGATGCTCGATTTTGTTACTCATGGTGTTGTATAAACAAGGTTAATGTAAATTAGAACGACTTGTGCAATTTGCAACGAAGAAAAGAATTTAGATGATCAGAATGTTCGTATCTCCCACTTACTTATACTCTATGCCAAGTCTAAGCCGAGATGTAGCTCCAGGGCAAATATGGCCCTCTTGTGTGGAGTCCAGGAAGGGCGTTATACCTAACCGACGCAACTGGACGCTGCATGTACCATATCAGATCGAGAAATTAATTAGTGCCTGTGGGTCGAAGCTAATAAGGCCACTGGCGAGATGTCAGACCTATATTTGCATTCCAGCCAAGTGGCCTTTTGCAAAGCAGCCAATATGACCCACAAGCGCTAGTCAATCGCCTGGCTTAATATGGTAATGTGAAACGTATTTCATACTAGATGAAAGCACGCATGAAGGCCTTCAGAATCATACGCAATTTTAGCTGGTTGATGATCTTTGGTCGACTCCAACGATTGCAGCAATCGTGAATTTCCCATATTAAACATGATCCGTTATACCCTCGGTACTAGCTGCACCCCTTGAGAGGTCTGTTCAGAGGAGGCTTCATGTGCTCCTGGCTGTCAATATGTCACATCTCGGGACCGTTATTTCTTATTGAAGGCTCTTGCTTAGTAATCATGTGCTGCTGGAGTAGCGGAATGAGAAGAGAGCTGTCTTAAACACATCCATAATTTCTATCCAATGTCTAAGGGTCCCGTAGAGCGTGAAATGTTGGGTGGAAGCAGGCAGGATTAGGCGACTGTTAGGAGATAAAAGAGGCTGGTGGGTGCGCTCTGAGTCATAGGTACTTGCTGTGCTGAGAATATTTCTGTACCTGGCTGATAATGCTGATTGTATGGCTGCCTACCATGGAGCATTAAACTAGAAATCTGAAGATGTACGTTGTACGCCAATTTGTACGCCAAAGTCACTCTCACACGCGTGCCGAGAGTGTACCGTGAAGTGGATAAGCCAGATGTCGCCATAAACGTATCTGACTTGTCACCTCTCTCACTGGATCTTTGGTCACACAACATGGACATCCTAGTTTTGTAATCTCGCTACTAAATGACACATAAACGTGATGCGTTTTCTCTTTGATATAAACATGTAGACAAGCGAGACTGGATCGATTTCACCATGAGAATTCTACTTTTGGATAAGAGCATCAACTTATAGGGAAAAGGAGCGCCTAGTAATCATGTCTCTAACTATAAAGATTCGACAACCTAGTCCAAAGCTTGTAGTTGGCAACCGACGATGGAAGTACAGCAAGCAATACGTGATCTCATTGAACATGTCCAGCTACTGCAGCGAAAGGCGAGGCCGATGGAGCGTCAGATTCTCCGAAACACTACGGAACTACTGGAGTTGTGCGCAGCAGTCCAGCCTCAGGCTTGCGTTATAGAATTACTCCGAGTCGAAATTGGCCAGCAGAGGTGCTGGGTCATGGACTACCTAAAGCAACAGGGAGCCTGCCAAGAAGTCACTTTCCTTTTTGATGGACTCACAAAAACTTCAGAAGATGACGAAACACTCCTCCTGAGATACTGCCAAGAGACCTTAGAGGGGGCCAGGGCTATAGCGCTCGGATTAGGTATTGCCCTATCACCCCAAGCGTGGAAAATCAGGCACCGTAAGAAGCCTGTTGCATGTTCAAATGGACGGAGCCATACCAAGGGCAAGGATATCAATTCTGCTCCAGTAGCAGCAATGCTCCCGATAGACCATTCTCCAGGAGATTCCACAGTTCTCGAAAGGCTCTACAACCAATCCTGGTATTACTAGTATGTTTGACTCTGTGGTTCTCAAGCTTATCTGTACTAGATGAGCCCGTAATGCTGCAAGAAAAGGTCATTGATACGTGGTTAGAACTATGCGACGCACCCTTGAACTAAGAAATGCCCCCACTCACGGGATACTATCTGTTACCGAGAGCTGTCCAGAGTACATGGTCCACGGTTGACTTGGCACTGTAACCACAACTTTGGAATTGCTCATAATTCTCTCAATTATCAATCTTTGAACTTTTTAACACATTGAGTCATCTCTTTGGAAAAGGGGGGATAAGCACTAGTGCATGAAATGGTCTTGGCAGCGGGGTTCTCATACCATATCTGCTCTTACGCTACCAGGAAAGTCGTGAACACTTAGACGTATGTGTAATATAGTATAGGTGGATGCATAACTGACATCGTTTGTGAAACGCCTCGACTCTTGTAACATACTCTAAGATAAAATCGGCGTCTGAGATAGGAGGATCGGAATGGGTGTCTTAACAATGCCGGCTTAACATCACGGTATCATCCACCAGAAGTATACATAGACTCCCTGGTTCCGGTATAAGAATATAGCAATCATCAAATTCCACGAGCAGCTAAACATCACCACCAAAGCACGTATCTTCAGACATTATAATGCCTCTGCCAACCAGCGGTAAAGGCCTTGAGCTGCTTATCATTCAGATCTGTTGCAGCGTAATTGTCTACATCTCAGCATGTCTACGACTCTGGGCCCAACACGCCAATAAAAACAGGCAACTACAGCATAATAATACCGCCAAAAAGAAGCAGTCACCACATGATATACTGATGCTTGCATCTGTGGTATGTGCCTACCGTGACTTCCAAACCTGTCGGGTGGGATTCGTGTTATCCATATACACGAGAGCTCTGTTATTGTGAGACACCCTTACACTACTGACCGGGCTTTTAGCTTCTTTACACCGTCCAGACTATCATTGTAATTCGAGGCATCATCGAGGGTGGCATCGGACAACATGCAAGCAAGATCGACATCGCGGAGGTTACCAAAGGCTTTCAAACGTGGTACTTCGGCGAACTCATCTATGCCGTGCTTTCATGCCTCGTCAAGACCTCTGTAATTTTGTTCCTGCAAGAAGCATACATCGGCCGAAGAAAAATAAGGAAAGCTACTGATAGGCGCAAGATCTGCTGGATTTTGTATATTTGTCTCGCTGTCATCTGGGCAACCTCGATCGTGTTCCTATCTGCCAGTATCTTTCAATGCTCTCCGCCAAGCCATTATTGGAAACAGTTTGAGAATCCTAGCAGTGAAGGCGCATGTTCGAAGAGCGTGGTACCAGCTGCTGGTATTGCTCTTAGTATAGTTTCAGCCGTCAGTGATTGGGTTTTAGCATCGGTGCCTACAGTCGCTCTGTTGAAGACACAGATCCCATGGCAAAAAAAAGCCGCCATCCAAGCTCTGTCAAGCTTAGGAGTATTGTGAGTCATTCTTAACGCCTATACATGGCCGTGTTCTACCGACAAACGGTTAGAGACGGAAGCTTGTACATGGTTTGTTCCGAAACTGATAGTGTCTCAACACTGCAGAGCCGGTGCAGTCATGATCGTCCGCATACCCCACATACGAATATTAGAATTTACGGAGGATTTCCTCTATGAAACTGTGTAAGATCTTCTTTTGTTACCTGTCAATCGTTGAGAGCTAAGTTTCAAGCAGAGACGTTGCGAAGTGGACGGTTATAGAAGCCGCTTTAGGAATCACAGCAGGCTGTTTACCAACCACTCTGCCGCTTCTGAGACTTATGATACGTAAACGAACGCCTCCAAGCCGAACCTCGTCGAGCCAGGGCCCTCCTGTAACGGGGAACTGGACTTGCCGCACTCATGTTGAGCGAGGGCTAGGGCCGAGCGAGGATCTTGATGATGGAGAAATCTTAGTGTGTAAGTCAATTTCACAAGTTCGAATCTTGAACAGTGGCACTGGCTGTGACGTGGGGCCCCGGAATGAGACTTGCCATTAGTTCTACCGAACAATCAGGAGAGCCTTTTTTTTTTGTTTTTGCCGAAGATGACCCCCCCGTGTGAGGTAATCTGGGGCTCTAGCATAAGGAATCTAGGATGGTTTTAAGGCTAAGCCAGATCAGCGAAGCTGCGGAGTCATAAACCTATAAAGAACGCAACAGCCTAGCTTCTTTCGGGTAAACCTAGTGTGAAATGTTTGTGCACCAACGAAGTACTCATCACTTTATGACAATTGAATCTGAGAACATCTGTTGGACACGGAGATAACGCCTATTTGTTCCAGTGAACCATATATATGCAATGCAGGACTGGTTTACCTTGTTATTTCGTAATAAGCCAGTCGTTGTCCAACTGTTACAGTGAATTTGGTGTACAAAGTGGTGCTTAACATGCCTGGTGAACTCGTACGCTGATATTTATTCATGCCATGTCATGCTATTTTAGAAATTAGACCTGGGGCAGGTTAGCTCCTCTACCCATGTTGCAGGACAACCTGACTGTCCATCCAAATCTGGGAAATATGTTGCTGCGTACAATGCCAAGACTCCCGACCCACATGGGTAACCAAAAAAACGCTTATAAGGAGGATCTTGATATACGGATAGTAACTGCTATAATCGATGTAACGAGAAATTGGAGCCGGTATCAGCGTTTTTGGGACGCCACTGATGGTCGCTCATCGTCACTGGTCTACAAATATGCCATGGCACCGTGCGTTCATCCATTGAAAACATACCCCTACAACAGACATACCATAGCTCTGCTGATAGGAAGCATGATCCCAAGTGACTGGTCAATTCACTACTATGTATAGCGAGCTTTCGGATAATCATTTTGGAAGATACTTTTTGTTGCAAGGCTAGGAACAGGGTTGAATAGAAGGTGGCCGAGTACAGAAATGGAAGTCAACCTGGAAAAGATATCAAGCTATTCTATTATAAAGGTTCTCCAAAAGATCTAGCGCTGCATACTGACATTCTATATCCGTTTGCCCATCTGCCTTATAAGCATCGCTGGGCGCATCAGGTAGCCAGAGTTATAGACTAGGATTACGACAGAGTCAAGCGGCGACGGGCGAAGGACTTAATAATGCTTGCGAGAAACACGAACACTAGGACGACTGCAGATGATGTTCTCGCCGACAACAGATGGATGACGGTTTCTGAGCAATGTGGCAGTCTCTCAATACAGCTAACGCCGCTTCTCGCTGAGCGCCTTGACGCTACCCAACATACTGCCGGAATGGCTCTCCTTATTGGCTCACCAACCTCAGGTGAATTGTCAGATCATTTGAAAGGGACCTCATCAGATGGAGATATCCTTCTCAACGTAGACCCACGGACTAAAGTCCTGCATGTCGCTTGTCCGACACTTGCAAGACATGTAGGTACGGAAGACCACTGCCCTGGCGACAACATCGAGTGGGCTAGGGTGAGCAATGTAAGAGCCTCTCAGTCCCTAGCTGCCATCTATTCTCGCCTATTGGGCCCGTTCACCCATGTAGTCTGTGTCTTCGCCTCGAGTTTCACGTCCACAGCCGAGCTTGGTACCTTCCTATCGACATGGCTGCGGTCCGCCTGGTCTGGGACGCAGATTTCTAACTCTTCTTCAGCTTCTGCACATTCAATGCCCCATGATTTACTTGTAGCTCTGCCACGCCTTATTGTTCTGACGGAGGAGAAGTCTTTCCCCGGCAGCGATGTTTTGGAAAATCTCAAGGCATCTCTGGAAGCCATCGTCTTTGAGCAGACAGGATTCTTTCTCAATAGAGCCTTCTCTAGCTTTACTGTGAAAGATACTTCAACGGAAGCCTGCCTACTTCGACAGCGTCGATACACAAAGCTGACGGCTCTTCTGGCGAGCGAGTGTGCGGCGGCGCGGAGAACGTTCGAACGCTTAAATATGCTCTACCATACACACACCATGGTTGACTTATTCTCTAGGGCTTATCACTGCCTCTTGAACAATGAAGTGTTTAATCCAGTTGCAGCTTCGCGGGCATGGAGTCCGGTACCACCAAATGCGGCACAGCAGATAGTAAGATTTCTATCTGAACATAAGGAGGAAGAGACTCTCCGAACTTTTGCTTTACCATATCTGATCTCTGCCATACGTGCGAACGCGTACCCGGCTGAAGCTCATCGTGAGTACATATTTCTCCCTCTTTGTTTCTCTTTCTCACTTCTCTTTCTCACTGTCTTATCTATGGATCCCGATGGTTCCTTCTAACCCCTTTCCCTCTACCTTCCTCTATAAACCCTCTACTTGCAGACAAAGTCCCGTTTGACATTTTTGCCTATATCAGTCCAGTCATGGTACCGGCTAACAAAATCGGGAAGCTTTTGGCTTTCCACTCATCTTTGACACTCTCTACAAATCCATCTGGCACCACGCCGCTCGCACAGTGTGCTTGAAAACAGACATGTACCTACTGGTTGAGAATATGGTGAGAGACCCTGTGAATACCGTGGTCGCTGTAGATAACGACGGTACTACGACCCACGTGAGGACTGTGAAGTCTATGAGCCGCCTGAACTCCACCAATTCCCAGCACACCGTGACATTCGTAGATTCAAAATCCAATGACAAAGGCAATGACAGACAGACACAGCCGAAAAAGGTACCGACAGGTCGTCTCTGCCAAGAAGGTGACACGGTGGATTTGGATACGCCCATGAGCTCACACGAGCGTCGCCACCTCTTATTTCTAGCCACCTCTCGTGATCGCTGGCGGTCGCATAAAGTCCACGACTACTGCCCTGCTTGCATTCTACGACGACCTGAGTATGGGTTACCCTGCGGTCATATGTATTGCGAGTATGACATTAGACGTCTGGGACGGAAAATACGGCGTGAAACCTACGCTGTTGAAGAATGCACCTGTTGTCAAGCTTGCTTCACCGGCGTAGTTTTCAAATTTCGGCCTAAGACAAAAGGTATCAGGGTCCTTGCTCTTGACGGTGGTGGAGTCAGAGGCATCATAATGCTGCAATGTCTACACATGTTGCAGTCGATGCTGTGGGTCTTCCTTCCTGGGATGCCCATAATAGACCTTTTTGACGTTTGTGTCGGGACAAGCTCAGGTGAGTGATCAAAAAGGTTTATCTTGAGACTGAAGGCGAGAAACAAATATCAGGGTAGAGGCTGGATGTGTGAAAAAAGTATTGAGGAGCAAGAAAGAGGAAGAGGCGGTAAAGCGGATGATAGTAGAGATCAGTGAATTCTGGGCATCGTTTCACTTGTACCCACTTAGAAACTAACGTGGTTCATAGGCGGCATCTGTGCTTTGACCCTCGCTCACAAAGGTATGTCTGTCAAGAAGGCTATCCAAGACTTTACAGACCTTAGCCAGCGCGTCTTTGTCTCGCAACCAATTTGGGCAAGGGCCTTTAATCTGATCGCACGAGGATCGATCTACGGTAGTAGTGCCATAGACGAAGCTCTAAAGAGGCACTATGGTGAGAGCAAGCTATCTGACTATACCCCCGCGACTGCTCGGGCTGCAAAGATTCTCGTCACAGTCAAAGGAACGCCAAAAGGGGATCATATACTAAGTAACTTTAATGGGGTCGGCCTCGATAACTCTCACAAAGATTTTGAACAGACATTTTGTCATCCAGATGACGAGGAAGGGCAAAAGGCAATCCTTGCCTGGGAAGCGTGAGTCGACCCCATATTTCCATATTGTATGCGACTTGAAAGATCTTCGCTATCCACTTGAGCCCTATCTCGAAACAAACCTTGTTGTCTTCTGCCTTTCCTGCAAATACCCCCAATCCATTTTTGTTCACAAAGCTGACTTACGAATGTGACGTCAAAGTGCGCGGTCCACCTCAGCTGCGCCCGTTATGTTCCCAACCTTCACCATCGACGGTGTCGGCACATTCCAGGACGGTGCCATGTGGCGAAATAACCCTGCCGACGTGGCGCTATCTCTCGTCCCTGCCCTGACGCAGGGTCATTGTCTGCCGGATATTCTGTTGTCAATTGGCACAGGTTTCGAGAAGAGGCTACAGCAAGGCCACCGTGAACCGCAACCTCCTACACGAGTTACGATTCCTCTGATAGATCTCTTACGTCGGCTCTACGCCTTCATGGGCGACAATATTGTCACAGACGGAGAAAAGTTTCATAACCATATCATGGCAGGGAGATCCGATGTAGGCAGCAGGTTCAGACGACTAAACGTCCCACTTTCAGAAGGTTACCCTTCATTAGACGACGCATCCTCCATACCTAGATTAATGGATGAGGCTGCGGCGCACTTTAAATCTCACCCCAGTTTGCAAGAGGTGCTGGATTCTATCATCTCTAGTTTCTTTTACTTCGAGGTCTCCAGCCGGCCTATACGACACCGAACGCATGTGAGCTTCTGTGGCCGTATCTTGTGTGATATTCAACCAGGCCATCGGCTTAAACATTTCATCAAAGATTTGCGAATACGTGGGGCAGAATTCTCAATCAATGGCAAGTTCACAGCACTCGACAGCGTAGGAGAGTGGAACGGAAGAGAAGTTGATTTTGAGATACCTGTTCGAGGGACGGTTGCTGGACTCCACACACGGCTCGAAATATTTCTCTGCTGGAACATGCTTGGCCGACAGAGCAAGGAACTGATCAGTCGCTCTCCCTTCAGTCTGAATGAGATCATGGAGGCCCAAGGCTGGGACTCTCCCCAATCCCGGGCTCTACGACAGCCGGTAAGAAGCGGACGTAAGCGTGGGATTGATTGTCACGCTGCTTGGAAGCGGATTACGAAGGCCCGGCGGTAGAAATGGAAGAAAGTTATGGTGATCTCTTTCGTTGTGGTAGATAGTGTAGACAGCAGAAAAAAATGGAAGTCACCTGAGTGCCTGTACTACCCTGGCCACGGCAATCGCAGCAAACATGCCGACAAGAAAGCTAAGTCAAAACCTATAGCAAGTTTTGTAAAAAGCACTAGAGTGGGTGTCGACGATGGAAGGGAACCTAGAGTACATGATTGTAATATTGTACGAGATCAACTCTTGGCCAGATACGATGTAACATTTAAGTCCAGAAACAAACAGCTTTTCTCCAACTCAGTTCGCGCTACAATTTAAGCTACGGTAATATGCTGCCTAAGCGACGGCTTATTTTTTGGTGAATTCTCCCAAACCGTCGAGGTGGGAAGTGCAGCTCCTTCCAGGATCAAAGGAGACATCTACTAGCATTAGAACTTGAGCGGCTTGAATTATTCCATCTGGCAGGCATTATGCTCTGGTTACCTCTCTCCTAACCAGACGAGACTGCAACCGGGAGTCTAAATTCTGTGGTAGCGCTAAGGTCCACAGTCATGTGGGCCTTTGTGAAGTTTATATACCAACATGGCGCAGCAACAAAAGTTTTGTCATTCCCCTGTTACGTACGATTGCTCACATAAGTCTGCCTTCGATGGCCTTGAATGCTACCCATGGAAACATACATCGTGAAAGAAATGCTACGCCTCGTCTCATGCCAAATCAACGATCAGTGACAGGACATAATTATAACCTTGAGTGAAGAATCGGCAATTGATCGTTTCACAAGCGTGTTTGATACCAATCTTCACATAGCTATTGTCTCCGTACACATGAAAGTCTTCGTCTCAAAGTGCCTTGGTTGGCCGTTGCTTCCACAGGATAAATGTATGGCAAAAGGCCGATCCAGGACTTTCAAGCAGCTCACAACGTAGTTGGCGTTGACCCTCGATGCGGTCATCAATAAGTGCCCTTGTGAAACAGCGGCTAGTAAGAACTAGGAATAGGGTCTTGCACGCTTTTGTTAAGAGTTAGCACAGATTTGAATAAGGTACAGTCATTCTGATTGAAACATGGCCCAGTCAACCAATACCGGGTTAATAGTCTTGCAGGAGTCAGCCTCATGTCTGTGAAAGTCTATCCCTTCAAGGGATTGGTAGTTCGTCATCTAAACTTATTGTATCCCCGCTCACACCTGATATTCGGATACCTATTGAACACACTGTCGCCGCTGTTGTTTACCATCAACCCAAATGGTTGCTCATGTTTACCATAATATGCAAAACCGGCCCAGGCGAAGAACATATTCAGAGACTCTAAAGGCGTGCAAGGCTTTACCCGTTGACTGATCTGTAGGCCATAAGCAGCTCAGAGTTCAGATTAAAAACTACCTCAACTTACTCCTTTTCTCAAGTCTACGCTACCCGTTCTATTCTTTTCCGTGCCCCTTCACTTCGCAGATGATATGCATCTTAGCAAAGGATCATGTGCGCCAGTCTACTTTGGTCCTGAAATAATAAGGGATTCCGCTTTAAAAAAGCTCAAGGCACTGAAGGACCTCAAATCCAGTCGACAATGGGTTGACGATTCTACAATATTCTTGAACAGGGACGGCTCTTTCTCACACAGAGTAATTGAAGAACGATCTTTCAGAGTATGTACGCAGAAGGTTTCTCTATTCATGGCTAGACTCTTTTCCGCTTCAGGATCTGAAGCCACAACAGAAGAACAGAGACTGCGTAATGCTCGACGGCGACTGCTAGTCTCGCTTCTTGCGCATGCATGGCTCTGGGGAAGACCCAAAGTGTTAGACAATAGAGGCAATCCTGTCGCTTTCGAAGACAGGAGAGTCCTCGCCTCACAGGACATTTTAAATTTCCTTGACAGGGTTCGGGCTGGCACGGCGAGTTTTACTCACGAAGAAGTATGTGGCTTTCTGGTGGACGACGCACAAGAGGTAGCTCTATACAAGGACATGTCAAAGTGGAATTTAAGGGGAGTTATCGCATGTCTTAGGTGGGATAAAGCCCATAATCTCCGTGACGGGGGACCATGGTGCTCTTGCCGGCTCGAGAGAAAAGGACTCCCACCACCTTATGGCGAGGTGCTCGAGAGGAAAGAACTCCCACCACCTTATGACGAGGTTTGCCCAACCAAAATCTCGTTATGGCGCAGCACAGAGGGGAAAACCTTAGGATGTGAGGTGGAGATGCCCAAGGCCTGACGTGTGAAATAGGATGGAGTAAAATGTAGTCATTAGTCACTCGAGTCTTATCATAAGTACCTACCAAACATAGCTGATGCCGAGTTCACACCTGCCATTTGTAGGCCATAATGAGAGAGGAAGTCACGACATCAATCCATTGATAACCCTTTTGCCGATAGCATAACATACAGTCAATACGAATTATTGCTCATTATGGAGCCTGGCCTTACCTAGTAAGAAAAGGTCGGTGCAGTGAAAGTTCACAAGGGTCGGTGAAGCATGTTGGTGTAAATGCTGACTATGGTTTAAGCATGACTTGACGTGGGTCAGCGACATCTGTGCGATTTTTCACCAGCTGTTGTTTCGAAATGGGCATGCCCATGAAATCTGTGAAAGGCAGCAAACCCATACCACCGTCGACGTTCCATGGCAAGGCATCGAAATATTGTACGTCAGGTATGCCGACCATGTGCTCTTGCTATATGCAAAAATGGCCAGGAAAAGCACAAAAACCACAGAGACGGAACTTCTTAGGCATCGACAGCAAGTTCATCTATCCAGTGGACATCAGTAAAAAGAAAGGCTCAGGAGAAACTGAATTGAATGCAAAATGACTTCATCGTTCTCTCACCTTGGCGAATAGAGGAATATGTGATTGACAAGTCTCCTGTTCCTCCTAGATGGGGCGACACCAACAGAAACCAGGATATCGCTGCGCGAGTAGCATTCCAGAGGACTACAGCTTGTAGCGATCAGAGTTTTAACTATGACCTTGTAGTTGGCTTTGCTGCTCTATTTTAAACAGGAAGCCGACCCCAATCTGTAACGTCGCTCCTCTTTCTCAAACACTACTTCTATTTTCAGATGAGTACAATGGACAACGGCATTGATTCATGAGCTTAGCCAGAATTCTACTCTGTACAAAGGTAAAGCTACTGCACCAATATCAGCTCAAGTGCTTTGCGCCGTCTTTCATTGTCACCCTTATTTCCCTCTCTCTGTGTTCGAATATTACCTGAAGCCATGATTCGTGATGTGGAGCTACAAGAACCAGTGAGGAGGCCCGTGACGCGGAGTCAAACCTTAGCACGGAGACTAGATGAAATGAAGCGAGAGCGTGTGGAAAGAAAGCGTTGGGAGAATCGTTGGGAGGAGTTCCTGCAATCCAAACAAGACAAAAAGCCGAAACTGGAAGCACTTAAGGCCTCCATTACAGTCAGAACAGACAATAGAAATGATGACAGTAACAGGGGCAGAAAGAGGCAGAGGTCGGATGCTGACCGGCTTTCGGCTATGCAGCCGGAGCCTCCGCGAAAAAGAATCCCTCCACTGGCAGGAGCAGGGACCAGCCGCGACGACGAGCAGCGCCGCAAGGTTCTGAGAAAGGAGTGGCTGAGGGTTCTTAAATTTGAGCATACCCACCTACTCCTAGATATGGTCGAATGTCTGATGAGTCGGAAAGTCGACAGATATTATCTTGTTGCTTTGCAAATACTTTTGATCGTCTTTCCGGATTCTGACCACAAAGCCGTTCTCGAAACATTACCAGCCATGATGAGGAATGCGCTCGAGGAAACTATACAACGAATATGGATTCAAGGCCCTAAAAAGGTTTACCTCGACTACCCTGCCGAGGGAAGCAAAGACGAACGGATTGAGTGTTGGAAACAGCGGGCGGAGCTTTACCATGGCATCGAGATCGGGATTGAGAGTTTGGACGTGGGGATCTTCGCAGTATGCCAGAAAGGACCGGATGGTCTGCCTCCAGACCTCCATGAGAAGGTCGAAAGCTCAGAGCATTGCAGTATTTTCACAGATCACTTCGCGGTGAATATGCGACGAGCTGCTTGTGTCTTTGAGACGACTCAGCTTCCTGGCCGGGAAATGGAGTTTCTGGTCTTTGTCCTGAATGAGATGATGCAGAGAGAGGCGGAAACTTCAAAGGAGTTAGAAGAGGCAATAGCGCACTTGAAGCAAAAAGCCAAGGAGTCAGATGGCAAGCTAGAGGACTTGCAGAATTTTCTGGACGGCATTGGCACGGGGACCACGGAAGCAATCAGTATGCAGAACGCGGCTGACGAACTATTGGAGGAAGACGTAGATCCGCCGTCTAAATCTTCCTATACAAACAGTGTATTGGACGGCTTCCGAGAAAAAATAGATGACTACCAGTCCGAAATACAAGGTTGGAAATCAGCCTGGGACACCTCTCAACAAGAACTGAACGACGTGAAGGCCGAAAATGGTTCTCTTGCTACCAAGATGGAGGAAATACGAGTATCCCGCGACTCCCTAACGAATGAAAATCATCAGTTGCAGGCGCAATACAATGCCGCTGGCGAGGAAGTGGAAGAGCTCAAAGGCATTGTTGCAGCGTCGAATCAAAAGCTAGTCGAGCAAGGGGTGACATTAAAGGAGAAACTGGAGACGGTGCAAATTGAGCTTAAGCAAGGGCAATCAAAGTCAACAATTCAGACTCAAGATACAGTAGACATAGCTCAGCTGCAGGATGAAGCCAACAAGCTGAGACTTGAACTTGAGCATTGGCACCGGTTGTATGCAAAGCTTTTCAGTGGAGGTTCCGCCACAGAGTCGATGATAAAGTCTCAAAGCGTCTTGAAGCTAACCCAAAGCCTGAAATGTGACAATGAAAAGCTTGTTGAGAGGAACAGTTCGCTGCAGATACAGGTGGCTAAGATGGAAGAGGCGGACAGGACCGCGGAGCTGGAAAGGCGTAATTCGGTTCTGCAAGGGAGAGTTGCTGATCTTGAGAAGCAGTCTCACTCCCCACCCCCAGATACAAACATGGGTGAGGCGGCCCAGCAACAAGCCGAATACAATCAAAATTACTCGTTAGATACTCCAGCGAGCTCCGCTAAGGAGTCAGTCACCACTACAATCACTGTAGGGGAGCTCAAAAAAATGAGTGAAGAGCTTCAAGATGTAAACTCCCGATTAGAGACTGCAGTGCAGGCGAACGATTCTCTGCAAACAAAAAGCGCCGAGCTCAAGATAGAAGCTGAGATGCTAAGGGCCAACCTTCACGCATGTGAAGATGCGAAAGCTAAACTGCAAGCCGAATGTGAAAAACTTCGTTACCCTGGTCTTCTTCCCACGAAACAGGATCATGATATACAAGACTGTAGGGCGGATAGTGGCACACAAACTATGCATCGTGAAGCGGAAGAAGGTGATCAAAATCCATTTGCAGGTGATCGAAAGCAGAATGACATTTCGAACGAGTGGCAGCGGAGCCATCCAACTTGTGAAAAGATGAGGCTTCGCCATCACACCAAGAGGCACGAGGTATATTGCAAGGGGTTCGGAGGGACCATGGGGATCCCAAGCAAGGCGTGGCAAGAGCAAAGGCTCAAGACCATCAAAAGGGCGTCACAATGCATTCATAAGAAAAGGAAAGAGCTGATTCGATCGAGACTAACGGTTGGGGAGCTATCAAAGACAATCGAAGAAGTCAAGAAAGACATAGAGTTAGCTTCGAAGACATTGGAGGAGAGGACTCGAGAGTTGAACCAGAAAACAATCAGTCAAAAGGAAGACGCGCGCCAATTGCAGGCGAAAACAATATATATCGAGGGCTTACAGTCTCAAATCAAGGGTTTAGAAGACAAGGTAAGCCAAGAAAAAGAAAAATACATATTGATACAAAAACAAAACGATGATTTAGCCTCCAAGTTACTGGAAGCTATGCACAAGGTTGAGGCATGTGGGGCGAAAAGTGTCCAAGAGCGGGAAAACATCATGGCTGCTGCGGACACCGATCGACAGATCGCCGAATTACAAGATAGGATAAGAGAAAAAGAGTCGACGATACAGGAGTTGAAATATGAGGTAACCACAAAGGAAACAGAACACGGATCAATACAAAGGGAAATCAACTCTTTGCTGTCGCAGCGGAATGAGCTACAGCGAAACGCAAATGAGGATGAGAAGAGAGACAAACACATGAAGGAGCAGATTGATCAACTGAAGAAGCAGGTTCAGGATCAAAAAGAAAATTACAAAAACAATCTAAAGGAAAATGAGCGCATACTGCAGGAGAAGATAACCTCCATCAACGACTTACAGAGACAGATCAAAGCTTCAGAAGATGATGCAATGAAGGAAAAACAAAACCAGAAATTGATGCAAAATGAAAAGGATGAGTTGGCCTCACAGTTTTGTGAGTTCAAAAAAGGTGCGGAAGCAGATGCTGAGAAACGAAAAAAAGAAATTCAAGATCTGCAAGGAAGAAACCTTAAACTGAAGTCAGAGGTTGAAGAACAGGCCAACGACCACTGTCGGAAAAAAGAAGAAGCCGACAAACAATTGAAAGATTTGATAGGGCAGGTTCGTGATCTGGAGGATGATATCAAGAATGCTCGTGCAAGTCTTGTGGAAAAAGATCAAGAGCTGGAAAGCATGAAGACCGCTCGGGATATCAGCGAAAAGGTCTCCAGTTTGCAAGATACGATCGAAAGGAAAGAGTCTGAAATACTAACCTTGAAGGAGAAGGCAACAGAACAAGAAGCAGAACAGGAATCAATGCGAAACGAGATGAAGAATTTGCTATCTCAAATTGCTGACCTGCATCAAAAGAGAAACTCCAGCAAGAAGGAGCATGAAAATAGTGTCAAACTCCTTGAGGTGGAAATAGCTCAACTAAGGAATCAGCTTGACACGCAAGCACAAAATTGCATCGAGGCAAAGGCTGAGTTATCTACGTGCCGAAATGAGCATGCATCACAGTTCACGAAACTTGCTGAATCATCAGAACTGACGCAGTCGAGAAATAAACTCTATGAGCTACAGAATCAGCTGCAAGTGAAAGACAAAGAACTCGCTAGAATAAAGAAACTTCTGGATGATACCGAGGAGAGGATCGCGAATTCACAAGATGAAATGGAGAAAAGGCATTCAATCATAGAGAACCTACCTGTTTCCTTGGCAACTTTAAGGTCTACGGTTGACGGTATCCAGAGGATGGTAAGCGCACAGCAGCAAAGTACCTACAATGCGAAACCAAACTGTGGCTCCTTGCAACCTGAAAAAGGCGCTCATAATGATGACAGTAAAAACTTCGCCGAGTTAAGAAACCAGATTCAAAACCTCGAGCATTCCATTGTAGAACGGTGCGCGAAAAATGACTTGGAAATTAAGGTTAGAGAACTGCAGGGTAAAATCATGAACCTCGAGAGATCGGGAGATCTACTAAAAGCCGAAATACTCATCGCAACGGCCAGAAGGGATGATGCGGAAGCAGAAGCTGCGAAATGGGTTGGTAAGCACAAACTTTTGGAAGATCGCTTGCGGAAAACCGAAGTCCAGCAATTGCTGGATGCAAAGCTCAAGGTTGAATTTGAAGGCCAAGAAAGCATGAACAGGATTTACGAAGGGTTAAGGGCAGATGGTAGTATCCCTTCTCTGATGACAGAGATCAGTGAGAATAACAAAACCTTGAGCCTATTCTTCGAACAATACAAGAGCGACGTCGATCAGTTCAAAAGCCTGCACAGAAGGCTAGAAGCCCTAGGTGCAGAGCTCCGAGATGTGGAAAGCAGAGTGGATAACTGTGTCGGTGTCCTTGGATCGACATCTGTGGATTCTCCGCCTGATATTGTGAATCCGGGTATAGGTCAACCTGACGAGAAGGTGGAATGGAGAATTGCGAAGAAGGTCAGCCTTCTTATCGAAAAAGCCCAGCTCAAAATTCGAAACTTGGAATCAGCTCTGGAGGCCAAGGAATTAGAGGCCGAACTCGCTGTGCTACAGTCTGAAATGGCTGTCCAAGAAGCGGACCCGATGCACCCGTGCTTATGGGAGGAGATCCCATCAAGTCCTACGGTCGGAACACCAGGATCTGAGCCACATATTTCTTTCCATACCCCAGAATCAATTCACAGACCCATTAAGCAATGTAAGTCGGGAGTTACAGAAGGCATAGATGGCACTCAGTATAGGCATAAGGATTCTTCCCCCAATCTATACCCTACGTTGCCCCTCAGAACCCACACGAAGCCAGAACCTGCTCAAGCAATGGACTGCCAACCCGTCAAAAGGTTAGCAACAGATCGGCCTGTTCTAGCGCAGCGCACAGGCAAGTATAAGGCTCGTAAGCTAGGAGTATTTGAAGAGAGCGCAGGCGTGGATGTGGATAAATCCTTATCAGATCTCGAAGGATTTAGGATGAGTGTACTCCTATATCAATTATCGGTGATATTGCCAACCGAGAAGATATCCGCAGCCTTGAAGCCCTTGGCGAAATCTGACCACATTTATTCATTGAAAAAGATTGGTAAACGTAACCTAGACCAGTTGAATAAAATAGCCGACATCGAGTCGACGCAAGCTCCAGAACCATTGGAGGTCCGGCTACGCAAGGCTCTTGCCGGTATGAAAATCAAGAGACAGCAACTGTTTTCCGGCGCTTCTTTGCAAACCTACGTTGTTATCTTTGAGATTTTCATCGATCTTAAGCAAAGTATGTACACCGAAAAACACAGCAATCCCAAAGGAAGAGCACAGAGGACAATACTACCGGAGCAAGACAAACTTACAAACCGACCAATACGAACCCGGAACGCTAGGGACGGACCAACTGCGAAATCATCGGGGAGGGCAGGGCTCGGAGCGAAGGATGTAAAAGTGATAAAGGTCCGTTCGAAATTAAGACCGTGAGTCATACTTAGAAATGAATCCGTAAAATGAGGACTATACCCTTCTGCTTCCATGGTTGTGCCCCATCAGACCTCCTTTCAGCTTTCATAAGGGTGGAGCCGAATGCTGAGACAGACTCATTTCAGCATTGAAGAAGAATGAATTCTATAATGATTATGTTACCATGTTGGTTTTCACATCACGTTGAGCATAAGTAGTGTGAAAAATATACAAAAGATCGTTGGCTTGCGTCAGCCAAGGCTACTACGACTAAGAGAAACGATCTTTGGTAACAATTGAGCGATGGGGCAGAAAAATTGAGAATGGTATTCCATGGCCCTTTTGAATATAAGTTTCATTGGGTGCTGTCAATTCGCTCACGCATCAGTACTCATATTTATCAGTCATCCTTTCTTCCCATTGCTCAGTGCGTATGTCACCAGAAGCCCTTCGAGCTATCCGACAGCTGACATGATGGCCTTCCGTTCATCTGCCAATAAATCAGAGGTCCTAAGGTCTTGGGCACGTATATTCGAAGATGCAGGGACCTTGCAGTCGGAGCAGGTTGACAAAGTGCGTGTCGAGAATTGTATTGGCTTCTGTCAGATTCCACTAGCCGTCGCAGGGCCTTTGCAGGTAACCGGAGCAGTCGCACTGGATAAAGTCTACGCACCTCTAGCCACGTACGAAGGAACTCTGGTTGCTAGTTGTTCCAGAGGATGTAAAGCTTTCAACGCTTCTGGGGGAATTCACATCGAGACGCTCAGCAACAGCATGAGTCGAGGTCCTGTATTTACTTTCGACAGCCCCGATCATGCAGTCATATTCGCCAAAGATGTACCGGCTTTGAAGCCAATTTTCTCACAGTGGGCAGGGGAGACGAGTGCATACGTACGACTTCAAGCCATGCAACCTACTGTAATTGGTTCCAAGGTCCATGTGCTCTGTAGCTACAGCTGTGGGAGTGCAGCCGGGCAGAACATGGTTACCAAGGCCACTCAGCACGCATGCGAGATGCTCCGACATTCCTTGACCCATAAATATAGCATCCGGGGCTTTCTTATCGAGGGACAGCTGGCTTCTGACAAAAAGCCCTCGTGGGGAAACGTGAAGAAACCTCGAGGAGTCGAGACACTGGTGTGGGGAACCATCTCCCCTGATGCCTGTCGAGAGGTACTAGGCTGTACCACCGATCAGCTCTATGCCACTCAACAGATCTTGAAGGAGGGCGGGATTCGAAATGGCCAGTTCGGCTGCAATGTCAACCCGGTCAATATCATTGCGGCCATGTTCATAGCGACTGGTCAGGATCCTGCCAGCACCGCTGAAGCATCCTGGAGTCACCTGACTTCCGAACTTCACCCTAAGACGGGTGCACTCACCATGAGTCTCTATCTACCATCTCTGCCTGTTGGTACTATCGGAGGCGGTACCGGATTACCAATGCAGAGGGAGGCTCTCAAAATGTTGAAATGCGATGGGGAAGGAGCGGAGCAGAAACAGCGGCTTGCTGGTCTCATCGCTGCTTTCGGCCTTGCCCTGGATGTCAGCACGAGCGCGGCCGTCACCAATGACACTTTCACCGCCAGCCACATGCGGCTCGGGCGGGGACAGGAACGAGCTAACTTGTGATCTATTACGAATGAGATGACGCATATGAAAGACCCAGCGTGAAATCATCGGTAATTCATGGGAGGGCCGTTACGTGTGTAGTCGCAGGGAAAACTACATTAAGGTCTACGACGGTCAAGTCGTATACATAGTGCGGGTTTGGGAAGTTCAATTCACTATAGAAACGAGACTGTTCAAGTCCAATCTGTTCTTTGCCACCATACCACGAGCTTACCATTTGAGTGCGCGTCGAGATCACGAAGATGCAAACGACACGTGTGCAGGGTGAGCAAATCTATCTTATCACCAAAGCGGGGCTAAAGCGACTTGTCCTTATAATGGGACAGCGAAGTTTGCCTGAATCTGCCATAGATGACTCATATTTGAAGATAGCTTACGGTAACACTGCAACCATTCGCCTACTGTGTGAAATGTTCTTTCAGAAGTGAACAAGTGGAGTTATGGAGAAACTGCCAGGCATGATGTGGATACATAGGAAGCCAGTTACCGGGCTGTGCCAAGAGACTACGGGTGCTTCCTTTTCTTGTCAACAAAGTCGACTGTCATGTCTCTATACCACAATCATAGGGCAATACAGGTTTAGAAATACAGTATTGAGCACTTGCACCTTCCGGTCCAAAAAAAACATGCTCTTTGTAAGTCTAGGGTGGGGCTACCTGGGTACATGGCTCTACCTCATAAGCAGATGTTCTGTCAGAATTTGGCAGCCTTATGGGTGCGTAAGCAATTTCTGGCTTAGCGAATGAAGTACTTAGAAGTACCGCTGCTGCCTGGAGTTCCGGGGTGCGAATGTGGGGGAGTGGAGACAGCTTGACAGTGCGAGTCATAGGTACTGTCGCTTACATCAACCAGTTAAATACATCAAAATGCGCTTTTTGTATCAGACAGGTGTGTACACAGTGCGAAGATTTACTCAAGAACGACATGTGGGGCTTCGTTTATAAACGAGAGTTATTGTTGGAGAGGAAGGTGCAAGTGCTCAATACTGTATAAACTAGAAGTAAACAAAAAGAAAAGAAAAGAAAAGACAAAGCAAAGCAGCAGTCAAGCTATTCTGGCTAGCCTTATTCCTTCTGATTGATATCCACATGGTGGAAGGAAAGCATGGTCAAAAATATCTTTCCTTGAATATAGTAAAAGATTCACAAAGAGTTCGGTAGATTTTACAGCCATCTTCGCTGTGCAAGATACCACAACAGAGAACAATGAGCAGGACAAGGTGGCCATTGTTAAAAGGTCATTGGAGATTTTGATTTTTACGGATAAATCCACTGATGGCACGTAGCAGTGGGTTGACTACATGAAGAGGGAGTCTAACATAGCTTTCAGCTATTCGAACCATTCACCTATTTCTAGAATCGAATGCTTATTTATCATTAGTTTGCAAATAAATCGCCTACTGGCTTCAGTTCACACTCCTACTTTTAGTGCCGTTTCGCTGCGAGTTTCTTCCAAGCATCTACCCTGCGGTCACTGAACCTGTACGGCTCTTCACAACACCCTTGTCCCTTTAAGGGTTATTCACAAAGGTCCGCAGACGATATGTGAAAAAAGAAAGAAATGGTACAATTAGTGCTTGCCTTGACACTATTGTCTTCCTGCAAGGGCATAGATTTGTAAGCACATAGGAGCTTGTAGTTGAATCTAATTATCACCATTAGTAGCTTGTTTTGTTTAATGGGCAAGTATTCGGCCGAGTGAATCTCCGAGTGTGAAACACTTGGATTGTAGTGCCAAGTGAGACACCGACATGAGCTCTGCTGGTAGAGTGTGAGACTGACACGAGTTATGATTGGGCCAAGCCTATGTGTCTCAATTCAGTGATGATTGGCCAATATTCTCAAAAGAATGCGAGAATATGTAAGCGAAAGGTGATATAAAGGTTCTGGGTTGTCATCCTTACGCTATGAAAAGATGCTTCCCTCTTGAACGTACAGTCTCAAGCTTCCTCAGCACTCTTTCATCCACTCCTCACCTTAACATCATATACACAATACTTTCGCTTCGCCTTAAAACATGAAGATTCTTATCTTGATCGCCCCTCTGCTTTCCCTCCCTCTGGCTTTTGCCAATTATGGCGGTGATTACGGATATGGCTATGGGGAAAAGATCAGTACCGTAACTGCTACCGTCACGCACACTGTCACAAAGCCCATCTACAAGGCCCCGATCACCAAGACCAAGACTGAAACTGTCACCAATTTCAAGCCCACAGTCACAAAGTACAAGACTAAGACCAAGACCGTCACTGAGAAGCCTTACCCCACCTACCACAAGCCTGGATACGGTGATGGCAAACACAAAGACGGCGAGTACAAGGGCTAAGAAGTGGGTCTCTCCCAACGACTCGAATTGATGGAACATAACCGGGTCAATGTACCTACCTTGAAGATTTGGCCTTGCAATCTTTTCCTGTCAATTTGAGCGATGGTTATCGTAGGGCAATAAGTCGTTGACTTCTCGTTAGTCTGGAGAATGAATTGTTGGGCTACGTTACGGCATTTCTTCTCACTCTTTACCATTCTTATGTAAATATATACACGTTATGTTCTTGGTAGTGGTTAATTATTAGAACTTAGCGATAATTGCTGGGAGGCAATCAGATAAAATCCCTTCGTCGAAATCCTTTTGTTTGACTTTATCATAACTAAACGTTTCGCTGGCCTATTTTCCATACTATTTTCAAGTTCCTACTTTTTGTAGTTCTCTGTCATTATAGAATCGTCCGTTTCATTCCAAGGTTTTATCCCAATACTTCAATATTACAATCTTCTCCAAGGCTGCTATCTTAATCGCGTTTTAAAAGGATACGTCAAATTCATTGTGCAGTCACCATATTATTTATGCATTAATATGTTGCTAGGACGAAGCAGACAACTAATGAGAGCCGTTATCCAGTTCGGAACCGGGTTACAAGAGCAGACGTTCCACTTTTTGATCAATATATTCGTGTCCTGTGTCGGCAACACTCCCAAACTAGCAATTAGTCATTAGTGAATAGTGTGACAAAATCTAGAAATCCGAAAGCGCTTATCATAAGCGTCTTCCTCATAATGCTCCGGTAACTCAGTCTTTGGCATGACAAACCGGTTGGTAGTTACAGACGATGTTTCAATAAGGACCCCTGTGATGAATGGCTTCCAGACGCCCTGGCGGCCTTCAGGAGTCAACTAGACGTAGAAGGGATTTCACAAGTACCTTAGCGCTAACGTGTGACTGCGTCGGATTGCCAGCTGACTCAAGGCCGTTGTGCGTACGTGAGTCCGATGTGATAAGAGGCCTATGATTTTGTGTTCTCGGTTTTCGGGGTGGGGTGGTATGATGGTCATGTCTGAAGGGATAACAAAAGTTCTTCACAGAGTTTTGATGTGCATGAGCCTGAGTCTTGAAATGTGGGTATTTCACTTTATCTCCCCACCATTATTTTCGTCCGTTATTTTTGGCCGGCTCCACTTGGTTATTGACGTCCAAGACTGGCTAGCTTGTTTGCTCTACCCAGCAGGGCCAACATCATATCTGGTAGTTGAAGTGCAGCATGCATACTGTAGTGTCGCAGGATAGACATGAACTTCACGGCTCCAGGAAGTGTTCGGGTTAGTAGTCTAGCTCTATCCTTTCGGTGACTTTGCGAAACCAAATCTTATCTGAGGCCAGGATGCCAAAACAGGGATAACAAAATGCCCCACTTCAACTCACCATGAGTTTACCGCGCTAAAGTAGGTTCCTTGCTCTCAGAGACTCCTCTGATTGGATCGCGACGACCTTGGTCCTTGTTTTGCATGATTCCCAACCTTCTCGCGTCTCGTATTCATCCCTTGAGTTACTTGCTTACATGTAGCCGCAACGTACTGGGCATGAGAATGGACATCGCCGGATCGTCAAGCTAGCATCAGCATTCTCGGACGAATAACTTTTCACGTTAACTTTGACGTCATGTGAGCGGGTTGCTTCTCGCATTGAGTCTAGTATTTTTGAGTTAATGAAGTTAGACAGGGGACCAGGAGGCTTCAATACACAAATACTCGAAATCATGCAGCATCTTGATGCTCGATGTTGAACACCGCTTCCTGAATTGGTATAAGAATAATTGAATGTTTCAACGAAAGAATTCACAGGTTCGCCCTTCGCTTGTAAGACGGTGTAACAGACATGACTGGAACTGGACGTCAAAGGATGTATAATGAATATTGAGATCAATATGGTATGCTTTCAACGCTTTCATACAACATAAATGTCGTCGGCCCCTTCATGCGTTAGGACTCTCATGATGTCAGAAACATCAGTCTGAGCATGGGCGGGTTGGGAGAATTGCCAGTCAAGAACCGCTACAGCATCACGTTTATTATTCCATTTCATAGCAGTACAGCTTCAACATGGAGCTTACCCCAACAGCATTTGTTCCGAAGCCGATTCGTATTGTCGTCATAGGTGCTGGGTAATTGTACCCCCATTTTGAATTTGTATTAGCAATTAACCGTTGTAGGATATCGGGTATCCAGTTCTTGAAGGACGTAACCTCGCGATTGCCAAACGTCAACATCACCGTTTATGACAAGAACAGTCAAGAAGGAGGAACTTGGGCTGAGAACAGATATCCTGGGTGAGAATTTCCTTCACCCATAACTGACCATGGGCAACTGCTGAAATTTACAAGGTGTGCATGCGACATCCCATCCCACGCCTACCAGTACAGCTGGAACCCCAACCCCCGTTGGAGCCGCCTGTATGCCGAGGCGGCTGAAATCTTGGACTATCTCAAATCAACGGTGACCAAGTTCGATCTCAGACGATATATTCAATTCGGTACAACATGCACCGGGGCAAACTGGGATGAGAAGAACTCTGAATGGAACGTTTCTCTGCAAAGCAACGGGAATACTAATAATGAAGTCTCGGTCAAGTGCGATGTTTTTGTCGTTGCTGTAGGAAGGCTGAATAACTGGAAGCTACCAGACATAGATGGTCTTGATACGTTCCAGGGGCGTGTGATACACACAGCCAACTGGCCCCAAGGCCTAGACTATCATGGCAAAGATGTAGCTGTAATAGGAAATGGGGCCAGTTCAACCCAATGTTTAGCTAGCTTACGCAAAGGTAAGAAATTTGGATGGAAAATCCCAAATGTTGACTAACAGCTTTAGACGCGAGATCCATCAGTAACTTTGTTCGTGGATCAACATGGCTGGTTCCGCATGTATTTTCTAGCAATGGAGAACCGCAGGTCAATTGTCAGCATAACCTACCCTACACACAAGCCCGAACCACTGACAGGCGGACAGATTCCCACGATACAATCAAGAAATTCGAAACCGACCCCGATTCGTACCTTCAATTCCGCCTAAAAATCGAGAAAAAGCTGGCCTATAGCTTCAGAGGTCTCTGGGCCAACTCGAGCGCTGCTAGAGAATTCACTCAAAATGCAAAGCAGCACATGGCCAATAAAATTAACGACCGACAGACTTTGAAGGCCCTTCTTCCTACTAAGTATAAAGCTGGTTGTCGTCGCTTCACACCTGCCGATAAATATTTGGAGGCTCTAGACCAGTCAAATGTAGAGCTCGTTTCAACCCCAATCAAGCAGGTGGAGGGAAATGCTATCATCACGACTGACAACAAACGGCGAACATATGACATAATCGTCTGTGGCACAGGCTTTGAGCCATACGCACCGAGGTTTCCGATCAAAGGGAGCGGAACAGCTAACTTGTCAGAGCTATGGTCAACGGATGGGGGCTATGAGAGTTACTTGGCAGCAACAGTCGCTGGTTTCCCCAACTTTTTCGGTACGTGAACTCACTCATGAGATCATCCCAAAAGAAAAAAAAAGCTAAGGTCATCTTTCAAGTGTTTAATCCACCTATCTGTCCTGTTAATGGTTCAGCGTACCCTGGGATTGAGCGTACGAGTGACTACATCATCAGAGTCATCGACAGGCTACAGAAGGATCGCTTAAGGTCAGTCTGTGTCAAAAAATCAGCCCAGGACGCCTTCAACCGCTGGGTTCAATCACGCATGCCAGAGATGGTATGGTCGGAGCCATGCTCATCGTGGTGTAAGTCGACCTCTGTTATCTAGCATTCACATTGCCAGGACCTAATTATTATGTTACAGATAAGTCCAACGAAAAGGTAATTGTTCCATGGCCAGGAACAATACTTCACTACTACGCCGCAACTGAAATAGTGCGATGGGAGGACTACGATCTCAAGTTTGAAGAGGATGACCAAAAGTTTGCAAGTTTCGGGAATGGTATTACAGTAGAAGGATTCACTCCGCAAAGTATACCTTGGCTTTAATGTAATTAAAGTATTGAAACACCATCCTATATCGTTCCATCGTTATTCAAGGTTTCTATATTTACACGAAAAAAGACTGTTGTGTGTCTTGGTCAGGCTATTACCCCTCATTCAGCTCGTCCTTGAAAGGGATTACATGATGAACTGTGTCAATATTTCACTGTTTGTTTACATCATTGCAGATGTGGTCGCTCGATTGCCGAAGCTACGGAGATGAGTGACCATTCATTTGGAAAGCACTATCGGCTTATATATCCACACCACAACACTAGCAAGCTTTCAGTATTAAACCTTCTCTGCCCAGTAGACTGGGCGCTTCCGCGAATTTTGCAGAGCATGACCAGCACAACGTTTTGGCCAAGCCACTCCACCCCTGGAATATTCACATCATGGTTGGGTGTTCGGTCCCATTCTATGCCATTGGACTCCCATGTATTCCCATGGTGGTTTTATACATCCAGGACTTCTTCGACCATTATCCAGCCACTTCCTTGAGGCTCGTCTGACCAAGATATAGGCAGGAGTTCTAAGTTTAGAATATAGGCGTAGACCTCTCCTTTTATGTATGAAGTAATATATACATTGTTTTGTGTGTAGGATGGTTGTCAATGTTGTTTTGGGCTTTATAAGCCTCAAGGGTCCTGTAATGCACACTCCGCCTTTCTTGGGATTTTGTAGGGCGATAAAAATGCCGGTGCTTCAGGAACTGCCAGTCCATACAAGCCATCAATTAGGATTGGAGGACTCTACAACCTGTCATTAGTTAGCTGTACCACCATTCTATCTCAGAGCGACCCGGATCAAGACTTCCATAGATTTCTATGAATATCTTATGGCTGACGTCTATATCACCGCCTCGACAGCCTTCGCATCGGTCTAAGATAGTACCTTGAGCAGTATTGCCGTTAGATCCTTTCATGGTGATAGTTCGACCACACAAGGGGTTGTTGTTAGTGTTATTGTCAATCATGGATGCATCATATACATCTCCAGAGATTGCTACGATGCTGCCAGTTTCGTCTTGCCCACTCGAATTCTGACCGCAGGCGCCCATACCAACATCATAAAAAGTAATGTTGCCAGATTTCACATCGCCGTAGGGACTCGCAGCCCCAGTCTTTAGCTCAGACTTTTGCTCCAGCTGGGAATAAGCAGGTGTGGAGGGTGAGGGATAAGGTGAGTAAACACCAGGATCAGGAACTTGTTCGTTCTCGGTTGTAGACCCAGCAGAGGGGATGGGGGGATAGCTATCGACGACAGGGGCATTGCTTGGGACTGGACTAGGAGTTTCTGCTTGAGCAGAGGCAATCTTGGGTGTCTCAATCACAGTGGGATTGGCGGCGGGTATAGAGGGGTTGGTCGCCTTGGATGCGTACCCGCAATTGCTTGACCACTCAATCTCAATTATACCCTGTGGCTGGACAGCAGCAACTGTGGTAAGAAAAGCAGGAACAAGAGTAAGAATCTTCATGATTTGTGTATCCGTTCGTTTCGATTACTTTTTGTAGTTCAACGGTGGATAAAGAGTGGAGATAGATCTGTGGACCACACTGTAGAGAAGCTCGTAGCAAGGAGGATTCATAAGTGGCAAGATGCAATAAATACACAAGGAGAGGTAAAGCTTTAATAATAGAACCTCGCGCTTCTAAAAGGATACCTTTTAGCAGAAAAGTCAGTCGATAATACCGTTGTGTGTGGAAAAGTCTAGTGTAAAGTATTTAAGGTTCAAGGTGAGAAAACAGACAGCTAAAGAATAGGAATACCGTTTTTCATAATAACTGGAGATTTCCCAAATGGAAGGACTATACATAGAGCGCTACAAAGGTTTTAGCACGATCGCCGTGAGAACGGTCAAGTCGCAATAGGGTTCTTTACCCTTACCAACACCGACCGGTCATCAGCGAACAGCTGGTCAAGCTGTTTGAGTCACTGTAGGCTAAGCTAGCATAGTGACGAAAACCTCAGTAAGAAAACCAAATGGCCGAGAACGCGAAGAGCGCTATATGGAAATCCTCAGGATAGCCGCAGTGGTAGAATTGCGCAGCGATCGCGGAAGAAGAACCGCCTAATTGTAGTAAATATCGAGCCAAGCTGCAAATACCTTTTTTTTTGAAGGTCAGGATGCTAGAAATAAACTTCTGTTGAACAAATCATACATGCTATAAATAAAACCATGTATCCCTGATGCACCGTATCGTAGTCAAGTCTCAGAGCGTGATATACAGGACATGTTCGCAATGATGGTTTGAAACCTTGTTTTTACTCATACGTCCAGACAAAAACGTAACTTTTGACTAATGGGATGAGAAAGCTCAACGAAAATGTAAGAGATACGAAAGGCTGGATGTGTATATTCTGACATTGCGTTAGTCATATTAATCCACCTTAGTTTTGGTCACTTGTGCCATCCATTACCAGTTATTCGGCCTATTCGGGCAGATTGGTGTGCTTACTGTTGTACTGTGAAAAAATCGGCTTCTGGTGGGTCAGTTATTAATATGTGGAGTAATCGGTAATGGTTCATCAAAGAGGCTCCCCTGCTCTCAATCTCCAAGGTGGGTCATCTATGTATCTTAACGGGTATTATTTCTCTACTGACGTTCCACCCTACAAGAGCGTCATTTCCCGCCGTAGCTACGTTCGACGAGCTTGTACAGATGACAGCAAGAAAAGCGAACGCAGAAAAGCAAACAAAAACTGCTTTGTACATGTACCGTAAGCAGTCAAGGGACTTTAGCTAGGTTCAATGAAGGGCACACTTAAGGTATCGAGCTCTGCATTTGAGCATTTGCACCAGCGCCTTCTTATCCAAAACATAACTGAAAGAGTTTCGCAATCTTTACTCAAAGCCGACGATGTGGCTTCACTCGACTGGCGTTGTAAGCCACATACTAGGTGTGGAGTTGTGGTGGTTCCGAATGATGACACGTAGTCGCGTCCTAAGTCTAGTATTGGAGTCTGCAAAGCAGTGAAATGGTTAGCAGATGCTGACGTGCTTGTGAACATTGGGTTTTCTCCAAAGGCATCCCTAGCCGAAGATAAGATCCACGATGTGAGGGATAATCGCCATTTTCTTCCATTATTTCTCATTTGTTACTGTGCCCAAGTGGGTCTGGATGCTATTGAGCTTGTAATGAGTGGCTTGTTGGAACTGCAGCTTAGCTGCAACGGCGAAAGCCTGCCTCCCGGGCTTGAGGTCCTAACCCATAGATCAAACCTATTTCAGCCTACTACAAGAACAGGAAAAGGCCTTTCTTTGACTTTTATAACATGTAGCGCTACAGAAGATAGATTTGCATTTCTCATGAGCGATAAATACTTTTCATATCCAGCCAGAAGTCGATGAGGGCCAATATGGAAGCCCTGCCACTCGAATCAACATCTTCACTATCGCTGAAACCCGGCAGCGACGTCCAGCTGGTAACTGTCGGCGATGAGTTCTCTCGAGAAGTTGTTACAAATAGTCTCGTCTCTGGGTCCCTCATCCGAAGAGTGACTGCAATAACATATCTATGCGGCATGAACATCACCAGTAGCGCATCTAACGGTCTTATAGTCATTGGCCTTCCTCGACTCACAAAGGATCTCGAACTACTTCCATCTCTTGCTTTCTGGCCATCTTCAGTTCAAGGACTGACCACTGCATCAACTTTGCTCCTCACGGGCGCTATCGCTGATGTTTTAGGACCGCGACCGGTGAATCTGTCGGGATGCATATTGAATTGTATCTTCATACTTACTTGTGGACTGGTCAAGAATGGGGAGCAACTTGTTGTCTTACGAGCCTTTCAGGGCATTGCCACGGCGTTACATCTGTCTAGTTCCGTGGCCCTTGTGACCCAAGTGCAGCCTCAGGGTCGAGAACGCAACGTAGCCTTTGCGTGCCTAGGATTAAGCCAGCTGTTAGGTTTCTCATCTAGCCTCGTTGTGGGCGGCATATTGATCGACACTCTTGGATGGCGATCAGGATGGTATTTCTGTGGAGGCCTTACCCTGCTACTATTCGCCATCGGATGGTGGGCATTGCCAAGAGCCGCACGACCCGGCTCGTTACGAATCACGATACGAAATCTGAAAAAGAAAGTCGACTGGGTTGGCGCATTACTTGCATCGACATCCATAAGTCTACTTACATACTTTTTGGGGTTCGTTGACGCACATACCTCTCGATTGATGTACTAGCTAATTCCAAAACAGCATCATCAGCACAGGTATAGATCAAGTTCGATCCCCCCTGGCCCTTGTGCCCTTGAGTCTCAGCATGGTAGCGACTGCCTTATTTGTATACTGGATGCACTCTCGGGTCAAAAGAAACCGGGTGGCCCTGATTCCAAATGGGCTTTGGAAGAATCTGTCTTTTACCAGCATCTGCATCACTGTTGCATTATCCTTTGCTGTGTTAAACTCTCTGGATCTCGTGACGAGTCTTTAGTAGGTAGAGAGCGAGTGCCAGCCGAAAAGCCCCTTCCGCTAACGAACATCCTAGTTTCCAAGAAATCGAGCATCTCTCGGCTCTTGAAGCGGCTATTCGCATGCTTCCAAGCACCGTGGTTGGCCTCGCTCTCAATATCACAACGGGTCTTGTGGTCCATAAGATCCGCGCAAATAGGCTCGTCGCTTTCGCGTCGCTCATTTCTGCTGGCTCTCCCCTTCTTATGGCTGTCATCCAGCCGGACTGGCCTTACTGGAAGTGCGCTTTCCCCGCACAGATCCTGATGCCTTTCTCTATCGATGTTCTTTTCACAATCGGTCTGATAATCATCACGGAAGTTTTTACTGAGGAACAACATGCAGTCGCTGGTGCTGTTTTCAACACGGCTGCGCAACTCGGTAACACGATGGGACTGGCTCTCATGCAAGTCATCTCAACCTGGGTCACAAAACAACAGGAGACAGCGAAATCCTTTACAAAAGCCCTCATGGAGGGTTACAGAGCGACCTTCTGGGCTATGTTAGCTTTCTTGCTGGTCTGTAGCATTGTCGGAGCGATCGGACTTCGACGGGCAGGCAAAGTTGGGTCAAGGCATTGTTAAGGAGATGACACTGGTGACTGTAGGTCAGAGTTCAGAAAGTAGTGGACTTGTGCGCATACAATCAGGTGTATTGCCACACACCGAATTATGAGTGGCCAGTATTTTAATTAATTGTGACTACACAATCTAGTGAGCCGCCATCCCAATGGCTTGGGCGATCTCGGTACTCTTCTACCTGCTGTCGCTAGAATGTATAATCATGAAAGCGTCCAGCTACTTAACCTAGAGCTCCCATCCTGTTCGCAAATGCCGTCTTGGGGCTTCAGGTTGCTGCAGCCTGTCCGGTATTGGGTAATTATATGTTGAGATGTACATACCTTCCTTGAGAGATAGATGGTGACTCCTGTGAAAGAAATTGCATTGCTTCCGGAGGGAGATCCAAAGTAGGTCAAACGAAGTCTGCCACTTCCCCACCGCGAATTTGAGCAGATTGTACACAATTTGTGGCCTACATTTTGTTATTCTTGGTAAATTGGATCTCTGTCATAACCAAGTTAACGTAGACAGCTCAGACTGAAAAGGCAAGGATGGGGGATGGTCATACGAAGACCAGCTCCATGTGCCTTGACATCTTGCTAATCCCTTTACACACTTACCAAGCAAGCCCCGCTCCATTCTATTCGTTTTTGTCATATCTCACGTACTAGAACCTTGTCCGACTTTCTGAAACCTGCCCTGCCAGTGTCTACTCTACGGCCCTCGTGTAAAGCCTTTGGAGCCTATCACACGGTTGAAAGAGTCTCAGGGAGTTCTTGGACTCAAAGGAGGCCCTTCTGAAGAACAAATAGCAATTACATATCAGGAGCAAGTCCATTAAGCAAACAACAAGACCAGGTTAGATTCAGATCAGCGTAGCCATACAGAAGTTGCCGTCGAAAATTGCTAGACTGCTAATTTCACTTGACATTCACTGAAAGTTAATGCATGCAAGAATTCTCTTATTTCACCTTTCTTTTTCAAAGAAACTAAGAAGGATCAAATGTGACAAAGTATGTATTAGGCTACCGGACATGATAGCAGAGTATATCTGTGTGTGGGTGGCAAAAGAGGATCGACCGATGCTTTGTCATGCTCTTCTATCCCTTGGTTTGAGGTTAAAGTATTTATTGATAATTGATTTTGCCATTTCCCATTAATCCACAAGGCATGGCACTATCGACGTACTTAACCTTTTGGCTACCGGAATGAATTTGAATGTAATGATACCTTTGTTTGCCAAGTTGAATACAGATTTGAGCCATCATGACTCACATATCGCTATCAGGGCATGATATGATGTTGGCAGTAAATGTATGTAAGCCTTTGTTCTTTGCATTCATGTGACTACTCAAGACCAAGAGGTCCGGGCGTAATTCCAAATATAGAGTACTTATACAGAGCTTACCACGTTACTATCCTTTTTAGCGTTCCTTAGACGCGCCACATCTCCACGAGGCCGGGATTGGTATTTTCAGTATTTCCAGTAAGGTATTGTATCACAACATAGCTGACGCTTCTATGGCTGTGACCTCCGTCAACTGAGATCGTGTAGCTGTATTGTTGCTCCAGTTTTCACAAGTGTGCTATAATTAGTATGGATAATCTCAACGAAACAACTCCAAAATATTTGCATTTGAATCAATAAATAGGTCTACTCGCTTCAAATTGAATGCCATTCTCACTCTACACAAGCCTGTTGAGAACTCACTCCATATCAACATGTCGTCAAACTCCATGGCTGACCTGGTCGGTGAATATGTAAGAGTGGCCCAAAAATATCATGGAAAGGCCATCTCTGTCCTCCGAAAACAGCTCGAATATTCGGAGACTAACACACGCACACGAGAAGATGTCACTCAAATCGTTGAAATGCTGGAAAAGTGCACAATTCAGAAACCGCTCACTGCTAGAGAAGTGCTTCGATTAAGACCTAGCGGCAGCTTGAGTAAGAAACTTGTGGTTTGCTCAGAGGACGATGCACGCAAGATATTCGATAAAGGGCCCCCATGTTTTCCAGTCCTTGTGGTCGAGTCAAGTACTCAGCAACATATCTCCATAGATTGGTTCTTAGGCATTCTCGAAACTCGAGCAAGTCTTGATGTCCACGACTTTGGCAAAAACATCAAGAAGAAAGGCCGAGTTGCCGTGAGAGTGCCTTCGAGTTCTGCCATAGATATGTTCAAAAGCCGGCAGGAGATGCAACGAAAAGGAAGCCAAATTTACCCATTAAACTTCCTCAACCTCAACGGGATTAAGGACAATGCTGTCCCAGGATTCTTGGCGAATCGCAAAGACTTCAAGATACTAGAGCTCTCACGTGAAGAAAACGGTAAAAGGGAGTATCGCACAGAATCCACGGACCTGGACGAATCAACTTCTTTTCACTTACTAGCCAGCCAAGGGGCGGTGCATCTCCCGCATGTCGATCATCACTATGTATATACAACAATCTTCAACGAGGAAGGGCACAAGCTGTGGCTCATGTGGCCAGGTTTGGGGATTGACGGTCTCCAGACATGGAGGGAGACGGGCCAAGTCCCCGATGGTGGCATTCCTGTTTATATCGCACCTGGGTATACTCTCATCCAGCCACCTGGTACATTGCACGCGCCGATCACAGTCTCAGACTGTTTGATGACAGGGACAATGCATTGGCATAGTTCCCAACTTCATAATATACTAAGATATACCAAGGCAGAAATCGAAGATCCAGAGATTACAAATGAGTCCTTTTCGCGCCAATTTATTGAAAAGATGACAATAATTCTAGCTCTATGGAGAAGAGGATCGAAAGCCTATACGTGGCCGCCAGATGAACATCTTAACGAATGCCTAGAAATCCTGGAGGTGAGCAAGCGATATGTGCAATTGATGAAAGGGCGATGAGGCAGTGCTAACGAAAGTTTAGTGGCTCAAGGACGGCTGCGATTGTGATCAAACCGCTTCAAAATGCAAAACGTGCCGATGTGCAAGCGAAAAACGCCCGTGTGATGAAAGATGTCACTATGGTGATTACACACGCTGTAACAACCCAAATTGATTAGAATATCCGAAGGATCATATGGCGGATGATTGCGGCGAAACAGTACACCCAGAACTTCAAGATCTTTCAAATATTGGAGATCTAGACTCAGATTAATTGAATTTGTGGCCAATACCACGTACCGCCTTATTTCCGTGCCTTTTTAAGTCGACTTTGACCTTGTGCTAAGTTTTGTGATCGAAAATATACTGTAATGACAAAAGATCAGCCCAGAAAAATCACCATAAAATTAAAAGATGGTACTCTGATCATATCAAGGTAGATACTCTCCAAGTCGTAGCGCTATCATGCGTTAGGTGGGAAACATAGAATGCAAGCCAAGGGGATTTTGAAACTAAGCTTCAGGGATAACAAACAGGTCTAGAACAGATGGCTGCATCACCGTACGTGTTGGATGCACTACACAGGTCTAGATGATGGATTGAATACCATACAATACTGATTACTACGCCCCGCGGCTCAGTTTTGCCGAAAGAGCGCTCATCATTAATGCGCTTACTTTCCAACTTGCCAACTTGCTACATAATCGTTGCCACCATCTTCTCGAGTACATGCTGTGACACACTCACAATGCCGAACTGTTGTCCACATTTGGACTAGGCAGAAACAGTGTCTTCACTATTGAGCACTTTTTCTTTTCACATCACCCTTGGAATCTTACGTCTTCCTGCAAAGCGTGAAACAAAAACGCCGGAGGCTACTAGAATGAGTGCTAGGTGCTGGCGATCGGACGCAACTTGGTAGATGCCCAAGAAGCATTTGTCAAGTACTGATTGAGACTGTCGGTCGTGGCTTATTTTGTTATGCGATGTAGAAGTGTGATGATAGAAAACGTTGGAATCCGCCAGAAAATAGTACCTCTTTTTCCTGGTCTCCACGATTAAATAAAGTCTCGAAGTGTCATAACATAAACAGAACAAGGGGTGAGGGTAAAGAATTTCTGCTTGACTGCGGATATCGTCGGCGGTTGAGGGAATAATCAGTGGAAGATCCACCTCGGCTACATCGGGAGTTCACAGCTAAAATAAGACCTAAGCTATGGGGCTAGTCGCCATACGAGATCGTTTCATCGCACCACTGATTTGGGTATTCTACCATCCCCGCTTTGAGCATATTTATGCATATTAACTGATTTACCTTTATTTTGCCCGACATTTGGGTTGCTGTAGTCAACAGAGTCTCACTATTGAAGAGAAAACCCTCGGACGCGAACTCATATCAGACAATCACAGTGTTACTGGTAATGTAGGCAGACATCGATTGGGTGGCATCACTTCACGGCTTCTAGACAAGACCCTAGCTACTAGGCAGATGCGTCGACGTACCAAAGCAATACCAAATTAACACTGGAGAGCTGTGTGACCCGATCTCAAGACTAACAACTCCACGTAATCAACATCAAGTGAGAGGTGTAATAAGTAATAATGAGCAACTGACGTGAGATATCTATATCATGGGACGAAGGGACTCAATTGCCATAGGAAAGCGACCCAACAGAGGCAAATGGTGTAGGGGGCGGCGGGGATTGGAATAACTCCAAACCACCTCAATCTATTAATCCGTCAACACGGCATCTCAGCCGTGTTTGTAATTTACGGTATTTAGATGATAGAATAGCTTTTTTACAGTAAGCATTGGTAGTCATGCAGTGCGTCCGAAGATGCAACAGTGAGAACTAAAATCACGTATGCCATTGCCTTGACTATACGACCCAGCTTTGCTCCAAACGACGCCATTCTGGCCGCTACACTACATATAGGATTTATTATCCTCTCAGGGGCCCCAAACTTTCTTTCAATTACCGAGAACAAGGCGTAGTCCTTGACACTAGACCACCCACCTTCACTTAGATCAAGCTACGAAGCGGTCCCAAAGCCATAGTATCGATCGCATATAGCGTCATTGGGTGGAAGTCTGGGCATCCGAGGCAGGCTCTGGCTTCCCATCCAGCAGTTACTGTACGGCGTAATCGGGGGAGTAGGGTAGTCATGAACATGCTGGACATTGTGTCCCTTTTGGGAAGTACTGTAGATATTCCCCATGTATCTGTTAATGGTCTTGGCCCTGGGGGTAGCAGGGCCAGTAGCTCGATGGGCAATGGCATTTTGCTCCGCTGTAAAGCGGGCCAGCCTCTGGGACACTCCGGAATACCCGGCTGTCGAGTACTTGCGGACGAGTGTAGGAGAAGGACTCTGACAGTGACGCAATAGAGCGATCCACGTAGCATTTTCCATCCGGTCCCAATCCTCCTCGTTCTTAACTTCGGCGCGGCCGAGGATCACCCGCGCAAGGTCCAGAGATGATCGGGCCATAACCGTCGGCCGGGTGGAGACGAAATCGCGATGGTACAACGCAATCTCACAGAGATATGCAGCCATGTGTGTAACCACTTGATCGTCACCCTCCTCTAGCACGATTAGCTGCGAAAAGAAGTCGACGGTGGGGTAGCCAATGACCCAATCGAGGGTCTCTAGGACATGCCACTCCATCTGGGTGAACAAGCCAGCATTATAGAGTCCACAGCAGATGTCCTCGAGTTGATGAATCTGGGGAATGCGGCCCTTTTCGTCACCATACTTGGCAGCGATGAGTAGCGCTGCGCATCCAGCCAATTGATAGTATTTTCCTAACAAAATTCTCTTGGTGCAGTACCGGTCGATGAGGTTCACAGTGAGGAAGAGAGTCTCGGGTAGTAGGTCAAAGGCGGCGTGGGCCTCGACGAGGAAATTTATCAAGTACCGCCGCTTGAACCAATCGATCTCGGGCTGCTCATCGATCAGTGAAGCAACCGGTAGAGTCTCATTCTAAATGTTGTTAGCCCACGCAATGTGATGTGCGTCGATGTTGCAACATGCCTCCATCTGTCGCATATGCTGCATGATATCCTCCAGGTATTCATCGCCTGCTAATCGTGAAAGCTCATCGCCAGTCAGCTCTTGCCGTTGACGAGACATCATTTGTGCTACTTCTTGGGCTGTAATTCTGTGCTGATGATCATCGAACTCCACAAAGTAGGAGCTATTGAGTTGAGAGTATGACATCTTTGGGATATAACAGGGAACTGGCAGATGAAAGCGGTTCAAACTTGTTGAAGATATACGTGGTTTAAGGGTCAATGCCGGACCAATCCGTTCAAGATATGTGACTCCTTAGATTTTTTGTTGGAATACGAGAGCCCGATGTCGATTATTTCGCAGTGTCGTCATATGGCACTTTTCTCTCCAAAGATGCCGAATATTGTCAAGACTAAGTCATAAGAGTTAGTCCCTAATTTATAGTGTATCCTCATCTAGATTGATAGGAACAGAAAGCCGGCTAAGAATAGATCCAATGAAATGTCGTGACCTCGGCGGCCCAAGGGAGCAGGAATCATCGCCAGGGAGCGACCCGGATATCTCTATTTTAAGTACTTGGGCTAGCGGGAATTGGGCTTGTTCAACTTTCGTTTCTTGAGTGATACATCAAGACTTGACGTACAGTCAGATTTCGTAGAATCGGTTGTGATTCCTTGACCGAGACCGCAGCCATTAGAGGCGTAGTGCGCTCGGGCGTGGAGAGGCTTCCCATTGCATGTTCTATTGATGGCACAGTATCACTTGGGGCCATGGACAAATAAAGTATACATAGTACTTACCGTGAAGGAGTGCACTCCAGCGAAGAGTTGTAAGGAGGGACAAGCAATTGGGCGACGTAGACTTGCTGTTGGTCTCCTTGTGCCAATGTTCGGCGTCAGTTGGGTTATGCGTCGAGGACGTGCAGTGGGATTACTTGTCAAGGTTAAGAAGGGATATTAACAAATGATAGAAGAAGAAAAAGGGGCAAGAATGGCACCTCGAAAACTGGTCCACGGACCCACTGCGCGGTATCCAGGCAGAAGTATTGGAATCAATATTGCAGTTCGTCTTTTCTACTACAAAAGCCCTGGGAGTCATCATAGATCAGTTTGTGTTACTTAAAATGTGGCTGTTTTCCATGATCTCTTGCGTAGTCAGTCCGCGCCACTTTAAGAAGTGGCCCCGGATCCAGAGTGCATGCTGCGGAAAACAGCAGCCCTGTGAAAAAGTAACGTACACCACAAAGAGTGCCAGCTGGCAAAACGGAACAAATATCTTCCTCGATTGGCTTCCGTCGTTGGGAAATGCCGACAGGTACGCTCCTGTACTTCCAGCCGTGCTAAGGCTACAGAAAGATATTCTGCCGATTCGCCGACCAGAACCAGGGAGTCTTCCAATTCTAAGATATCAGTAAGATGGTTTCTGGCTAGTGGGCGTACTTGTTTCAATACTCGGCTCCTGTAGCGTCTAATTACGTGAAAGTAAAGTGGAATGATAAGTACCTCGAATGTGCTATTCGCAGCGCGATGAAATTAGCAGCGGACCAGGGTATTCAGACGTCACAGGGTATAAGTCACTTTTCTAAAATGAGACCGCGAATGGGAATGCTGATCTGAATACTGCTCCGTCACATCATGGAGGGCATGAAAAGAGACATCTTAGCCCCTTCACCATGATGTCCCGAGTGGTATTTGAAGATTACCCATTCCGGCACTGACAATCGAATGCGCAGTTGGAAATACAAATATTGTGTTCCCAAACTCGCCGTGTAGCCTATAACGACGGTTCAAGATCATGCCCAATCTCAACGGCTAGTATTTGAAAGTTGTTATTGTAGAGATGTTGCTGATTGTACATAGGCACGTTGATAGAAGATCTGGACAGCCTTCTTGACCTGGTTGCGAGAATTTCAGATTACGACGAGCCTCAAGTCCTCAAAATTCTCGAGCGCCTTGACTCATTCGACTACAGGAAGCAGTCTAAGTCTCAACCGAGAGGCCCAGTAGCTTGTGCACTGTGGAACAGACCGGATTGCCAACGACGCCGGCGACTAGAGCTCAAGGGTCTATCCTCCGTAAGAATTGCTAAGAGCCTTGGCCGGCAGCGTTACTGCAAGGCAAGTCGCGTACTATACCGGTGCTCATGTTGCACAAATACATACCTTAAATGGGGCACCGCCGTTGATCACTGGCAGACCAAACACAATGGCCCAGTAATCATGTTTTGCATGTCGTGCGGCCATCAATTGTCAGCTGCCAAAGCGAAGAAGCACCAAGCTATTTGTGGATGGAAAATCATGGACGTAGTTGCAACTCAACCTACTCAGGTTTGGCTCTACTTCCTTCAACAATTGCTGAGTTTGAACCGCCAGGAAATTTGTAATTTGATAGGAGCATACCGCCTACGTGATCCGCCCCGCCATTATGACACAAGAAGTATCCCATCCCCGATTCCATTCCCGGTCTGTTGCGTCCTAATCTTTAGAAAGGTCTCAGTATGTATTTGTTCCAACACGTGAGGCGAGCTCATAAACTTCCAGAGCCTTCTGGAGGCGTATCACGGCAACAGTCGCTTGACAAGTTGCGAGACAGAGAGTTGTATGGTTTGGTTCCAGACGGAGCCTCAGCTGCAAAAGGGGGCTTATTTGAAATGATTAACGCGATAATAACAGGCAAGTCGTTGAAAGATCGAAAACTTCTCGTGTGGGATCCTGACCTATTTGATGATGCCCATCAAGAACTTTACCGGTTGCAGCATAACACAGGAGAATTCAAATGGGTGAGACTAGAAGCCGAACAGGGCTTTATGTCATTGAAGTGCGTCTTTCCTGATCGAACGACACAGACGTGTGCTAAAATTTACAGTGATCAACGTGCCCCAGTGCCTCACTTTCCCTCGACCACGTCAATATGCGCTGAGTTGGAAGGAATCTCCACAATTAGTAAACGTGATAGCCACACGATACACGAGCCAGAGAGTGAAGACTCAAGCGATGTAAGTTCGATAGCGGGCAGTGACACTGAACATCCCTATGGCGCCGGCTATGCGTGGCGCGGTGCTCGACGTGCTCGACGAGCTTTCAAGACTAAGCCTAGTCGCTATAGAGTAGGCCTCTAGTTAGCATTACAAACTCTACCGTTCTATTCGCACCTTCAAATTGTATTGCAAAGGAAAAGGTTGCCTTCCCCACGGCAAGAAACTTAGTGAAACCAGGGTTGAGTCAAGAAAGTAAAGCCCATATAGGCAAAAGGTTATATTAGCACGTGGTTTGGTTTCTTACACTTTTTACAAATGTTCTAGAAGCCCTCCATGGCGGTGTTACAAGTCTGTAGATATGATATAAATACGTTTTCACATGCACTTGAGCTACATCTCTGATCAATATCCATAAACTTTTGCGCCGCCTTCTGGGATTTTGTTTAGCATAAGGGAGTATCGTTGTTTCTTAGGAATGCATTTCGATCGGGATACAATAGGCTCGTAGACTTGTGACTTAGCATATGGTCTTATTGGTGTAGATAAGACTACCGACTTTAACCAGATGATAACATTGTCGTTACATGACTTACTGAAATACTGAACAAGATCTTATAGTTTTAGTTAGCATCTAGGTTATGTGACTATGACATCGACGAGTACGACGGGCCTAAGCTTCATCTTGGCGCTTCCCTGGACCCTTTGTTCTGTGATTCTTCTCTTCCATCTACTTCGAGCCAATGGGCGATGACGCGATGCTCTCTTGTCGTCAGCCAACGGCACCATGGAATGTTTTCTTGATGCAGGTTGTGGCGTCATTTCAGAGAAGCAAGGCTGGCAGCCGTTACCTTTAGCAGTACATTGCTATTGTCACTTTTGGTGGACCGCATTGTCTAATAATAGAACTCGTTTGCGGCAATTTGTAGTGATACCCATCCATCTTGAAACAATCCTTGGCTTGTTTTTATAAACTACCACGGGGTCCTCTCCTAATCAATATAGCCCTTGCACACTAGCGTACCCTTCTGTACTACTCTGATGGCGGCGTTTGGAGCCAGATCAGTGCACAGGCGAACCCTCAATAGTCGGCCGTTGTGCCACTCTCGTTTATTGTAAGATCTAAAAGTCTTTAGCTAAGTGGCGCATGACTGTTTCAAGGCTCATAAGGTCATATTCAATATTTTCAAGCATAGCACCTTTTGTGAGAGACTTTGCTTATGTTTAGAAACTTGAACCTAAAATGGAAAAGGTCCTTATATTAGCCTGTGTGATTACGGACTCTGATATATCCGGTTGTCAAAACACACGGTCCATTTTCCCGTTAATCCTCTTCATCTGTATTGTCCAGGAATAGGATTACTAGTGAAATCAGCAGCCGGTCTTTAGCCACCACCATACAAATAAAAGGAAGCAGACACGTGGGAATGTATCTAACTACATAACCAGGCTATATGAAGCCAAGGTACTAATGGGCAGCTATATGAGACTTTGTGTTCTACATACACTATGCACGATTACAAAGGTACAATATTCAAACTGGTTGGCAGGTTCAATATTCAGGGCGGAGTCATGAAGCAGGCATTCGCAACAAATGTCTTATGTGAAAACGGTCTTCAACCATTTAACGACAAAAAGCATCGGGAAAAAGAGATTGGCATCCTTGTCAGTTCTGACGCAGAATATAACAAGCCTAGCCATTTCGTTGAACCTGTTCGTGACTCAGGCGGCCGGCTAGTTAAGAAGAAATGGATTGAGGATCTTCACATCAAGAATGAATGGTTTGACCCATGTGGCGATTACTTGTGGGAGAAATTAGTTTGTGTGGATGACAAAGATACCAGGGATGACGATAAGACGTATTTGGACAACGAGTGGCAGGATGATGACTATGAGGAGAGCGATGACGATGATGATGAGTCTGACGATGATGAATCTGGCGTTGATGAGTCTGACGACGATGAGCCTGAGGGTTATGAGTACGAAGATGATGAAGAGTCTGAGGATGAAGCGTATTGGAAGAAAGCGTATAAGCATGAGTCTGAAGATGAAGAGTCTGAGGATGAAGCGCATTGGAAGAAAGCGTATAAAGGCGGTTGGTATGAGACTTGTAATAGGAAGCGGTATAATGATAGCCGCCGGCTTCGGAGTCAAGCCCTAGTTCATCTGGCAGCTCCACTGACTTAAGCGGCGGTAATCCAGAAGACACCGACAAGCCCGATACGAGAAAAGCGCCAATAGGACTACAGTAACACTTTGCAAGGGGTTTATGGGAAGTTTTAGAACCATCGTGATAGGACCAGGTAGCTCAGCCAGTTGACTCGGGTGATTGGATAACAAGAACAATAAAGCCACTTTAGACAAGAACAACTTCTACAGAGGTATTCACCAAGAAAATAGCAAATAAAATGTTGAAATTCTACTTGAACCCAGTGTATTTCGAAGTCAAGGGGGCAGGACCGCGGCGCCTGGCTTATCATCTGGAAATAACCTATCCCGACAACGAGTTGAACAAATAGCAGGATATACAACTAACCTTACTCGATGCTAAACAGGCCGCCAATTACTCAAGGCTAGCAAGCAGTTTTGGCATAATTAATTCCCGGACCAATAGCAAATAGTGGTGAGCAAGGAACATCTGTGACCAAGATACAAAGGTTCTTTCCACCGAGGTTTCCGTCCTCGGGAACGCTATATACGATGCCTCTTGAAATAACGCCCCCAGCCCTGTCCCAAGTGTCTGCGGCCAGCCTCCAAAAGATGGAGAATAATCTTCACAGTTTATACATTCATTGAAGCCATTACGAGCATGGGACAAGATTCTAGTTTCAAGAGATGAGAATTTCCAGGACATTTATCATTTATGATAGCCTCTGATTGGCAAAACTTTCTTTTCTTTTTTCTGCGCGCAGTCATCTAAACTCCATTTGCATGACCGGCCGACGTATTACTGGACCTAAGAAGCTGATCTCTGCACATCTGTTTCTCTCGAATAACAATCAAAATTCCGAGCAAAAGGCTAATTTTGGTTTCACGGACTAATTTAGACGTGAAATGTGCCCACAAAATTAAAGGGCGCTGCACTGAGGTTGCTCCACCACTTTCGGTCAGTCACGAGAATAAGTCCCATATCCCTTTCAGCATGAAGAGCAGCCTTCGATTAATTAACTTTCCAAAATTGGCTAGCAAATTGCCATCCATACAGGGTTACCAAGAGCCGTCTACTAATTTGAAGCATGAGTTCGATCGTTTAAGACAAACCAGTAGTATAGTGAGCCCAGAATAAGCATTGCATAACAACGTTGGATGGGGCAGGATATAATGATCTCCTTTACCCAGCAGCATTCTAGAAAGCTCATGTGAGACTATCTGCAGTCAATTGATTACTGGATTATAACATGGATTCTGGGCCACTATCAAAGAAAAGAATCCATTTAATTGGTACATTTCCTCGACCTAAGAAACAGATGCGACAAATAATCAAGGATTTGGGTGGTAAAAACTGGCGACGTGACTGCAAACAACCGCCGACTGACTTGATCTTGGCACATGCCACGACAGAAAAACAAAAACACAAGATCAAAAACGAAGTTAGCCAGTTTGGAAAACCAGGTGCAGAGTTTGAGACTCATACTCTTGATTGGCTACTCAAACTCCGGGATAGGGAAAACTGTGAGAAACACAACGAGTCACTGAGTTCCACCGGGCGGACGGACAGCTCTATCAGAATACCATCGCGGCAAATTGTTCCCGTTACTCCGCCTCCTGCAGATAGAACGACGGAGAGAGCGATGGAAGGACACGAGAATCTCTTTTCTATGAGAAACGATCCTGCTATTAGCACAATTGTTCCTGATACGCTCCCATCCAACATACAAGACAAGGTTACGTCGGCCATCGTCGAGCCAACGCGCACCCGCCAGTGTGCTCCCGTTGGCGCTCACAATCGTGTTGTAGAGCGCCCCAGAGTTCTTTGTAGAGATAAAACCTCACTTTCTCCTCTTAAGAGGGCTGGCGAGGTCGATGTCAAATTTGTTCCTGTTGTGAGTTTGTATTGTACTATTTCAAGAGTTAAGTGACAACATCACTGATATAACACGATAGCCACGTTACGTTGACGAATATGGGAATTACATTGTTGTTCCCAATGCCAAATTAACAAAGATGTGTCAGTCGTTGTCAGCCTTCTCTGTTTGTTGAAGCTTTTCTAATTACTTGATAGTCGAAGTCGTCGAATCTATAGGCGAAGGAGCCTATGGCAGAGTTGTCAAAGCCCGCATAGTTGTTGAAGGCGACGATACAGTAAGTAACAAACTCGTGGCCATCAAGATCAGCGCGTTAGGGAAAGAATGCAGTGATGCCGCGAGGAACGAGCTTCGGATACTCGAAACCCTCAAAATGCATGATGAGAACAACCAAAACCAGTGCATCCATGCACAAATGTGTTTCGAGTACCGAGGCCACATTTGCATGGTTATGGACTTGCTTGGTCAGAGCACCTATGAATTCCTGAAAAAGAACAAATGTGCTCCATATCCAGATAGCCAAATCCAGAGTTTCGCCCGGCAGCTTTTTAACAGTGTAGCCTGTAAGTATGAAGGCATGGGCCTGATTTGATAGCATACTGACGAGGTTTAGTCTTACACGACCTTGGTTTAGTTCATGCTGATATTAAGCCCCAGAATATCGTACTATGCGACTTTACTTCCTGTATCTTACCTTATAACCGCTTGAGACCTTCTTCCTCTACTGTCAGATTTGGAGAGGGGCGATATGCTGCAGAACGCCGCGTCCTAGTGAACACCGAGGTTCGGCTGATCGATTTTGGTTTAGCCACGTTTCTAGATGAGTCTCCGTCGTATTTTCACTCAACTCCAGCGTATTCCGCCCCAGAGACCTGGCTATATCACCAAGCGTCGTTCTCTCACGATATATGGAGCATAGGATGCACTCTCGTTGAGTTTTTCACGGGTGATCTTCTCTTCAAGACCTCTGACATGCTCGAATATCTAGCAATGATAGAAGCTATTGCAGGACTAAAAATAGAGGAAGAAATCGCCTGGATCACTGATGTAAAGTTTCGGGGTATCCTTTCCGCTTTGCTTCCCAATGCGATGCAAGAACCACGCAAAAAGGTCAAGATGAAGATGAAGCACCTTGACGTAAGCGACTATTACCCCAACCTTATATGGCCCTAATTAATATGTAATAGGAAATCATTCCTGGAAACAATGCCTTCCTTAAAAACTTTGCGGATCTGTTGAAAAGAATTTTTGTGCTTAATCCTAATCATCGTATTACTGCGAAGCAGGCTTTGCAACATCCTTTCCTTGTAGAAGAGGCCCAGCCAGATGATGGCCCTGTGGCTGCAGAGATCCATTAGAATAATCCAATAGCACATCAGGCTCCGCAACATCATGGTGTCACAAGTTGACGATGGCAGGTCCATGATCTCCTGATTATAAGTGAATACGCTGGCAGTCTTACTCTTCCCAAAACATTACGGTCAAGTGATACGGCTAGCCACCGTGGTCGTTCCAAGGGTTAATGCTTTTACTTATAAGGGATACTAATTATAGGTGGGGTATCAGTGATAGAGTATGAGTCACCGGTTAGTATGCCAGCAGTGCAATACAAGACAATATAACTTCTTACGCCTGGCGTGTTACTTTGATCGATGTCCTATCGGCGAATAATGAATGCTTACATTGCCCAATTTTTGCCCTCCATTCTTCAGTCCAAACCATGCTAAATATTGTTAAACTTATTTCAATATGCCCGAACACCATATCATACCGTTCTCCGCACCGCCTACCTCAAAATGACCTACATATGGCCTACGCTTGGTCTTTGCACGGTGCTTTGCTACTGCAGAAAACATGCATGCTATCTCTTGGACATGATGGCATTTGGGAATTTCAACATTCGGGAATCAATGGCTACAGCGAGTTTCCCAGCTTGTAAAGGCTCCATTACACAAACCCAGTCACAAATACATTTATAGCGATTGATTGATTTCTATAACCAAGAACCCAACGAGATCTAACCTAAAACCAACTCCAGTGCGCAAGCATGTCAGGCTTCAGGATCAAGACTTAAGATAGTTTCCACGACATTAATTAGTAAAAGCCTTCAGACCAAACAAGGATAGTGTGGATGACCAGCAAGAGCGATCAGTTTCATGGCGTAAATGTAGGTCCTTAGACGGTGAAGGTTCAGTTCTTCCTGGAACTTCAAAGGCAACGCATAGTAAACTTTCAAACAGCAATCTACTAAACCTGGTACGGAAATCAAGATAGTAATAAAACAACAACAATCAGAAACCGGAAGACACTGGGCACAATGACAGACAATGGGCGTAGGCAGAAAATGGTCACGGATAATTAAATATCGGGGCGTTCTTTGGCTGCGTGGGGAAGGGCTCACCCAATGAAATCACGATAACCACGAACAGTCTTCACCTACCGCATACCATGCAGTACCCACCTGCCGGTCATACCCACCTACCGGTCAGCGAAAAAAAGAATTCCCCATACACAATGCACTTTTTTTAACCTCATGGGAAAAACTTAATAAAAATAGTAAAAATAAGTTTATCTCTAGAATTTAGATCAAAATTGAATATATTTTAATATTTTCTGGGTCTTTTAACCTCACGCCCTGTGCGGGTGCGTACGACACCTAATTCTTCCTTCCCTGAATTTGACCTCTCATCCTCTTCTATCCCTCCCACCTCGATCACATCCTCAACAACATCCGCCCCTTCAATTGCTTCGTTTGGCTCTGAAATAGTGTCACCAGCTGCTAGAGCCTCTGCCAGCGTGATAAATTTCTCATTGGGGTTCGGTATCGCCTTTCTCTTCTTGCCTCTGCTCAACCGGCCAACTTCCTCCTCCAGGCTGGCTATTCTGGTGCTCAAAGAGGCGATCTTGGACTCTTGGGCTTCAAACCCTTTTGATATCACAGAATGCCGCCTTCTGGTAGAGGGGCTCTTGTCCTTCCCCAGGTCTCTGATGTGACGGCTGGTCTTTGGCGTATTATCAGAGTCGACTTGCCCGTCTCTGTGGCCGTCTGATCCAGGCGTCGTTTCCTTCTTGTCTGGTTGAATTTCGGCATGTATGAGCGCTTTCCGTCGTGAAATCGGCCAGTTCCCAGTTACTCTCCAGCCTGAAAGGATGTTTTTCTTCGCCATACCCTCTTCCCTGGCTTTGGCATAAGCCTTGATGAAGTTGACCTTGTTCACGGGCGCAGAATCCGTCAGGCTTGCCAGTTTTTGGAGTTCTTTTCGATATGCAGCCTTGGATGCGTTGAAAACACCATTATCCAGTGGCTGTAGGCCATGAGAGCAATGTGCAGGCAGGTAACAGCAATATACGTTGTTTAAAAAACACGTGGCCATCCACTCATCCTGGAATTTCAGTCAGCGGTATTTCTGATCGAGAACAGGTAGATACCTACAGATACATGGCTCCCATGGCCATCTAATATGATGAGCCTTGCATCAGACTCATCTGCTGGCTGGGTTTGGGGCAGATAAACCTCTTTGAGCCACTCGACCGCAATATGGTTGTCTGTCCAGCCGTTATCGGACGTGATATAATACCAGTCGGCGATCTTGTTAAACTCATCAATAAACCACTGCTTCTGAAGTTCTTTGCCCTTGAAGATAATTCCCGGCTTTAGAAGACGGCCATCTGCAGTGACGGCTTCGATAAAACTAGTCCAAGTGCGGGACTGCGAGCCTTTGAGGAAGGCCTTCCTCCTGGGATCGCTACTGCCAATTACCAAGGAATCCAAACCTAGATTTGCAATTTATTGGTAAGTCTTGTATCAGAAGTTGTCAGTACTCACCAAATCCAGCCATGATACCGCCCTCGTCAACATTAACCGTGTTCTCAGGCTTGATCCAGCCATATTCGCTCTCCCGGATATCAAAGTACCAATTGACGGCCATTGGGGTAAAAGAATTGAACCTTGAAGCTTCCTGGCGTTTTCCCACCTTCGTATCGATCTCTGGATGGCGTTTAATAAACCTGGCTAGCCAGTGTACACCGATAGGCCTTTCCCGGCCCTGCTGTCTCAACAGGGCAGCTACCGTGGCGCGAACTTGACTGTGGGAAGGAGCATAGCCCAAGGCCTCTTGTCGAAGTATCCATGTAACTAATCTAGCCTCTTGGGATTTGTATAACAACTGGGCAGGTTGGGTGACCTCGGACTTTGACGGTAGGCCTCTTAATCGGTCAGACAGAGTGGTTTGGGGCATTCCATGCTTCTGGGCGGCCTGGTGCTGCGAGAGGTCATTATCTGTAACATCCAGTATAGCTTCAATGACATCATTCTCTGTATAAGACTGTTGAGGCATTTTCAAGGCGATTAAAGGAAGCTGCTATAGATAAAAGTTTGATGAAATTTTGGGGAGGCTGGGTGATGGAGGAGACATTTTGAGAAATTTTACATTAGTGCCATGCGACCAAACTGCTTGTGTAAAATACAAATGAACATTCCAATATGAAACAGCATGAAACTCTCAGTAAGACACAATCTGTTCCATGTAAATAACTTCAATTCTGGCCAAGCACTGTGCAAGTGAAGTTAGACATTTTGTATGGGGAATTCTTTTTTTCGCTGACCGATAGGTGGGTATGACCGGCAGGTGGGTACTGCATGGTACAGTGCTTGGGGTAGATGATAAGACATGATAAGATAAGGTAGGATAAGATAGAGAACAACCGAGAGAATGCGATAAATATTCATCGTGGCAAATCTGTACAGATCTCACCATCAAAAGTCTCAACTTTAGCCTTTGATAATAGGTGGCTAAAAGAAAGAAGAAGAAAAGGAGGTAGTCGATTTACAATTAGATCGGTAAGCATAGCAATAGCGGCTCATGATCATTGGCGAGGAGTAATGAAACAATAAAAAAGGTTGCAAATCGGATGCTATTTTAAGCTTGAAAAACCACGTACGAGAAAAGAACAACAGATCGAATGGCACTTTCAGTCGAGGAAAAGTGAGCACGCATACGCGACGGCCGCTTTTGCAATCGTGCAGTCCAATTACAGCACCGGAGACTGGTTTTACGCGGCAGCGCCAGCAGAGCCATTCCTTGCCTCGACCGTTGAGCGCAACTACTTGGTTTCTGTTCAGCAGAACACGCACTCGTTCCTCTTGCCAGGGCCTAGTCATTTCGACCCACAGCCAGCTGCCCATCCGAGGCAACGCTGGTGGAAATATAATGTTTGAATTGATGATTGATTATACGCAACCAAAGGCGGGTCCGGGCCGTTTGCCGGCGCCACTAAAAAATCCAATTTGTTTAACCCTAGCGAGGCTTGGAGCGGCCGGTATTCAATTTAGACGAGGTCTACAAGCAGAGACCACGCCAGCCTCAGCCTCGCCAAAACGTGGCATCTGAAACGGGAAAGAGGCATGGTTCCGTAGGGTTGAGACGATTGCGGTTGAGATTGCTCGCCTAGGGTGGGGGTAGGTGTCGGCCGAGAGTACTTCGCCTACCCTTGACTAGCCCTGCAAGTACTCATCCTAGAACGCATCGCCAATGAAGATCCTTGACCATGACAAAAGGTTAGTGAGGCCTGAGGCCGAGAAGCGTCGGAGCTACTGATTAACAGTGTGGATGCACATCTTGGGCAACCTTTTCAGTGACCTCAGCATGAGGAGATCGAATGGGCCATTATTGCGGGATGAGGAAATTTGAAATAAACCTGGACTAGAAGAGCTAGAATTCCTTGATGGTGCACTCTATCTGATCATTGGATGGATCCTTGTTTTACCAAGAGGAGAAATGCAATCGTGTATGATATGGCGCCCTAGAAGGAGTAACAGCTCGATGGAGTTTGGAATGATGCAAACATGTACGTTCATGCGTGTGATCCACCGCTCGGTATTGATGTTTCGTGCTAGATGTGGTGCACTGCAGCTGCTTGAGGACAAAAGCAATTCATCATCGGATGAAAACATATGAAACGGGCTCCAGATAGGCTGCAGCGGTCGGCCGACGATGCAACAAAGTTTTCGCCGTAGTAAATAATGCCCCGCATCGTTTGGCGCATCAAGCGTCGATAACAGTAGCGAGAACTCGTGAATTTAGATGTATCAAATCACTCAGATAATGCCACTTCTCGTAGCTATTTCGGTAAAGTAACTCGTTGCAATTCACTGCATTTTATGCCCACTTGGCCTTGAGCAAACAATACAAGCATATTTATCTCAGAAATGAAGAACTACCCTGCATCTAATTATGGAATTTCTGCACCCTAAACCCTGACGGTTTACTGTCCCGCTGGCCGCTTTAAACCGACTTGTGCTGGCTCTGGCGGCTCACCTGTCTCTTCTTCCCATTTGGCTCTCATCTTGAGAAACTCGGACTTTCCAATAAGAGCTCTGAGACACTCTGCGCTACTCGGTCGTGGCTGTTTCTGGCTTTCTATAGCCGCTTCCGAAAAACGGAATGAGGCAATAATAAAGTCCAATAGTGCAGCTACAATAGTCAGTGTTTGTCTTAGCATCCCAGTGAACTCAACTAATATGCCGCAAGAGAAAAGACTTACCCATCTCATCGCACCTCTTCTCCCCGACCTTTCTCACCGCAACACTATACTTCTCATGGAAAGATATTTTCTCGATTCCTCTCCCATCCCTTATGTTATTCCATGGGTTGCCAAGTGCCCCAAACCGCCACGGCAACTCCCCAAATACAGCTCTATACATACAAATTCCCAATGCCCAAATATCAGCTGTGCCGTCAAACTCTGTCCTTTCCTGCTCGGGCGAGTGGAAACCGATCGTCCCGTTGGTGCCGGGCTGAGCAGGTATTGTTGTTCCGTTCGCAGGGATAGGAATGAGGGAGTCGATGTCGAGGATAACGGCTGTCAGGCGACGTGCTGGAGGGGGGCAGGAGGCTGTTTCGCTCACGAGGGAACGGGTGAGGTTTTTGAGGCCGATATTAGGTGGTTTGATGTCTGTATGAACAAAGTTATGGGCGTGAAGAAAACTGAGGCCTTAGAGACAATCGCGGAGTATAATTTCCAATTTCGTCCAGCTCTCAAGTGTTAGTGCCTAGTCTGTGCCCTTGCAGCAGGGTCGATCTTACTGTGTTTGGCTCTGTTTCGGCAAAACCATCAGAGTATTCTCAACAAAAGGTTCAAGGACTAAGTGAAACTCATCAACTTTGCCTTCCATGTGCATCACAGCGATACATGTCAACACATTCTTCTGATGCTCTCTCTCCAGCATTCTGGAAAGTGATTGGACCATATTCACCTTAGATCGAACAAACTCCAGGTTGCCGCGGGTTGGTACCATACTCTTAATAACAACGATATTCCCTTGTGGTCCCGTCGCTGGCTTGACCCGACCATATGTGCCCATTCCGATCAGATTGGCTCCTGTAATGGTGTAGCTGCCTATTGTCTGAGTGGTCACGTTGGGCGTTGGCGTCGCTGATAGTGCATCCTCAGTGGGTTGATCATCGCCGTAGATATCTGCCAGAAAAACCTCCAGTGTCTGACGGCCTTCGGTCGTGCGACAGTAGTTTGTGTACTCTAGTGTATAGCTCAAGTCCTCGAACGCGATGGAGTTTTCAGCCTTGGCGCAAACAGCCGTGTTTCCTCCGTGGGACGATGGGATGGTGTAGTTGTTGACTGTTGCGGCAGCCCTTGGCTCGACCTTGACACAAGCCATCCTTGTTTCTTGGGCAAATGTCAAGCATGCATGTCTTCTGGCTACACGATTCCGTCGTGATGTGGTGAGTAACAAGTCAACTACTGGCTTCTCAAGAGTGAGGCTTTTCGAGCTCAACCTTCCAACAGCCCATCCTCGACTAGGAAGTAAAGGTTTGACTTTTGGATCAATGAAGTAGAATCCCGTCCAGATGGGAACCGGACTCGGCATGCGCTCTTTCGATGACGACGAAGGTGAAGATGATGATGCATAGGCATTTGAATGGACAAGATGAGTCACCGCTGGGTCGGTGGTAAGCTCGTCAGAGTACCAGATGTATTTTGCGTAATGAGAGCGTGCGGTGTTATCTGCATTGTAGTCTTGTTCTTGCAGAAAGTCAACGACGTTTGAGAAGGCGAATTTTGCAGCGGCATTTTTAGGGCGAAGGATGAGAAGCGCTTCCGCTAATGGCGAGTTTGGGCCGAGAGGATCCCATTCTGTAGCGGTGCTGTCTGGTGTTGACATTTAGTTTTACAGTCATGGCAATCTTTAGCATCGTGAATAATTGAGGATGGAGGTGGAGACAGAATTGCTAAGTTAAGAATTGAATTGTCCTTGCCGAAATAGGCTTAGACTACAGTGGACCAATGGGAGCTGATTGACCAACGGACGAATGTTGCTCCGTCTGTCACGTGAATTCGCGACAAGTCAGCACGTTCCCTCGTGAATGTTGACCTCATGAATTTCCCTTCAGCATCAACAAGTCAATTAACAAACTCTTATCACATTATCCGCACCCACCCTCCCTGGATGCGCATCTGTTTCTAGAGCTATGATATATCATCCTCCATCTTCTGCACCTTTTCGAACCGAAACGCGACCGCCATGAGATCTCCTAAGCCAACGCCGCCAAGCAACAAACCAGATAATGAGATATCCATCAGTCATACTTGGAGACATACTCTTGCGATACAGATCGAGAACAACCAAGGCGTGCGTCTCTTGATTATTTTCTAGCGGTATATACTGATTATGGACAGGAACTTCCATGTCCTGTGGCGACACAGGGTGCTCACCTCATCCCTCCGCCACCAACACCTGCTTTCCATACCAGCACTCCCAACACAGTCTTCATCCAAAGCCTCACAAACAAACTCAAACTTCTTCAAATGCGTCAAAATATCCGAATAGGCCTCTACGGTGCAGAGTTTGCCGACCAGTGGCCGATATCCAAGACGCCGAGAGATCTTGCCAAGGACGCTGCGAATAGAGTCACCAAGATACACGATGACCTATTATTAGCCTTGGGTGATGACACGGAAACAGATGAGGAAGAGAATGAGAGGTGCGGTATACAAAACGAATTAATCTCTGCGGCCTGCCGAAAGCGCATGTTAGAGGCAAGGGAGAAGAGGAAGAGAGACGTTCCGCTCCCTTCGCCTGAAGGAACGGACGATGATACGACTGGACAGATAAAGAAAAGGAAGAGGGACGACATTGAATTGGTGGAGCCGACGCGGAAGAGAAAGAGAGATGCAACAAGGAGACATCGATAAAGGCGATCGATCCACCTTTGGCATCGATCTTGCGTTGCACGAGGTCTGTGCTCATACCCCCTTATTAATTGCCAAAAATAGAGAAGGAACAGGTGTAGGGTCTCGAGGTACCAATGGAATTCCCTTCCATACCAGCATGCTTAGTCGTTACGAAAGCCCTCGAGGGTATATAACGCCTCCTTCAGAATTCCCAACTTATTCTCGCAATCCAAACGCTTCCTTGCGTCCTTCTTCTTTTCTCCTGCAATATCAGCGATCGTTTTTGCCGTCTGTTCTGACACAATGTTGTGACTAAAGATCTCGTAAGGCACTCTGTCAAGAAGACCGTTATGTATTACCAAAGCGTTGACATAAGAGATAAAAGAGATTAAAGACAGCTATGAAATGGTAAGTTGCTGTTATATGAGAATTATACTAAGCCCAGACTTACCTTGTAGTACCTTTCGATCATCAGGATATTGCGGCGCACTGCACCTCGTTCTTTGTCTTGCATGTATCTCAATGATGAGTCAGTTTGCGTATTGCCTTTGAAAATTTGACCTGTAACAGCCTCTTTAACCTGGCACAGAACAAAATCGGCAAATGCATTCTTGGGTTTTATTTTCCCGTTAAAGGTTTGACAAGCCGTTTCCAAGATTTTTTTAAACACCTCGGGTGAGAGAGTGTCTTCGACCCGTTTTAGGATAGTCTTCTTCGCGTAGAAGCTGTTTGGGGCAATTCTGTTGCTGAACTCCAGCGATTCATCTTGGAACTCCCTGAGAAAGTCATGGAAAGCTGGGTTCGTACCCTCATGACAAGAAAGAAGCTCCTCAAGCTTTGCCTCGGCGCTGAGACGGAGCTTGTCAAGGCGGTCGTTAATGATAAAGTCTTCAAGGGACAGTAACAGCGATGAGTCAACGCAATGTTTCAGTGCAAGATGGACGAATCGAGTTACTGAATCCCATACAAATTCCAGATGTCGATGAGCGATGGATCGCCAGCGTGATGTTTGGTCGCGATATAAGTGGGATACCATGGCAGGATTGACATCATCCAAGCTTTCAGTCCCTCTCCATCGGACCGCTTCAGCTAGGACCTGGGTTTCGTAGCCATTGAAACTCGTTTTGATGGGGGACTCGAATGCGTTGTACTCATTGAGGATTTCTTCGCGTAGGAATGGGGGCGCCGAAAAAGTGGACCCGTGGTCTAAATATTCTTCGGTTTTTCTTGGCCTTCTATTCGGAAGAAAGTTACGCGAGTCGCCTCGACGACTATGGGCTTCTGTGCTATGGCCCCCACAACGTTCATCATTATCGTCTTCTTCGACTGCTCCCTCATTCTTATGGAAAGGTGGGACCTCAGTTTCAGAGTACCGGGTCTTTTGACTCTCTGGGTAGCTGCGGCTGCTGTTGTGGGGTCCATCAATTGATGACCGACTTGCCTTCCGTTCGCTTCTGCCAGAAACCCGGGTATCGTCGATATGCTCCAAGTCTTGAGCAGGAGCCTCAGCCTCAATTTCCGATAGCCGATCGAGAAAGTCTCTAGACAAGTCCGCTTTCTTGGCTGGCTCAGACTCATGAAGTTCGGTCTTCTTTCCCCTTTCTATCATTACTGAAACGAAGAGTTGGCCCAAAGCTCGGGCCATGGCTTGCAGTCGCTTGTCCTGACTTCTCTGCTCCGGGTCTTCAGGGTCATAGAAAAAATCTTGCAACTGCCTCGATGCCGTCCCCTCTCCGTAGCGACCAGACACGGCGTCAGTGCATAGTTCCTGGAAGTCTCCAGCCATTTTCGACAGATAGTTGCGCTGCTCCTGTTCAGTTGTCCTCTTCTTCCCCAATCTATCAATCTTGATATTGAGGTTTTTGATCTCTGCCTTCACCTCACTGATTAAGTCTCCAAGATGTAGTCTGATTTGTTTCGCCAAGATCTCGCTCAGTCGAGGACGTAGATTAACAATTCCTTTACAAGAACTCTCAATCTTGGGCCAGTTTTTCTTGAAGAAGACTTTTTCGATTTCATCTCGATCATGACCCCTCTGTCGCTCCTCGTCTGACAGGTTTTTAAGTCCATGCCAGCCATACCTGGGGTTCCACTTCGTTTGACCGCTGAACCGGTCCATTACCAGGCGAGAGGAGTTTATGTTATCGAGATGAGTGAAGATTCCGAGCGTTCTTTCCCCGTCGGGATCAACGTCAGGACACGCTACCTGCGAAGGGGCTGTCTGGGTCGCCCACGTCGTGGAAGCCCGCATAATGAGGAGCAGGCCGTTGCGTGGCTCCCTCAAATAGGGAGCTACTATTTCTTCAACGACATGCCTGTCTTTCTCGTTCTGACTGTCAGTTGAGGACTGGAAGAACCCTGGCAAGTCCACCAATGTGAGAGGATATTTTTCAGGGCCTAGTATAGTGATCCTCAGTATATTCATACTGAAATGGCGATGAGATGCAGCCGTGGCCGAGGGGCCAAGAATGAGTGCGGAGGCCTCTTGAATGGAGGTTGTCAGTCCCTCTGAATCCCCCGGAGCAAGCTCCTTTTTGAACCGGGTCAGGGTGTCCTCATTGAGACCTCTCTCAACAACGCTAATAGTGATAGTGATCGACTCTATGAGAGACTTGCGTTGAACCAGCTCAATTGGAAACCTGGTGCAAAGATCTTCGTGCACAGGGAAGGGGATCTTGCAGATAGCTTCGAGAACAGAGCTTTTGCCACTGCTCTGATCTCCTACCACGACAAGCTTAGGTATGAGTTCCCTTTTGAGGCCAGCCTCTTGAAGACTGTCAACAGCATCGAAGACTTCTGCATAGGCGTCCAAAAGCCCATTCAAGGGAGGCGATGAAGCAATTGGAGTGTTGGACATGGTGTTCTAGTTGGTTGCTAGATTTGCGGCACTGCTTCGAGATGAAATTTGTGCTCTGTTTGATGAAACGATGTACTAAAATCATCTGGCCTGAGAGGTGAGTAATGGGCTCTATTTATGTTCATTTGGAGCAGAGATTGACCTCACGTCGAAGACGGAAGCGACGAGGCTTCACCGGATATACAACTTATGTGCGTCTCGCATCAATACCAAGTTTTGAGCCTAGTTGGTACATTATGTATGCGAGGGCATTTCGATTTCATCCAATCACGACACAACCATTGCTCTAGATTCTCGGGCTGCATGAGCCTAGTTTGTGACCATGTCGCCCCAGGGCCTATCAATGCAGAGCCTTATGCGAGGGCATTTCGTGTAACCAATGAAAAGCTTTCTGATATCGGACCTGTCGGTAGACGACACGTGTTCGCAGTGGGAGGCAGATCTTCATGTCTTCTTTCTCGCTACCTTACCTCGTCTATTTTGAATTTGTCAAGAGTTTCACCAAGGTCCCAACGCTCATCATGTCTGCCAGTTTGGTCACATACACTGCAGCGTCGAGCGATGATTCGTGGGAACAATTGAGGCCTGCGATCACGCATGCCTGGCTCAATCGAGCGTCAGATTTGAAGCACTTGAAGTCCATCCTTCGGCAAGAGTACAGCATTATTTCTACGTAGGTACTCGCTCCATTACAATTACCACAAACCCTGAGCTAAAACGGATTTATAGGGAAAAGACATGCAGGACTCATCTCAAAAGGTGGGGGTTGTTAACCTACAAGAGGCGTCAAGATGGAGCGTTTGCAAAGTCTTTGGTACACCCTCCCAGGGCACGTAAAGGCATCGCTTTCCGAGGGGAGAGATGCATTGATCAAATCTCCCGAACTTCAAGCCCCATGACCAAAAACCCCGTCTTACCGACAGCTTTTCGATTACAAGAATTTGTTCTGCACTCTATTGACGTCTTTGTCAGCCATTCGTTTCCAGAGCCTCTTGCTACGACTACACAGCTAAAGGCCCGGGATCTGATACACCCGAAGTACAATAAAGACTACAGTCTTTCTTGGCAGAGTGTTGCCGACTTGTATCAAGCTGCGGAAGGATATTTCAGAGGCGAGTGTTACAAAAAGTTCGTCAATACCATTCGAAAGGCCCATCTGGAGTTGAAGTTCCTCATTGGACTTCCCGACTCTCAATCAAAAGACTTTCAACAGACTTGTCAACATACAATGATAACCAGATTCTGGCGTATTTGCCATAGGCTTTTCAAGCTTGATTTTCTCTGGCCACAATACCGGTACTCGTTCTTGTTGGATTTTCTTATTGAGGTCGAAAGATTGGTGAGCTGGTTCCATGGTACATCACATCCATTTGCTCGGCTCCTGCGAGCTATGGGGAGATTGGACAAGGAATATCTGCAAGCGGTTCTCAAGATGGGTGCTTCTAGAACTATTGGTGTAATGGCACCAATGATGGATCAACGACAACGTCGAATGGTGTTCTACGCCTGGACAGACTTTACACATAAGACATAAGTCCAAGATACTGTAGCTAGTTCAAGCAAGTCTGTAACATGTTTCTTTACTAGAACGTGTCTCGATATCTACTACTTTCACTATTAGCTCACCTTATATTGAATCAGGAAGCGGAAGAATTCTTGTTTTGGTATATGGGTTTCTTTGATACTAGTGACTAGTGGATATAGATATAGAGATCAATGACCTTTGTGTATGTCATATGGCAATGTTGGGGCTTGGGATGACTGGCTGTTCGGAGAACAACATCCTACATCCTTATTGTCCGTCCCATTTTCAGTGAAAGAGGAAATTCTACATATCTCATTGGCTCGTACCCCTGCGAGCTCCTCTTTCACTGAAAAAGGGACAGTGTTTTGGAGATCCCCACGGGAGGTTTTAATTAAAAATGCGTGATAAATCTTCTCAGTGGTGTCGAGCGATACTACCTCCCGGGCGCCTGCCTGCAAGTTGATACTTGATCGTGTCTGTTTCGTGACCGCGTTTTAAAATTATAGAAAGCACTCTACTGGACGAACTCATTTTTATCAGTCGTTCACCATTAACTATTGACTGTCCTTGCTATCTTGTAATATGTGTCCTCCAAATCTCCGTGGCCATCGAGCTGTATTTATCCTAGAGCGTTGCGTCGCATCTCTGGGCTCTTTGGAAACGGCGTGCTCCGCCGACTCACCAAAGAGCAACGAGGACATGTCCGGACTGTTGGCGCGGAGGCATATCGACAATGGCAACTAGAACCACAACCAGGGTCCCAGCTGGAAACCCAACAAAGCGACGATATCGCACCACACGAACAGCCGAGCATTCGTGGTCCAAGTCCAGCAGCATATCAGGAGCACCCTCGTGCATCATGGTGGCCACAAAGCCCTCAGGCGGCCTACGAAGCGGAGGAGGAGCCCGAACATCCTAGACCAGGTTCACCGAGAAAGCGCCGTATAGTTCTCATCACCCGTCCTCATGACCAGGAATAGATACTTGCAAACAAGAAAGGACGATAGGAAGCCGCTGAGGATCTCCCAAGCCAACGTCGGAAAGATTCTCCGGCGCACGACTGCGCCCTAGCGCTGGCCGCATCCGAGCGATATGACATTGTCCTTTTGCAGGAGCCATGGACGGCTCATACAAACAGCCGTTCATTGACCAAAACCCATCCAGCATACGATACTTTCACGCCTGTCGAGATGTGGGATAATAACGACACTCGGTCTAGAGTCATGACATATGTCCGACGAGACCCAAAACTCCTGGCTGATCAGATCAGGCCCTTTCAGACTCGAGATATTCTCTGGCTGATGATCAATGGCGTGACGATAGTCAACTTCTATCGTCAGAATGACGAGCATGACGCCCTGGAGATACTGCTACAATGGCCCGTCCCATGACGTTGCCTCGTTGCTGGTGACTTCAATGCCAGACATCATAGCTGGCAGACAAGCCATGCTACATCAGCCGGATCTCGCCAAGGCGATATAAGGTGTCGCAAATAGACAAAGAATTATCTGAGTTGTATGACCATTGGTCAACTCAAACTTGGAATTTCTTTCAGCGCCTCATTCCAACGAGAAAATGCAGTGTTGTTCTCATCCTTTACGTGATATTGCTTGGCCAGTATAATGTATAAGCGTAACTTCTCTATCCTCGAGAGCCCTGGGTAGGATTTGACTTCCAAGCAGAGCGCTTCCGCCTCCGAAAAGCGTTCCTGGGTAAATAAGGCTTCCGCTAGACAAATCTTTAGAGCAGAGGACCCTGAGGAGATGTTTCTTTGCTCTCGCCGCGCAATTTCAGTTCGGAGATGATTCTCGGCAGACAAGGGTTTCTCAAGCTCTCGTAGAGTGCTGGCATAATCAGAGCTGAGATCACGAAGATCCCCATCAAAAGAAAGGCACTTGCACTGGCTTAGTGAATCGTATGCTCTCTGGAGATGTATAAGCGATTCATCAAATGCGCCTTGAAACCGAAGAAATCTTCCAAGTAACATGTCATTACGGAACATAATGACTTTTTCCATTAGAGATGGGTACTGATTGACGGGACTCCATTCTTCCAGTATTTCTCTGGCATCGGTGAGGCCTTCACACTGTACATAGTTCAGGCTTCGCTGATTGCTAACTGGCCCATTGCTGAATGCCGTCAGCAAAACTAGCCTCGCATATCAAATGTTGCATGATGGGCTGACATGACGTTTGGACACTAAACCTACAGCATTACCACCTAGTCTTGCACTCCAAAATCAATTGTTGTGCAATTGATTTATTTTATCCCGCTTTTCAGGGTGGAAGGTTGATTTTTTGACCAGGAGTAGATTTAACTTTCGAAAGTCGATTAACGTGGTTGACAAGCGAGTGTCCGAGATAAGCGAGCGTGTTATACTGCACTGTATAGCTAAAAAATAGCTTACCCTATAAGAGTGAAGAAGTTGCCACACTGAATCCGTGCAGCTGAGAATGTCGATCAGGCAATAGAAGAGGCAACTTTTCTGATGCGGTGGTATATATTCGCCAAGTTTGTAATATGACTTGTAATTTGGTTGTACATAGTAATATGGCTTATTACATCCCGTGGTAATGTCGTCTCGTGAAGTACCAGAGAATATCCTATCCACTAACTGGGCTGGGAGTTCATGAAATAACGAAAAGTCTTTGTCCGTCCGCATGATGCTTTCTTTACCCCATATGAAAATCAGAGCAGCAGGACTCGCAATCAGACGTACAGAAACTGATTCAAAAAACGGAACTAACTAGAGCGATATGAACTCCACTCGTGGCGCAAGGCTATCGTGGTATTATAACAGAACGAGCAAAAAGTAAAGGCAAGGCAAATGAAGAAAACGCAAAGAGGAAAAAGAAGAAGGACCATCGCGCTGGGACGGGCCCCGTTACGCGTTTTTGTAAGCATGACCGATCCAGGAACGGGCCTCTTTCCTAACTAGAATCGTCGAGTAGGTCGTTCATAAAATGACCCAACTGGGCTATGTTAGCATAACATTTGACAAACTAATGATGTAGTGGGCAACCTTCTTCGGGCACTTCTTGCATATGGTGTGCCAGTCAAACTTGGCCTTTCTTTCGTCCTTCCAAATTGTGTAAACGACCGGACACCCACGGCTATCGACCTTACCCTCACAGAGACTAATTTTTTCGATCTTATCCTCCCACGATCCCGAAGGTAGGGCCGGGAGGTTGAACTTGTTTGCTGTTGCCGACAACTTGCCTTGTTGTACTTGCTTAGGTGGTTTACTTCGAGTCTCTTCTTTTATCGATATATGTCTTGCCTTGTTGGTGACTGCTTCTGGCCGCTTATGCTTGGCATAAGAAGTTTTGTTACTCTAAAGGGTTATCAGCCACAGGAGCCACCGCCGGAATGTTTACGAAATATAATCACAATTGATTGCTTTTTGATCTCCTTTGTGACGTATCTAAGATCTGTAAGCATCGAACAAAACCATGCCTGAAAATTAGCTTACCGAGTTTCCTTGCGTTTGCCGTCCAACCATTTTTTGCCGATCCTACATTTCGTCGCGCCTGAAACTCTTATCACTCGCGAGACTTTGCGTTTTCGAAGTGCTATAGAAGTTTAGCTCACCCCTTTGGTCAGATGCGGAGGACTTGGCTTTGGGTCGGTTGAAAAGGGTTGGGAGTACGAACGCGACGCGCTCTGGATCTTGTCTCATGCCAAATTATCTGGGAAATTTCGATAAAGATAACACTAAGGAGCCATAGTCTTACCTGAATGCATCGCGAAAACAAGTGAATTGCGCGGCTTGGGGATATGGCGGTGCCTAGCAAGGTGGAATTATCAGTCTTTCGAGGTTTGAACGCCTCCTACGCGCCGGTGTTGTTCGTCAGCCGAACCTGGGCGGATCAATATTGATCCGAGGCGCCCCACCCCATTGAGTATTCTTGCTGAAAACGCGCCACCTTTCGTCTTTTCGACCAATCAGAGCCTTTAGACATCCCCCTCAATCAGGGGCTTAAAGCCCGCCGCGTTTTCCGTCCCCTTGGCCCGTGTCATCTCCGGTGGGTGACTGCAGCTTAGATTTTCAACGCAGCCCCTAATACTTTAATTGAACTTGGCTCTAAAATACACCCCTTTTATCCGGCTCACTTTCGGTGAAAGAGGAGACCCCTGCCGGGCGGATGGAGGTACCCCGCAGGGCGAAATATGCGGGGTGGGTGACTTGGAGATCGACATGGGCAAAGGGCGGGTGAAGTGAAAGAGGATTTCAGTGAAAGAGTGGATGGTAATTGGTCCAAAAAGAAAATAATTCCAGCACGACCAGAAAAAGAAAACCCAAACTAACCGCCAGCCGGCCAGCCAGCTCTCTATCGATAAGGCTTATCATCCAGGGAAAACAAGAGAGGAAAAAGAAAAGAAAGTATATCATTTAACTAAGAAGCGAAAGCTAAGCAGGGGAAGAAGAACCTAGAGGCAAGGTAAACAAGACTAATAGTCAGAATATCAGTCAATCCATCAACCAACATCGACATCGATCGATATATAACATTGTTACATATCATCGATCACTTGCTTCCCACACATCACTCATAATAATCACTTATATTTTATCTATTACTACGCCCTACCTTAATATTATTTGCACGGTAAACATATATAATGGGTCTCGACAGCTTTACCTATGATCCCGACCACCGGGTCATAGTCTGCCGGCCCTGCGGCACATGTCTGGTGCCGAAACCGACGAGCTGGAAGAGCCACCTGCGGGCCCAGCCGCACCGGATGAGAGGTGAAGAGCTGCGGCTGACCATCGAGCAGCTGTCGAGCTACTCGCTACGCCCAGTCGACGAGCTACGGCAGTGGAGGGTTGATAGAAAGCGACCATGTCGACCAATAGAGGGGCTTACCGTTTACGAAGGGTACATCTGCTGCACTGATGCCGAGTGCAACTACTGCATACGCCGCATCGAAAAGATGCACAACCATATGCCAGCGCATAGCAAGAGGGCCTCACAGTACACCGACGATAGACCACTCTGGAGATCGTGCCGTCTACAAACATATTTCACCGCAAAGGGGCTTATCGACTACTTCGTCATCGATGATCCTTCAATATCACCAAGGACAGGAGCAGCAGGAGCAGCAGGGGCAGTATTAGGACCACTAACACTGGGGGGTTTACTACCTATATCTCCGTCGTCGCAGGAAGAAGGGAAGCTGTTTAAGGACCTAAAGGCAGACGTCATCCAAGCTTCGCACGATCTCGAAGAGAAGGCCAGTATAGTTGAAGGAATCGATAAGTCGCAAGCAGATCGGGTGCCCTGGCTCATCCATACCGGATTTCCCACACATCTACGGGGACTTCGTGACACCAAGATCATATCATCATATGCCTTGCCGAGAAGCATAGACCCACTGGACGACGGTATCTGTAGTGAGGACGACGAGGACGACGACGACCACAACGATGACGACGAGAATAAGGGAGATGGCACCGGTCGAACCGCTACAGACCTCAGGCGCATCCTCGCCGCGGCAGAAGGCATGCTCCGGGATGCATACAGGTTATGCAGTGACAAATCGCCCGAGCAAAAGATAACACAGCAGCGGGCAAAAAGACTAAGTAATTTCCGTGGTAAAGATAGCAAGCTGAGCAGCATCAAGGCCGATAAATTCCGCAGCTTCAAGAATGAGTCGAGCTTAACCTCCTACTTTCGGATACAAAAGCAGCTCCTCGCATACTACTACCGCACGGTGTTCCGTGCCGACGGATATTTCACCCGAGAGTGTGACGATTAGATAGTACCGAGAGACACCGTCAAGGCGACCTCTATGCAGCAGCAGGCTATGAAGAACATTATCAGTATATTACAGAGGCAGGATAAGATAGCAAGAGGGAAGGATGGCAAGAATAGCAACGACGACGACGACGACGACAACGACGACAACGACGATAATTATAATCGCGCTGACAATTATTGCAACGAGGGCAATGGCGTTGTTAATGGCGACTGTGAGCTTAAGCATGCCATCTGCAAGTTTTGCATCTCCCTTATCTGCCAGACCGTCGGAAGCAGGCCATTCCGGTCTGCGATATTAAGCTTCTGTGCTATAAAGAGCCGGAAGAAGAGCTGGACGCGTCAGTCGGACAAGGAGCAGCGTAGGCTATGTACCTGGCATAAGCCAGGTAACTTTAACAGCAACCTATCGGCGCTCACCTGGACTGCTCAACTTATCCTATTTGACTTTGTATGCTTTCAGAAGCAGGATGACGAAGATAGAATTCCCGACCTACTTAACTAGATATATAAGAAATACTTCTAGCAAATAACAAAGATACCCTATAGTTATATATTACAGTAGCAATTATATCTCTTCGTGGCATCTAGCACTGAACTTACTATATATCAGGCCTGCTAGTCTCTTAACGGAGAGACAGTTAACTATATAGGAAAGCAGCTGCGCATAGAATAGGTATTATAGCTGGCCCTATCTGAGTTCCGTTAGGCACACTCTCTCCTATATAATAAGCTGCTATTCGGAATGGAGGATATCGCTCTAATTAAGGCGTAGAGGCTAAATAATAACCTAGATCTGGAGGACTACGGTGCTTCATAGATAACAGATAGTAGGAACAGGGAGATACTAGCAGGGACGCACAATGCCCTACTCCGGCAGATTAAAGGTAGGGCATCCTTACGCAGGGTATTTATACGACTAGACCAGAGGGGGTTGAGGAAAAGCGGCAGCGGCGGCGGCAGTGGTGGTAGGACTTGCCTCTGCCCTAAAGCGATAGCCATCTACGAGGCACATGTCCAAGAGTTCTTAAGGAGGATATTAACACTTATCTAAGTCCTCCCTGGTCCTCTGCTACAATCCCCAGAGCTGCTCTCTATTATATACATTAATACAGGCCCTCGTCGCCGATCTATGCTAATATAGGAGAAGTTGGTTATAATATATGTGCAGTATCACAAGAGCCAGGAACAGACCGGGGCCGAAAAAGATAATATCAGGTTCTTACCTCCCGCCGTTAGAGATCTCCTCCTAACCTACCTTGCGTTTTTACCGCCACTGCGCGGAATAAAGCATTTTATTCATTTACTTATCAATCAAACGCTGCATATCAAATGGTGACTTACGGTCATTCTCTAACAACGTTCAGCTTGCTAACCTAACACAGCTTGCGGCCTGGAAACACGACGAGCGGACAGAGCTGATTACTTAGCAGGAGATCTGATTTCTCGAAAATGTCGTGACAATAACGTTGAAAACCTCTTGCAGCTATCCTATCACGACGTCGACTATAAATCTGTAGAGGGCCGTTGTAATGAAGCCCGTTCCCGAATTTGTTTTTATAATGCACCAAGACCTTTGTCTTCATACGGTAGCTTGACATGATTTTCACGCTTGAGCAGTTGGTTAGGATTGTCCAGTTGCTCCCGAAGAATCAGTAAAGTATCGAGAGTAGACTTAATGCCCGCCGACATGTCTTCAAGGTTCTTGGGCACGTCGAAGATTGTGTCCATCACATCATCATTTGAATCTTGTGATGGGCTAAAAAGAATCCTCCCCTTGGCTATTAATCCTGAACAAAGTATGATGCAACGAAATGCCCGGTTTGATAATATTTCAACACCCAGGATAACAGAGTCCATAATACTGCGAGCATCGGGACGCTGGACCAAGGATCTTCTTGGCTGTTCCTCGTGGTGAACTAGGCCTTCTTCTCCCGCTAGAACTGCTGGTGTTGCCGTGATAAGTGCTGTTACCTCTTCCAGGTAACGATACATGTCTTTAGCTAGTTCTGCAATGATCTTTGAGAGATCGGCTCTATCATGGCTAAAAATCGTAATTTGAAGCTTGATACTCAGCTGAATATGGGATAGCACTTCAGTCGCGACGTTCTCGATCCTCTGAAGGTGGTCTTTCTGATGAGAAAGTCGCCTTTGCAGCCGTGCAAGAGTCACTAATTCATCGTCCACTGATGATGTGTTTTCATGAATGTTCAAAGAAGCCAACTGTTTCTCAAGGTCGTCATCGTCTTCATCATCTGCAAACCCAACGTAGTAGCTTTTGCGAGTGGACGAAAACGTAGAAACGGCCCCCTGGCCCTGGTACGAGCCTTGCTGGCTTCCAAGCTCTATTAATCGACTGAGTATGTCTTGCCGCCTGGAGGGCTCATAATATTTGTAATCCTTCCATAGAAGACAGAGTTTTGTGATATCTTGGGCCCCTTTATTGTAGTTTGAGGCAAGTAATTGTCTCAACAGTGCGTTTACCTGCTGGCGTTGATGTTCAGCAAATCTGCCTTCGGAGACTGGATACCGGTAGGTCGTTCGCTCTCTCTCAACTCCCATCATCTTCCATAAATTGCCTAAGATGACGTGTGTCCTCATTAGATCAACGAGGGTTCTAGAACCATTGCGTCGGGATTCCCTAAGAAGTTAGGCTCTATTTTTGAAGCTAGAAATTTGGGGATTTACAAGTATTCTGTGGAGCTATTTTGACAGACTGTCTCCATCCACTCAGGGACTACGGCTGAACCTGCCAATTGAGCAAATGCTAGAACGAAATGACAGATGAGCAGCATTCGGCAACAGGCCTTTCGCGACTCATCGTAACAGACAGCCGCAGCTGGATGGAATGATCGCATTGCAATTATAGAAAACCCCCCTATGTCCACTTGATGGCGAAATGGCCATGTGCCAACTCCGTGCGACTTGAATCGAGCCACAAATGGCTGTTCGCAAGGTTGATTCCAACAACATAGAACAACTTTAGGCTTTTTAAGTTTTAAGATTTCCTCGATCAGCTGATGGCACCGCTCTGAGGGAATGGGTGTTGAATCCCGGGGTTTGAAAGAGAATGCGTCAAGGACAGTGACAGTATGAATACTCCGAGCTCCCTTGGAGCTGAATCTGATAAGTTCATCAACGCTCTTCAGCGTCTTGCATCGCTTCACAAACTCGCCAAAGGTTCCGTGGTAAGTTTGAGATTCATGCGGTCGCTCCAGAAGTATGACCACGTCGGATGGGCCAGATGCGAGACTGCATGCCTGGTCGATTTCGTCTCTCCGTCGTCCAAATTCGTCGCCGAACTTCCTGATGAGATTCACGGCTTTGATGTCCTGCACATTTAACAAGCAAACCGGTGGCTCAAAGATGAGTTTCTGGACGCAGCGGGGAACGGGTATGTCAAGGCACAGCATTATGCTATCAAGACCATAAAGTCGCTTATGACGCTATGATTTGAGATGCAAGCTATAAGATTGATAGTCCGAGTAAACTCTCGGTACTGCCTTTTTCAGATTACAATCGAAGATCAGCGAACGAACAAAGTTCATCTATCTGATGAGCTATCACTTAAGCCTCAAGTCAGCAAATTAAAAGACTTTATTGTTGTGCAGATGATGTTGGTCTGAAGAGCCTGATTCAAGACTTAGGCGCCCAGGCATGCATGCAGCATGTCTCACCTAAGACCTCCTGGATGATGCCTCATGTGATTTAAAAACTGCATTTCGTAACAGTCGCGCATAACCAGTACGCCATGGGACAAAATATCAGGGTGCAATCGCTATTATAGTAATTATAGTGGTGTTTAAAGTTACTTATACGATTCTGCAGCGGACCAAGCTGTAAGAAAACTCTTTGCATTGCTGGCTGGTCTGGACAATTTCCGGAGCACTTAAGGGGAAAAGAAAACAACCGTGTTACATTGCCATTTTCGAGTTCGTTGCAAACCCTGTCGAAGGCTTGAAAGCGGCCAGCTTGACCGGCTGCAGCCGCAAAGCCCTTTCGCTGGGGTAATCAAGCCAGGCTTCGACACATGTTAGTCCGGGCACAGGGTTAATGGTGGGCAAGTGACCACGTCACTGATGCACAAGGCCATTGGGTGTGCAGCTTGAGAAAAAGGTGGTCGCATTATGACTCGTCGAAATACAATTCTTCGTTGCGCGGCCGCACGGGGCATGGATGAAAATGGAATCGGCTGCATAGCTTCAACCTCCATGGATGATAAAGAGGCCGCGGCTACCCGGACCACTGCAGTCATCCTTAAATTATGCTGTGTGACCCTCGAAAGATACCAAATCCGTCTTTGATTGGGCGTCGAACAAGGCGGGGTAGTGAGACACGTAGGACTAAGGGAGGTAACAAGTTCGATTACAAGGCATGTGCCACTCAGCACATGTCGATTATGACAGGATCGAGCGCCAAGAGTCCGGACGAGCAGCCAGCCCATGCTGTTCCTTAACTCAATGTTCAATTCTTTGCGCCTAGAGCGGCCCACCCCGGCAAAGATCGTCTAGTGGCTGGTTGGAAGAACCCTGAAGTATCATATTCGAGGTGGCGAAGCGATACGTATGGAATTTCAGGCTTGTGAGGGCGATTTGAACTAGTCCCGTCGCAGGCTTGACCAGGAATCAGTGATACGAATAGACAGACTGAGTGGTGAAAGTAAGAACAGCGTGGCCGCGATTACTATTATGTGCCGTAAAGAGTAGACGATTTTACCCTTAGTCCTGGAGTATTGCATATCGAGGCTACGGCGATTTCGTTGCACAATACTCCACGGATCGGTGTACCAATCAATATGAGCTGACTTGGTGAGTCGACGATCGGTAGATGCGTTGTTAGCTTGAAGATTTGAAGTTGATTGGATAGACGCGAAGATTGGGTTGGCCTGCAGAGCCTGATTTAAGACTTAGGCGCCCAGGCATTCATGCAGGATGACTCAAACCCCGCATTAAGAAGTCTGGCAATAAAGGTCATTACCCATTACATTCATCATCTTTCTTAGGTTCAGCAGGTAAACTATTTATCGCTACGTTCGCCTAAAGAACACCCTACTCTACCCGTTCCGCATTATGGCTACATCAATCGAGGCGTCTGATTTCGTTGATTGGGGATTTGGACAAGCGAAAAAGAGCAAGAAGTCGAAGAAAAAGCTAAAAGCCAGCATGCCACCTTTAGCTTCACCACCACCCGTAAGGGAGATCATTTGGGACACTGAAAAGCCTGCAGAAAAGGTTTCGTATGATGATGAAGACAGGTTCTGTGAGCCTGAGGCTGCGACAGAATATGATCTATCAGCAAGAGACACGGAACCTTCTCAGTCTTGCGACATACCAGCTCCTGGTGCTAAAGAAGAACCCATCAGCGGGAAGCCTGATGAATGCGAAGCGGCTGTAGAAGCCATACCAGGGACATCAGATTGGGATTTTGTGGCTGCAGCAGAGCCATCAGTAGATGACGCGCCGACGGAAGGCAGATTCTGGCCAGAAGAGGATAGTGCAGCTGCAGAAACAGAGCCGACGAGAGAATATGAAGAACCGGCAGAAGAGGCTAGACCTGCGGATGGTATGTTGCTTAGCTGCGTATTCGACGAGATTAATTACAGTATATTCACTGACTAGACGCAACAGAGGAAGAAAACGGAGAGCCGAAGCCTGATGATGGCTATATGCAAGAGGGGCAAAAAATAGCAAGCCTACCATTCAGCAGCCCGTATAGGTTAATGGCATATCTACAGCAGATCCTCGAGGAGGCATGTTTTGCTTGTGGACGGAAAACTTGGCCGGAATTACTACGCAAGCATAACTGGGACTGTGTAGAAGCCGTATCGCTTACTATGTGGGTGAAAGAATTGGAGCATTTACAGCATACTTTCGATATGCAACCAAGCAGAGGTCTTCTGCAATCAATAGCTGAAGTCCAAACCATAGCCATCGAACGTAGGCCTATCAACTGGCCAAGGATGAAGAAGTTCTTTGACGATGCTGTCGAGCTTACCGAGATGTTGAATGTCAAAGAGTATGGGGAAATCATTACAGATATTCGACTTAATATTGGAAAAACAATCGAGGGCCTGAGCCGGAACGAAGAGGAGGCACAAAGTCAAGCGGAGAAGAATATGCAGTGCATTATCGAGGAACGAAGAAAGCTAGATGAGCGGGAGGCAGAGGTTCAAAAGGGCAAGGAAAAAAGTACAAAAGAGTTCCGGAGATCGGCTGAACGGGAGGTTAAGAGAGTGTTAGAGGAGGCAAAGAAAACATTAGAGACGACGGCATTTTTCTCAAGCTTAGAGACTAAGGAAAGCTAGGTATTTATCATAAACTGATTGAGTGCACCAAGATTGATATGTTACTAGCATTGTTTATAGCATATTATTTGAAGTTTTGATTGTAACGCATAAAAGATGCATCATACCAACCTCCACCGTAAGAAAATTGTTTTCTTGGTCTGCATTATGTGTAGATAATTCGCAAATATCATCCTTTAACCTTGAACTCCAATCTCTAATTTTATCTGTCACAGACGGACCTATTACAGGATGATGTAACACTTGAATCAGAGTCGACACAAGCCTCACGATGCGTGGCCGCTCTCCTGCAGGCAACTACAGGCCGTCATTTCAGCCATGCGGAAGCCTCGAGTCGTCGAAATATTAGACTGGTTTTTAAATAAAATTGAGCGGGCCAATTCACCCGAGGCGGAATGGTGGCCATTCTTATCGATTGCTTATCGACAACAACTTCACAGCGAGATATAATGTCATCACGGGAAGTGAGAACTGATCCTATGTGGAAATACAACAAAAAGTGCCGAACTTGCTCCATGCACGTCGTCCTCGCAAACAAGTTCATCTTTGATCAAATAGACTCTCTTTTATCCGGAAGAGTCAGGCCTCAAGTTTTGTATTTGGAAAGCATCACATGGTCGATCTGCGTTATCACGAAAACCTCGAGCGTTTGACATTAGGAGATATGAAGGTGACTACAGCTATGGCAACTTGCTACCCTATAGCTTTCCAAATTTCCACTCTTGGCCTGATATTACACCTTCACCTTCCTTTGTCATCACACTTTCTTGGCATACAAGTGTTAAGAAAGTGGCCCTGTCTACACCTAAATCCTTAACAAGTGCACAACAAACATTCCAATCTGCGCTTTGCGCAGTCGCAAACCGCGGCGATGGCCTCGTCTACGACGATCCCGCCCGCTGCCTTGGATCCCTTCGATCTGGGGATCCACACTCCCGTCAACCTGAACCGGGGAGCCCGTGCAGCCCTCTTGCAGAACAGTCCGGCAGCCGTCAACGGCACCATTGGTGTTTCACCCGGTCCCAGGCGGATGGCTCAGACACCATCCTCACCACTCAACCCCGCCACCATCGCCGCAGTTACGGAAGGAGCTGAGCGTGCCAGTCCCGCATCCATTTTTGAACAACGACCGATCTCTATCGTTGAATCAGCCAACGATCTCGCGCGAGAATACGTGGAAGAGTACAACATCAAGCTGGGGGTTTTCCAGGCCTTTTGTGCCAAATTTGAAGAAGCGGCCCAGCAATTCGTCACCGGACCGCAACGACGTTTCGCTCAGCAATTTGCCGATGATTTCCTCGGCTTTTGGAAACGAGAGCTCTCCTGCTCCGGACCTGCGACCCCAAAGCCTACATACAGCAGCGTCGCTGCTGCCGCGCCTCCCACTGACCATGACCGTCTGACCCACAGACAACAACAACAACATGGACGCCGACAAACAGATCCACCTCATCGCCAAGGGCAACAGACGACTATCGCCCCACCCCGACAAGACCTCCGTGTCTTCATCCGTCTAGAAGCCGGAGCTCCGGCCAGGGCCCACAGTAGCTATGCCATCCGGACTCTGATCCGGGAAAAACTCGGCGCCGTCTCGGACAAAATTCGACAGGTGTTCCCGGTCAGATCGGGATGGGCCGTCCTGGCCGCCGACTCTGTCACACGCGACTTTCTGGTAGATAAACAAGCTGAGTGGGCCGCTGAACTGGGAGCTACAGCAGTAGAAACGAACAAGGAATGGTTCACCTATGTGGTCTCAGACGTTCCCGCAAGGCTGACTGACTTTTACGGTAATGAGGTGGATAGTGACAGCGTCGTTAGCGACGAGATAGAAGTCCAGACTGGGATCAAGCCCATTGATGTACGTACCGGAAGACAATTCTCGGATAACCCCTTGACCAAGGCCCTGCTCGTGTCCTTTCTGAAGCCCACAAAGAGATTCTGGTCTCTTTTCGGCAGCAGCGCAGCCAGGCTTGTTGACAAAACCGACCGACCCAGACAGTGTGAGACGTGCTGGGGCTACCACTTTGCCCGCAACTGTCACAGACAGCCAGTTTGCCGACGCTGTGGTGAGACTGGCCATCTTGTAGACGATTGCATCGCACGAGAACAGTGCATCAACTGCTTAGGCCCCCACCAGGCCAACTTCCGTAGGTGCCCAGCTCGGCCAAAGACAGTGCACGGCGTGCTCCGCCGACTCACTAAAGAGCAACGAAAGCATGTCCGGACCGTAGGTGCGGAGACATACCGACAACGACATCGAGAACGGCATCTGGAATCGCATCAGGAAACGCAGCAGGGCATGGCTGAGCGACGAAGCGTGGATGTCACATCACAAGAACAGCCTAACCATCGTGCTCCCAGCCCAGCTGTATCAGGAGCACCCTCGTGCATCATGGTGGCCACGACCCCTCATGCTGGC